CCATTTACATTAGCACCAAAAAATTAAATACTTACGTATAAATCTAATAAAAAATGTACAAGAGCTATATGAGGAAACTACAAAATGCTGATGAAAGAAATCAAAGAAGATCTAAACAAATGGAGATATAATCCATGTTCATGCATAGAAAGACTCAAAATTGTTAAGATGTCTGTTCTTCTCAACTTGATCTATATATTCAACACAATCCCAACCGAAATCCCAGCAAACTATTTTGTAGATATCTACAAACTGATTCTAAAGTTTATACGGAAAGGTAAAAGATCCAGAATAGCCAACACAATATTGAAGGAGAACAAAGTCAGAGGACTGACACTATCCAAGATCAAGACTTAGTATGAAGATACAGTAACCAAGACAGTATGGTACTGGTAAAAGCATCAACAAATAGATCAATGGAACAGACTAGAGAGCCCATACAAATAATCCCACACAAATATATTCATCTTTGACAAAAGAACAAAGACAAATCAAGGGAGAATAGTCTTCTCAACAACAGGTCCTGGGACAAGATATATCTGTGGGCAAAAAAAAAACAGAATCTAGACACAGATCTTACAGCTTTCACAAAAATTAATTCAAAATGGATGATAGATCTAGATGTAAAACACAAAAACTATAAAACTTCTAGAAGATAACATAGAAAAAGATCGAGGTGACTTTGGGTTTGGTGATGACTTTTTAGACAGAACACAAAAAGCATGATCCATGAAAGAAAAAGTTGATAAGTTGGACTTAATTGAAATTAAAAACTTTTGCTCTGAGAAAGACACTGATAGAAAATGAAAAAACAAGCTACAGCCTGGGAGAAAATACCTGCAAAACATTTATCCGGTAAAGGACTCGTACCCAAAATATACAAAGAATTCTTAAAACTCGACAACAAGAAAACAAACAATTTTTTTTTTTAAAGATTTTATTTATTTATTTTTCCCCAAAGCCCCAGTAGATAGTTGTGTGTCATAGCTGCACATCCTTCTAGTTGCTGTGTGTGGGACGCGGCCTCAGCATGGCCGGAGAAGCAGCGCGTCGGTGCGAGCCCGGGATCCGAACCCGGGTCGCCAGCAGTGGAGCGCGCTCACTTAACCGCCAAGCCACGGGGCCGGGCCGAAAACAAACAAATTAAAAATGAATAAAAGATATGAACAGACACCTCACCAGAGAAGATATACAGATGGCCAATAAGAATATGAAAAGGTGTTCAACATCCTATGTTACTAGGGAATTGCAAATTAAAACAACAAGATACTGCTACACACCTATTAGAATCGCTAAAAATCCAAAACACTGACAACACCAAATGCTGATGAAGACGTAGAGCAAGAGAAACTCTCATTCACTGCTGGTGGGAATGCAAAAGGGTGCAGCCACTGTGGAAGACAGTTTGGCAGTTTCTGACAAAGCCAAACACAGGCTCACCATATGATCCAGAAATCGCACTCATAGGTATTTACTAAATGAACTGAAAAATTATGTCCACACAAAAACTTTTACATGAATGTTTAAAGCAGCTTTATTCATAATTTCCAAAAACTGGAATAAGCCAAAATGTCCTTTAAATAGGTGAATGGATAAATGTCCACACAATGGAATATTATTCAGCAATAAAAAGAAATGAGCTATCAAGGCACAAAAAGACATGAAGGAAAAAGGTGCTTATTACTAAGTAAAAGAAGCCAATCTGAAAAGGCTATATACTGTATGATTCCAAGTATGTCCATCCTGGAAAAGGCAAAACTACAGATAGTAAAACAATCAGTGGTTGCCACAAGTTAAGGGGGAGGGAAGGATGAGTAGGTAGAGCTAGGGGCTTTTTAGGGCACTGTGAAACTATTCTGTATGATACTGTAATAATAAATACATGACAGTATGTATTTTTCAAAACCCATAGAACTGTACAACACAAAGAGTAAAGTTTAACGCAAACTATGGACTTTAGTTAATAAAAGTTTATCAATATTAGTTCATCAATTGTAATAAATGTACCACAGAAATGCAAGATGTTAATAATAGGGAAAACCATGATGGGGGGTGATTGAGGGAAGGAGCTCTGTACTTTTTTTCTGTAAATTTTTTCTGCAAACCTAAAACTGCTCTAAAACTAAAGTCTATTAAAAATCTTTTTAGGGCCAGCCCCGTGGCTTGGCGGTTAGGTGCACGCGCTCCGCTGCTGGCGGCCCGGTTCGGATCCCGGGCGCGCACCGACACACCGCTTCTCCGGCCATGCTGGGGCCGCATCCCACGTACAGCGGCTGGAAGGATGTGCAGCTATGACATACAACTATCTACTGGGGCTTTGGGGGAAAAAAATAAATAAATAAAATTATAAAAAAAAAAATGTCTTTTTGAAAAGATAAAATGAGATAACATTTTCACATTTCAAATTCCTAAGATTTCAAAAAATGGTAATACTTAGTGTTGGTGAGGGCACAAGGTAAATTTAGCAATCAAAAGCTTTAAAATTTTACTGACCCTGGACTCAGCAATTCTATTTCCAGGAAATTATGCTAAGGAAAAAATCATGGACTAAGCAAATATGTAGCCACCAGAACACTGTTCATCACAATGTTGTTAATGATAGCAAAAAGTGGAAAATAAGTACAGAGTGATCCCATATTTGTAAAAGTAAATCTATAGACACATATATGCATAGGGAAATGTCTAAAAGAATGATCATCAAAATGTTAATAGTGGTTAGTGGTTGTCTTTTAAAAATTTATATCTTTTTCATTATATGATCTATTCATATTTTTTCTTAAAAAATTAAGAATCAACTTCAGACACATCAGGACGGCTATTATAAAAAACAAAATAAAACAAAACGAGGATGTGGAGAAATTGGAACGCTTGTGCATCTCTGGCGGGAGTGTACAATGGTGCAATCGCTATGGAAAACATTACGGAAGTTCCTCAAAAAATTGAACAAAGAATTACCATATGATCCAGAAATTCCACTTTTGGGTATACCCAAAAGAACTGAAATCAGAGATTCAAACAAATATTTGTACACCCATGTTCACAGCAGCATTACTCACAATAGCCAAAAGGTGGAAGCAACCAAGTGTGTGTCACAGATGAATGGATAAACAAAATGTGCTATACACATACAAGAGAATATTATTCAGCCTTAAAAACAAAGGAAATTCTGACATGCATGAATGAACTTTGAAGACATTATGCTAAATGAAACAAACTAGTCAAAAAGGACAAATATTATATGATTCTACTTACATGAGGTATCTAGTATAGTCAAATGTATATATACCAAAAGTAGAATAGTTGTTGCCAGGCGCTAGGGGAAGGGGCAAATAGGGAGTTATTGTTTAAGGAGTACGCAGTTTCAGTTTGGGAAGATGAAAAAAGTTGTGGAGATGATGATGGTGATGGTTATACAACAATGTGAATGTTCTTAATACCACTGAACTGTACACTTAAAAATGGTTAAAATGGTAAATTTTATGTTATGCATATTTTACCACAATAAAAAAAAATCTTCCAAACCAAAAAAAGAAAAGAAAAAACAACTAATGAACTACTATCTAACTAATGGATTGGTCCAGGGCCTCTATGCAGTTCATCTGACAGATGACCATGTATAACATAAAGTGTGCCAGGAGTGCTGGGGAAAAGGTGTGTGTAGGGGGGCAGTGGCACCTACTAGTTCATTCATTTTTTTAAATCATTATGAAAAGTTTCAAACATAAAGAAACACTGAAAACATCATACAGTGAATATTTGTATATGATCTCCTAGATGTTGCCATTAGTCTTTACTTGTTTTATTACATACCTGTTCATTCCTCCATCCATCCATTAAGTCATCTTATTTTTTTTGACACATTTCAAAGTAAATTGCATACATCTATACACTTCCCCATAAAAACTTCGGCATGTATATCATTAACTGTTCAATATTTGTTTATATGTTTTTTCTTTTGATACAAAACTTACCTATAATGAAAAGCACAAATCTTAAGAGTACATTCACTGAGTTTTGATAAAAGCACAAATCTGTACAACCCAGATCTCTCTCAATACATACAACAGTACCATCATCCCAGGAAGCTCCCTCATGGCCCTTCATACACTTTTTTATAATCACAAAAAGTAAAGCTATATGGAAAGTATTTACAGTATGATCCCCTTTTTGTTATAAAAATATAGAAAAAACTAGAAGAAAAAATATAAAGAAAGAATATTTCTGGATAGTGGGATTATCATTGATCTTTATTTTCTTCTATTCTCTTTGTATTTTTTAAATTTTATATAACGTATCACTTCCTTGCAGGACATTTGGTCCTGTCCAAAACATCCACAAAACATTTGGTCTATGACAAAAGGCCCTTGATATTTGGTCCTGTCCAAAATGTCCTAAGACATTTGGTCCATCAGACATTTGGTCCATATCAAAAGGTACTTGATATCTGGTCATATTTGGTCCTGTCCATAACGTCCATGGAGACACTGGGTCCATGCCAAAAGGTTGTTGATATTTGGTCCCGTCCAAAGCCATTTGGCATGGACCAAATATGCTCATGGACATTTTGAACAGGACCAAATGTCAAGGGCATTTTGGCATGGACCAAATGTCTTAGGGATATTTTGGACAGGACCAAATATTAAGGAACTTTTGGTGTGGATTCAATGTCTTATGGATGTTTTAGACAAGACCAAATGTCTGCTAATTGTTATTACGTGGGTGGTAAGGAAAAAAAACAGTAAAATCTACTTAAAAGAAAAGAAATATCTTTCAATCTTTTAGTAATTGATGTCACACATATATGAGAATATTTACAGATCACTAAAGTGATCATTTTGAAGATAATGTATGAGCATATTTGGTCCACGCCCACCCAGGCAAGCTATAAAAATCTTCCCTGGTTTTTGTAAAGGCCTTACTTGGTCCACACATTTTGGTTGGGTTTGGAACTTATGATCGAAACCATTAGAGTAAGACAAAACAAACAAGTACTAAATTACCTCTTTCTGGAAAGATGTTGTTTTTGGTGAGTTTGACGCTTTTGGGCCTTGGGTGGTTATCATCCATACCCATGATCAGGTTGCGGAAAAACAGATCAAATTTCTTTCTGCTGTCCGCGTTGATAGTGCCGGCTACGGTCCACACCAAGGCAAAAAGGAACAGACCTTGCAGCCAGAGGAAGATCTGTTGGCTTGTCAGGCCTTCAAATAATTCACTTTCCTCCTTTTCTATTTCCCTGATTTCATCTAAAAGCAAGAAAAGGGAACCTCAGGAAAAGCTGCTGAGTGCAAGAGATATAAACAACGTGAACCGGGTGAGAGGCCTGGGAAGGATGACTGTGTAGCCATCACCTGCCATATCCTTTATCCACATACATTTTTTTTTCAGATTTTTTTTGTGTGTGTGGTAAGATATGCCTAACACAAAATTTACCATCTTAACCATTTTTAAGTGTATGGTTCAGTGGTATTAAGTACATTCATATTGTTGTGCAACCATCACCATCATCCATATCCAGAACTCTTTTCACCTTGCAAAACTAAAACTCTGTACCCATTAAACAATAACTCCCCATTACCCTTTCCCCCATCACTTGGCAACCACCATTCTACTTTGTGTCTTTATAAATTTGACTACCCCAGGTATGTCTTAGAAGTGAAATCATATACGTAGTCTCTTTTGTGACTGGCTTATTTCTCTTAGCATAATGTCCTCAAGGTTCATTCATGTTGTAGCATATGTTGGGATTTCCTTCCTTTTTAATGCTGAATTATATTCAACTGTATGTATATACCATAATTTGTTTATTCATTCATTCATTGATGGATACTTGGGTTGCTTCCACCTTTTGGCTATTATGAATAATGCTGCTATGAACATGGTGGGTGTACAAATATCTGTTTAAGTCCCCACTTTCAATTCCTTTGTGTATATACCCAGAAGTGGAAGTGCTGTCTCATACGGTAATTCTATGTTTAATTTTGAGGAACTGACAAACTATTTTCCATAGCAACTGTACCATTTTACATTCCCACCAACAGTGCACAAGGGTTCCAATTTCTCTGTATCCTCATCAACACTTGTTATTTTTGGTTATTGTTGTTTGGATAGTACCCATCCTAATAGGTGTGAGGTGGTATCTCATTGTGGTTTTGATTTGCATTTTCCTAATGATAAGTGATGTTCAGCATATTTTCATGTGCTTATTGGCCACTTGTATATCTTCAAGTCCTTTGCCTATTATTTAATCAAGTTATTTGTTTTTATATTGTTAAATTTTAGAAGTTCTCGATATATTCTGGATATTAATCCTTTATTATATATGCGAGTTGCAAATATTTCACTCTTTGGGTTGCCTTTTTATTCTGTTGATAATGTCTTTTGATGCACAAAAGTTTTTAATTTTCATAAAGTCTAATTTGTCTTTTTTCTTTCATTGCCTGTGCCTTTGGTGTCATATCCAAGAAATTATTGCTAAATCCAATGTCTTGAGCTTTCACCCTACGTTTTCTTCCAAAGGTTTTATAGTGTTAGCTCTTATGTTTAGGTCTTTCCTCTATTCTGAGTTAATTTTTGTATATGGCATTAGTAAGAGTCAAACTTCATTCTTTTGTACGTGGATATCCAGTTTTCCTGGCACTATGTGTTAAAAATACTGTGCTTTCCCATTGAATGGTCTTGGCATCTTTGTGGAAAATCATTTGAGAATATATGTGAGGATTTATGTCTGGGCTCTCTATTCCATTTCATTGGTTTATATATCTCTCTTTATGCCACTACTGCACTGTTTTGATTATTGCAGCTTTTTTAGTTTTGAAATCAGGAAGTGTGAATCCTCCAACTTTATTCTTCTTTTTCAAAATTGTTTTGGCTATTCAGGGTCCCTTGACATTCCATATTAATTTTAGGATGAATTTTTATATTTCTGAAAAAAAAATGTAATTGAGATTTGACAGAAATTGCATTGAATCTGTAGATCACTTTGGGTAGTAATGACATCTTAACAATATTTAGTCTTCCAATCCACGAACTTAGGATGTCTTTTCATTTTATGTGTTCTTTAATTTCTTTCAGCAACATTTTATAGTTTTCATTGAAGAAGTCTATCATCTTCTTGGTTAAGTTAATTCCTATGTATTTTATTCTTTATTTTATTCTTTATAATGCTATCATAAATGGCATTGTTTTCTTAATTTCCTTTTTGGATTATTCATTGTCAGTGTATACAAATGCAACTGATTTCATGTGTTGATTTTGTATCCTGCCACTTTGCTGAATTTGTTTACTAGTTTTAACAGTTTATGTGGAATCTTTAGGGTTTTCTACATATAAGAGCACATCAGCTGCGAACAGAGATATTTTTACTTCTTCCTTTCCAATGTGGATATCTTTTAACTTTTTTTCTTGCCTAATTGCTCTGGCTTAGAACTTCCAGTACTATGTTGAACAGAAGTGGTGAAAGCAGGCATCCTTGCCTTATTATTACTCTTAGTTGAAAAGCTGTAAGTCTTTCACCATTGGGTATAATATTCAACTGTGGGTTTTTCACATATGGCTTTTATTATGTTGAGGTAGTTTCCTTCTACTCCTATTTTGTTGAGTGTTGTTTATCACGATAGCATGTTGAATTTTTTCAAATGCTTTTTCTGCATTAATTGAGATGATCATGTATTTTTTTCCTTCATTCTGTTAATTACATGTATTACATTGATCAATTTTCATATGTTGAACCATCCTTGCATTCCAGGAATAAATCTCACTTGGTCATGATGTATAATCCTTTTAATATGCTGCTAAATTTACTTTGCTGGTATTTTGGGGAGAATTTTTACATTAATGTTCATAAAGGATATTGGTCTATAATTTTCTTTTCTTGTAGTCTTCATCTGGCTTTGGTATCGGGGTAATGCTGGCCTAATAGGATGAGTTAAGAAGTGTTCCCTCCTCTTCACTGTTTTGGAAAAGTTTGAGAAGTACTGGTATTAGTTCTTTCCTAAATGTTTGGTAGAATTCACCAGTGAAGTGATCAGGTCCAGAGCTTTTCTCTGTCGGGAGCTTTTTGATTACTTATTTAATCTCTTCACTAGTCATTGGTTTATTCAAATTTCTTCATGATTCAGGTCTTGTTGGCATAAAATTGTTCATAGTCTTCTCTTAATAATCTTTTTTATTTCTGTAGAATCAGCAGTAATTTCCTCATTTTCATTTCTGATTTTAGTAATTTGAGGATGAGGACATGTTGAAAGAGCCCAGGAACCAACCTGAAGGAGCTCCCAATGGCCAAAGCCATTTGAACAATAAAATAAATAACTGTAGCACTGGATTACAACCCAAAGAATAAAACAAATATCTATGAGTCCATACTTTGATCAATAAATAATTGAATAAGTAAATAAATAGGGAATAGCAGTTCTTCCTTACAGAAGAATTCTAATTAGTAAATGTAGAAGGAATAGAAATAGAAATATAAAATTAAGCTAATGTCACCGTAATAAGCGTTGTAGGCAAGATCCACCAATGGATGTTAAAATCAGTGGGTGAAAGTTTCAAGAGAAATAGGATATTTGCATAGTTTCAAATTATATTCTCCAAGATACTTATTAATTACAAAGGAAAAAATACTAACATTACAGTGGAGAAATGTAGCTCTGACCAAAGCTAACTTTGACCAGAGCCTTCACCAGTAATAAGATATATCAACATCAGGTACCCCCTAATGATGTACTGAGAAGGATACATCATCACTTCTATGGTATTCTTTCTAAACCTCAATCTAATTATGAGAAAACATCAGGCAAACTTAAATTGAGAGACAGTCTGTAAAATCACTGGCCAGTATTCATCAAATGACAAGGTTATGACAGACAAAGAAAGACTGAGGAACTGCCATAGATTGCAGGAGACCAAGCAGATACAACAATCAAATACAATGTGGCATCTTGAATGGAATTCTCGAACAGAAAAAGGACATTCATGGGAAAACAGGTGAAATGCAAATAAAGTCTGTAGCGTAGTTAACGGTATAGTATCAATGTTAATTTCCTTATCTGATAATTGTACCTTGGTTACGTAAGATGTTAGTATTAAGGAAAGCTAGGTGCAGGGTATATGTGACTATATTCTTTTAGCAATTTTTCTGTAAGTCTAAAATTATTTCAAAATAAATGGCCAAAAAATGTATTTAGTGTTCCTTAATAATTCCTTTTAATTTTAGAAAATCAAATAATATTTAGCCAAAGAAATTCTCCACTCAACTCTTCACCATGTTACATTTTTGATCTACACCTGTAAAGCTTTTGGAAGAACTGAGCTGAGAAAATATGTTCATGTAGCAGAAGTTGTAAGAAGATCCATCTTGAGTTTGAGTTATATGCAATCTTGAAAAAGAAATAGCATCGAATAAAAGTTCCCCAAATGGCGCTAGCCCAGTGGCATAATGGTGAAGTTCGTGCACTCTGCTTCGGTGGCCTAGGGTTCACAGGTTCAGATCCTGGGTGCAGACCTACACACTGCTTATCAAGCCATGCTGTGGTGGGCGTCCTACATATAAAGTAGAGGAAGATGGGCATGGATGTTAGCCCAGGGCCAATCTTCTTCAGCAAAAAGAGAAGGATTGGCAACAGATGTTAGCTCAGGGCTAATCTTCCTCACCGAAAAAAAAAAAGATCTCCAAATGGACCCATCTTTTGCCATTTCCAGTAGAACTCAGTGAAATTAGATTTACATGAAATAGTTACAGGGAACTTCTCCACGACACTTAAATCAACAGTTCTATGATTTATGTACTTCCCACATCCTGGAGAAGTTACCTAGTTTTTGAGACTAAAGTGATCATTTCTCTTATGGTATATCTCTATGTTTTGTGAATTCAGATTTTTGTAATCTAAGTTTTCTGAACATGGGAAAACTTCCTATCTTATTTTTTACATAATCTTTTTTCTGAGATACATTCACATGTATCATCTAAATTCATCTCCCTCCAGGATATCCCTATTAGGTAAAGGAAGATAGGAATTATTACTCCCATTGTGTGGATGAGGAACCTAAGAGTGAGGAAGGATAGGGTAATTTGCATAATAATACCAGGGAAATCAATGCAAGATCAAAGCTAGGGCAAAATACATGGACTCTTTCCACCAAACTCTACCATCTATACTCCAAAAGCTTTCTTGTTCTAGACTGAAATGCTAGTCTCATTGTAACTCACCAGGGGAAAAACACGAGTGGGAGCACAACCCATTCCCATCTGGCTTAATAATAGGTAGCACTTACCAAGCAGAGAGGAGTATAGTCGCATCATTGTGAAGGCAAGGTGGATGGGAGATGTTTGGACCACAAATTTACACTGAAGGCGAATAAATTCCAGGCAGGGTTGAACAAGCCACATGAACATGTCATTGACCTGAGAGTAGAAAGTGAGATTTGAAGTTATTATCAAAAAGTGAGTTTAAGACCAAGAGTTTGGTTCACCTCAGGGCAGCCAGAAAGGCTGGTAAGACTGCTGATTACTTTTGAGTGTAGGTATATTGGGGAAAGACCACAGGCAACAAGGCCCCTGCCTCCAGCTTTCTACTTAATGGACTATGCAGCCCATAGGCCATCCCCACCCCTCCCACTGCACTGCCCAGAGCTGGATACTCAGGCTCAGAGCTCCTGTGGGTCAGCTACAAGACACATTAAATGGTTTTAGGACCCAGACATAGTATCTGACTTTGTTTCTATAAAGAATATTAGGAATTCTAAATAATCGATTTGCAAATGACTGGCATTAGTAAGGTGGAACTCCTGTATAAACTGGCCATAGAAGTGCAGAGCTAAGTAGCTAAGGTCCTTATTTGTGGGTATAATGATTCTTGTCTCTTGTCTCTGTTCCCCACCCCATTTATTCTTTTAAAAATATTACTTGATTCACTTTATCCTCTTATTTTGGTGTTTTTTCATTTTTGTTGTACTTTGTGACTCTCGCTGTAAATTATCCTAAGTTTTTTTTGGAAGTAGGTAGTTCATCACTAAATAAATACATTCATAGGTGTGTGGATACGTATGCATGTATAGATGCATTTATATATATATATATGAATATACATGTGTATATGGATTTGTGGTATATTCACTGAGTCAACAAATATTTATTGAGCATCTACTAATGGCAGTGTAGCAGGTGCTAAGGCTAAATGGTGGACAAGATAGACTAGGTCCCTGCCCCCATGGAACTTAACAGTCTTGAACGGCAAAGGAGACAAACAATAAATAACTAAACAAGCAAGGAAATGAATAAAACACTTACAAATCATGGAAAGTACCCGCAGGAAATAAAGATGTTACAATGGAGAATAACAGGAAGAGTTTAAAGAGGGTGGTCAGGGAAGGCTTCTTGGAGGAGATCTTTATGCTGAGGCCTACTTGACGAGGGTGAGTCACCCATGAGACGAACTGAGGTAAGATTTCCAGGAAGAGGAACAAAAAGTGCAAAAGCCTTGAGGTAGTGAAACCCGGGGTTTTCTAGGAATGGAAACAAGACCCGAGGGCTGGAGGGTAATGAGTTGAGGCTGAGCAAGAGGGTAGGTGACGAGGTTGGAGAGGCGGTGTGGGCCAGATCACAGTCTCAGAGGCCTGATAAGGACTTTGTGCTAAGGACACTGGGGAGTCCCTGAAGGCTTCCTATGCCTGTGTGTAGACTGGTTTCTGACTGTGCATGTGGACATATGTCTGTATAAATGTACCGGTTTATATATGTTGTACATGCATGTAAATGTGACAGGAATGGGGCTGTCCTACATACATCCTATATAGTTCCCCAGAGTGCTTTCATAGTGGGAAGAGAACCCAACTCAGACTCTTCTTGGCTTCTTCAGTGGGAAACTTTCCTAGGGAACTCTATTAATGCAGGGAAACAAGAGGCACCACAGCACTGGTTCTCCCTTCCTGCCTCCCTGGTCTGAGAGTGTGGTGGGTACCCACCTAAACCTGAACATTCACATCTCTTTTAGGCAGGGAAGAAGGAAATGGACACTCTTAGTAGCTGCAATAAAAGCATTTCTAACTGGTTCCAGCTCCCTAGAGGTAGGAGGCACAGCATCTAGGTTATAGGGATGGGGAGTGGCAGTACAGAGAAGAACATGGCTCTTCATAACCCAGTCCATCTTTATAGCAACTCCTAGAGACATTTCTGCCAGTGGAACAATGGCCAAAGGGGTGACAATCCAGCCATCATACAGAACACCTCTCAAGTACCAAAATTCTCCACTGGGGAGCCAAGGAGTTGGAAAAATGGTGGCAGCCACAAAACAAGATAACTGGGGACAAGTAAGGAATTCCCCGCCCCTTCTTGCTGCCTGGGATTATGAAGGTGAAGATGTGCCTAGAAGGCCTTAGAGATGAGCAGTAAGGAGACAGGGAGGAATGGAAAGAAAAGGGACCTGGAGGATCTCACCAATTCCTTGTGCTCCTCTGTGAGGCTGGAGGGCAGGGTGTCCATGTATGAATCCTTCAGGGGCTTCCAGCCTAGCTGATGGGGCTCCATGTAGATCATCCCACACCTGGCAAGCACAAACACAGGACCAGCCTGATTCACATCTGGGCTTCCAAGCATGTAGGGGTGAGGTAAGTGAAGGCAGTCCTGGGAAGGTAAGGGGCTAGAGCTTGGGTTGGGGCACAGACCCTCACTACCTCCAGGCCAAAGAGAAGGTACATACATCTTATCAGGAAAGGATAGAGACCAGTGCTAAGAGCTGGGTCTTGGGAGCCAGAGAGACTTGGATTCAAATCCCAGCCCCAGACCCTACTAGCTGAGTGATCTTGGGCAGGTTTCTTTAGTGACTCTTAACTTCTGTGTCCTTGTCTGTAAACTGAGGAATATAAAAAATATGTAGTTCATAACACTGTTGTAACGGTTACACAAAATGCCAATAAAGAATCTAGCACCGTGACCAATACATAGAAGACTGTTAATCAATGGAAACTATTATTATAATTACCATAAATACCCATGTACTGACACGCAACGTTTTATGTAGCACATGTTTTTTTCCATTCTGTTACATCTAGGTGCTCTCTTGTTTGTTACTAATACTGGCTACCATTTATTGAACACCTATTGCATGTCAGGCACTATGATAGGCCCTAATGGCTTTCATCTCTAACTATTCCTCTTCGTGGTCTACATTTTAGACATTAGGAGACCATGGCTCAGAGAGGCTAAGTGACTTGGAAGAGGTCACACAGCTAGCAAGTGGCATGGCCAGAGGACGAGCCCAGTTAGTCTAACTTGCCATGTGCTCTTTCTAAGCCCTCACATTGCCTTTGGGAACATGGGTTGACTTTATTTTATTTTATTTTTTATGGACTTCAGGTGCACAGGATTGGATTAATTATCATCCTTGGCACACTCATCATTAGCCCATGTGTAGCCTTAGTTAATTGTTTTCAATAATGTAATAAGTGCCCATGAACCCACCATCCAGACAGAAGTGAGAATCTTGACAATAACCTTCATGTAATCATACAGTCCCCCTTATTCTATCCTCCTTACTTTCCCCACCTGAGGTAACACAGTATCTTGAATCTCATGTTCACCTGTCCCTTGATTTCTTTCCCTCTTATATACAGTCGGCCCTCTGTATCCGTGGGTTCCACATTCAACCAACCATGGCCTGAAAGGCCTATGATGGCTGTGTCTGTACTGAACGCGTAGCCTTTTTTTCTTGTCATCATTCCCTAAACAATACAACAAAACAACTATTTACATAGCATTTACATTGTATTAGGTATTATAAGTAAACTAGAGATGATTTAAAGTATACAGGAGGATGTGCATAGGTTATATGCAAATATTAAGCCATTTTATATAAGGGACTTGGGCATCCTTGGATTTTGGTATCTGCAGGAGTCCTGGAACTGATCCCCTATGGATACCAAGGGACGACTGTAGTTTTATAGCATTTCTATATGTTCCTAAAATGTATATATATTTATTTTAATTGTTTTTAACAATCTAAAAGGGGGCACTATGCTGTATGTAATATTGTGGGCTTTTACACATAATATTGCTAAGATTTTATCTGTAATTTTACTAAGATTTAGTCATATAGTTGCATGTCAGTACAGTTTGAGTGCTATATAAATATTACAATTTGTGACTTTATTTTACTTATTAGTTCATTCCTGTTAATGGGCATTTGGGTTGTTTCCAAGTGTTTGCTATGGTGAACTACATCACAATGAATGTTCTTGTATATGTCTCCTATTGTATACAGGCAAAAGTTTCTTCTGGGTATATACTTAGCAAAATTGCTGGGTCATGAGGCATATGAAGGTTCAGTGTTGGGAGATAATGTCAAACTCTTTTCCAAAGTGCTTGCCTGATTTTAGACTCCTACCAGCAGTGTGGATTAAGGACTGATTTTCTGACAAATCTAAGTGACAACAAATAATGCAGGCAATCTGCTAGAGATTAATCACATTTATGGATTTCTAGAGCTGTCCCTCCTGCTTAGCATTAGTGAGGCCATGCCTCCCTCAGGGTGCCAGTACAAGCTGACTGACCTGCTCACAGTGGCTGGGGAGGCCTGCTCCAGGTCGGCTGGCTCAAAGATCAGACTCATCTTGGAGCTCATCTGGATAATCTCTCCACTCATCAAGCACAGCTGAAAGTGCAAAGCAGAGGGGTGGCAAAGGGGTTAAACTCCATATGCAAGAGAGAGGCCTCAGTGGAGACAGAGATGGTTTGAATCCATTCAACAAATATTTCTTGAGCCCTACTATGTGCCAGTCACCATTCTAGGTGCATAGAATAAAATACACAAGAATCCCTGCCCTCTTGGGATTTACATTCTGCTGGAAGGAGATAGATGGTAAGCAAAATATATAGTATATAAAATGGTGAAAGTGCTTTGGAGAAAAATAAAGTAAAAGGGTTGGAGAAGGCTCAGTCACGGTCAGGTGAGCTGTAATTTTAAATAGGGAGGCCAGAGAATCACTGAATAACAGCCTTCGATGAAGGATCAAGAAGTTGTCAGACTACAGCAAGTTTCATGGTTCCTTCCCCAGTGTTTAATATAGAACTTAATTGCACACCTTTATCCTGTTTTACTTGCTCAAGCCTCCCATGAAAGAGTCCTTTAGGAATCCCTCATGGACTGGTCCAGGGCTGGAGTGACAAGAATATCTCCATACATCCTTTTTGGAATGGAAGGAAATACCACTGAAAGTCCTAGTGTTTAGCAAGCATATCCCCGTAGAAAGTAGTGCAAATACACAGGACAGCCTCATAGTACATACAAAGTCAGTGGTGCTGCTTCCCATTTGCCGACAAGGGTTCAAGGGAGACATTTAAGTCATAAGATGGCCTGAAGCCTGGGCTTCAGAGTAAAAGAGGAGACCCCATCACATCCTGCTGCTCATCTAAAGTTATGGGCAAAAAGTTCCTTCCTTGCAGGGGCCGGCCCCGTGGTGTACTGGTTAAGTTCAGCGTGTTTCGCTTCAGCGGCCTAGGTTCATGGGTTCGGATCCTGGGTGCGAACCTACACCACTCATCAGCCACCCTGTGGTGGTGATCCAAATATAAAAAAGTAGAGGAAGACTGGCACAGATGTTAGCTCAGGGCTAATCCTCCTCAGCAAAAAAAAGAGTTCCTTGCACATTACCTGGCCCACATCAAACACATCTGGAAACAGGTCACTACATGTATCCCCAGGAAGGTCATAGCTGTTACAGGGCTGACACCACCAGCAGCGCCATTCTGAACATCAAGAAAAGTAAAATAGATCCATACCCGTGACAGCAGTTTGATTTAGACCCAGAGCCGAGAAGAGCTATCAGGAAATTCACTGATGATGACTCTTTATACTTCTAATTTCAAGACCAACCAATACATCTGTTCAATTAGATTATATAACACAGTCCATATCATGTAATAAAACTTATTTCTATTTTTATATGTTATATAATCAAAATTATGCACATGCTATAATTAGTGCATGTGTATAATTTGGATAACTAGGCCTTCCATTGTTGAGCATGATTCACTCTTAGTATTGTGAAATTTAAATGCAGTAGGAGAATATATTTTGATTTGCTAACGATGTTATATTCAGTGTAGGAACGCTTCCTTGAAATGGTGATAAATTTTATTTTATATTATTTTATTTTAACAAACCATTATATAGCACTTGCTATATGCCATGCACTATTATAAGCAGTTTGCAAATATTAATTTATCTAATCTTCCTAACAACACTATGAGGTGGGCACCATTATCCCCATTTTACAGATGATGAAATTGAGGCACAGAGAGACTAAATAGCTTGTCTGAGGTTACACAACTGGTAAGTGGCAGGGCCTGGATTTGAACCCAGGCTGCCTGGCTCCAGCATCCAAGCTCTTTAGCGACTACCCTTACTATGGCAGAACATATTTTCCAAAGGTGGCTGCAACAGTCTCTCCCATCCTATGTGCACTTCTGCAACATGAACCTTGCCCACCTCCATCAAGTGGTAGAGTCTATTTCTCCACCCCCTTGAATTTCAGCAGGCCCTGTGACTTCTTTGACCAACAGAATTCAGAGAAAGTGATGCTGTGCCAGTTCCAAGCATAGCTCTTAATTTCCTGGAAACTTCCACTTCATGCCTCTTGGAAACCAGCTGCCACATAAGAAGTGCCACTACCCCTAGACCACCAAGTGAGAAGCCCAAGCCATGTGGAGAGGTCCGGAGGATAAGATGCTATTCAGGGGGAGGGACAGAGAGAGAGAGAGAGAGATTGAGAATGAGAAAAAGAGAGAGAGAGAGAGGCGCCAAGAAGGAATAAGCCTCCAGACACTGAGTGAAGAAGCCATCTTGGATGTGCATCCTCCAGCCCTTGCTCCCCAGCTGACATTGTGAGGATTAGCCGAGCCCAGCTGAGCCCTTCCAAAATTCCTCATCTATAATATCAAGAGGAAAATAAATGGTTGTTTTAAGCCACTAAGTATTAAGGTAGTTTGTTATATAGCAATGGATAACCAAAACACATTCCATATATCAGGTACTATGTATATACTATCTCATTTAATTACCAACACTCCTATTTTATTACTAACCTTTTACAAATGAGGAAACTGAGGTTCAGAGAAGTTATGTAACTTGCCCAATACAACACAGCTCAACTGTAGATGCCAGCAACAAGGCATTTAACCACTATACAACATCGTCTCTAAACACATATAGCTTACCTACTACAAGTACAAACAGAAACATAATTCATGAACTGATAACTGTTACTTTCTTGTGGGGCATTTATTCTTAGTGTAATAAATGTATGTACTATATAGTTTTGATCAATCACTCACTTCAACAGAAGAGTTTATACTCATCCATGTAAAGTGATATCAGACTCAGCAGCTACCTTTTTATTGTCATCCAGAACAGTGTTCATGTTTTCAATCCAAACAGCATCCACTGGCCCATCAAATATAATCCACTTGCGGTCATCAGACATTGAAGACGCTTGCTCCCGGAAAGCATTGGCAAGGACTCCGTCTGTCCATTCATGGCTCGCTTGGTCAAAGCACCCATACAGCTGCCCCATGGTGATAGCCTTGGGGTTGATGATCTTGTACTCCACAGCAAACTCCTCCATCTGATTGGCTAGGCAAGAAGGTCCAACATGAGTTACAAAGGCTCTGGTGAGGCTAGAACATTGGAGAAAAGATAATGACATCTCAAAGACCAGCCAACATTTATGAATACATGATCCAAGGAGAGTCTTAATAAAATCTGTGCTCAGTCCTTACAAAGAGTGGGATGGCTGGAGAGACAATGTGTTAAATTTTTAGGTTATTACAGCCATTAGTTTCTCACCATATTTTCTTCTGAGGCTCATTTCAAATAGGGCAAACATGCCAGTCAGACCCAAAGCAATCTGCCTGGGCCTAAAAGAACTCAAGCAGTAAAGGAGAGAGATGCCATACTGTCAGGCCTCTTGAGGCACCTGGCTCTCACAGCTACCCTAAGAACCTTGGCTTTGACTTGAGATGAGGAAACAGCTGACAAGGAAAAGATTCTGGAAAAGACGGTTATTTTCTTTTCTCCATCTGAAGGGCTAGTTTAGCCCTGAAACCTCTTCTTTAGCTACTCAATAAGCATCAGTTGTCCCCTCAGAAATGCATACTGTTGGAGTTCCAGGACCCAACCAGGATATACAGGCTGATGGACAGCAATTCACACGTATTTAATAACAGAAAATAACCACACTTTTACATGATCCTTCAAAGTAAGGAAAAGTTGGAGTGCCTAAGCCATGAACTAAATAAAATAAATTCTGCATTTCTGCAGAATCCTGAGGTAAAGACAATGGAGCAGGCTCCTTTCTCTTCATTTAGTTTCCTAAACTATATTCAAATGTCAAAATTATTACTTAAGTTTGAAATGTCCAAATTAGTTATTAAGGCAAAGGTAGTCCCCAAAACAAAAACCTCAAAAATCCAACAGCAACTCAATTATCAAACGTTATTAGAAAAAAATGTTAAAATAAAGTACTGGAAGGGACCATGTAAACATACGCACAACAAGGCACTGCTTTTCAAAACCACAGGCTTGCATTTTATATATATATATATATAAAACCAAAACTGTTTCTCTGGCCATAAACATAGCTTCCATTTGTTGAGTAGGCACCATGCTAGGTTATTTACCTGCATAACCTGCATAATCTCATTTAATTCTCACAACAATCCCATTTTACAGCTGGGAAAATAGAGGCTGAGAGGGGTTTGGTGATCTGCCCATGGTCTGGGGTCTGATTCAAAAGTCTGAGGTCTTATCCTCCAAATTAAATGGAAGGAAGGAAGAAAGAGAGGGAGGGAGGATAAGAGGGAGGGAGAAAAAAAGGGAAAAAGAAGGGAAGGAAAGAGAAGGGAAGAAGGGATGGAAAGAAAAAAAAAAGGAAAAGTGGCAGGAATTTCTCTCTCATTGGGAAATCTTTGGAGAAGCACTGTTCAGCATTTGAGAAAATTCCTCCAGCCCTAATGATATGCACACAGAATCCCTTGTTAGAAGCTCCCTCTCCCCTTTATCGTCTGCCTGCAGACATCTGTGTGCCATGTTCTATTTCTGGCTCTGACGCCACAATCCAGGGATGGCAAAACTAACAGCCTGGCATTATCTCCATGGAGTCAGCCAGCTGAGAGGGGAGTCCCATCTTCCCTGTAAGCCAGGAATGTGAGCTTTACCTGTGTGTAAATCCCCCAGAGCTGCAGCCAACACTTTATAAGCACAGGTCTTGCCACCCATGGGGTCTCCAACAATCATATAGCCATGTCTTACCAGCATCATCTCGTAGATCTGGGAGGAGAATCATAGAAGTTAATCATGGCAAACCCCCCCAAACTGCAAGTTAGTCAGAAGTCAATGAGGAATGAGGGATTGAAAGAGGATTCCCACAGTCACTCCTACCTCTAGTAAACTGCAGTCCTTTTCGTGATCTATTGTTTAAATATCTTTTGGATGAATAAATATATGTGTGTGTCTCAGATTATTTAAGGGATGGAAATAGCTGCTCTGCACCTATCTATATGTTAAGCCTCGAGTAACTTACCTAAATTCTTTCATTTAATCCAGTCACGTATCATTAACCATCATTGGATGGGATACTGAGCCCAAGAGAGGTTAAGTAACCTGCCCAGGCTCAGTGGTGGAGCCAGGGTTTGGACGCAGGGCTATCTGACTTCAATGCCTCTAATCTTTTCATTATACCATTTCCATTTGCTTTTAAAGAGGAAAAGGAAACAATGGTCATTTTAGCAAATTGCATTTATATTGGAAACTTCCTTTCTCATAGCCTAAATGCTGTTCTGACTTGATTAGAACTCTCAGTAGATGAAAACGTATTTTCCAAGCCAGGCCCCACGCTGTAAAATAGAAATAATCTTCTCTGTAATTGGTTCGGGGATGGTCACATGACTTTATCAGCACAATTCAAAGCTAATCCTGACACCTGCTGAAGCCACTGGGAGAGTGATGCTCCTTTTCCTTCTGAGTTTGAACCTGGGACAATCTAAGTCTGAGGTTGCTGGGGACCCAACTGAGAATGAAGTTTTATGCAAAGAGAGACATAGCCCAGAAATGGAGAGAGACAGATTCCTGATGACATTATCTGAAAACCTGGATCCTGCTGTGCTTGAAGCCAACATATTCCTGGACTTTTCAAGTTAGCTAAGTGAATAAATTCCCTTTTGTTGATTAAGGCAGCTTGAGTTGGCTTTCTATTATTGAAAACCGAGAAAGTCCTGAGGAGTTCAAAGCCCAATGCCCCCAAAGGTTTTATTTCATCCCTAAATTAAAAAAAGAAACCCCAAAGAAGATGGTCATAGGAAAAATATTGGATTTTAAATTTCAACTCTTGGAAATGAAAGCTGAAGGCACAAGAGATTGTTAAGTGTTTTCATCTCTACTTCCGTCTCTATTCAGGCACCTCTGATTGCTGTCTGTTAGTTCCAATCTGCCATAACTCTATCCAATTCCTGACTCCAGCAAACAGTAAAACAGGTACATTCCCATACGGGTGCAAAGAACCAACCTGGATAATCTTCCCAATAAACCAAGGTACTGGCTGGAGTTTCATCTTTTGGATGTTCTCATTCAGTACTTCCATAAAAACTTCATAGTCTGGCTTTGGAAGAACAACTCCAGGAAACAAATCTGATATAATTCCCTGTTAAGAATTTGAGAGAAGGTGGAAAAGATGAATTATCAGATACATGACCTCAACATTTTCTAAACGAGATCTATAGACAGCAGAAATCTTTGAAAAATTTCAAACCTCACTTTTATACACCAAAACCCACCCAAAATTACAAATTCCAACACTATCTGTAAAACCGATTTCCCTCCCAAATTATTTTACAATGCAGCAAATATTTCATGAGTCCGTACTATCTTCTAGTTATTGCATTAGGAATAAACAAGATAGTCATAATCCGTGGAGCTCACAGCCTGGTAAGGAAGATAGGCATTAATTAATTACAAATGAATACCAAGTAAATTTGATTAAAAAAAAAACAACTACCCAACCCAACTGCAAATACTATTCTCTCAGTAAAACCATTTTTATTAAAATCAGGAACTAGACTGAGATTTTGCTATCATCATTATTATTTAACATCTGGGGGAGGGTATCTGGCAACAGAGATGCTAGCTGGAGATGGAGAGGTGTCATGAGATGGAGAGGAGGTAGAGAGGGTGCCAGAGAAACATTTCATCTTCAGAAGCTGAGGTCCAGTGGTTGGTCCCAAACCATTACCTACCTGAAACAGAGGGACATCTTGAGCCAAGAATTTGGCCAGATTGACATCAAGCAAGGCCCGGAGCAGCAGGACACTCTCATTCTCCTCCGGGTACTTGAGCTTCAGGTTGCCAGCAGCAGTGAGCACAGACTTGACTGCACGCATGCCATAGTCATAGTGATGCTGAGAGGAGAGTTGCTCCGAGCACAGGCGGTAGGTCGCCACAATCTTCTGGGCAAGACTGGAAGGGCAAAGACAAGTCTGCGGACCCCCAGAGAGGAGCACATCCTGCTCAACAGACATTCTCAACATGCCTCAACAAACCAGGCTTGCCCACAGACTTGATGGAGAAGCCCTATCATTTGAAGGCCTTTTAATGGAGTTACCATAATGAGCTAACTCTCTTTCCAAGGTAGAATGAAAAAAACCAAGCACATATAAATACGTATAATATGTACTGTATAAGAAATTAAATGTACATATACTTTTATATGTATATATAAATGTATGTGTACACACACACACACACATTTGGGAAGAATACATCAAACTATTAACTATAACAATGTTAATCCCCGGAGAGTGGAACTAAGGGTCACTGAGGGGACGCTCACTTTTTGCATTTCTGTAATGTTACTTTTTTTGTTCACTGTCCATGCTTTACTTTTTTAAGGAAACTAATTCATAATTTAATATACTCAACACACAACACATATAGACTCATGTGCACTGCCATTTCTAATCCTTCCTGGGTACACAGCTAGACCACATCTCCTAGCCTCCCATGCACTCATGGGGTGGCCAGACCACTGAGGCATAGCCAGTGGCGTGTGAACGAAAGAGAAGTATGCCACTTCCAGGGCTGGTCCATAAAAACCTTCTCCACGCTCATGTGTTGTAGCTGTGGGATATAAGCATACTGAGTCCCTGACTCATCCCTTGCAGAAGAACTGCCCCGATCACAAACACCCATTTTGGATTTCCAGTGAGTGAAAAATACAGTTTTGCTATGTTAAGCCACTGGGATCTGGGGGTCAGGGTTACCCCACCTAATATACTTATGCACATTCCCCATGAGAGGCTCCTTTCTACAAGACTAATTTACTTTATTTTTTAATTTTTTGTGAGGGAGATCAGCCCTGAGCTAACATCCGTACTAATCCTCCTCTTTTTGCTGAGGAAGACCGGCTCTGAGCTAACATCTATTGCCAATCCTCCTCCTTTTTTTTTTTTTTTCTTCCCCAAAGCCACAGTAGATAGTCGTATGTCATAGTTGCACATCCTTCTAGTTGCTGTATGTGGGACACGGCCTCAGCATGGCCGGAGAAGCGGTGCATCGGTGCGCGCCCGGGATCTGAACCCGGGCCGCCAGTAGCGGAGCGCGCGCACTTAACCGCTAAGCCACGGGGCCGGCCCAGACTAATTTACTTTAAAAGCAAAGACTCTGTGTTGCTCACCAGCACCTAGCACAGGGCTGGGCATAAGGCAAGCAGCTCTATAAAGGTTTGCCAATTGAATAAATAAATGAATTGAGTGGGCAAATCAATGTAATCCAGGTCTCCTACAGAAAAAATAAATTAAACCTCATGATTGAAACAGTCTCTTGGCCCAGGAAAAGTGACACATTCTATTGAGAATCTCTGCAGCCCCATGGATTAAGCCAGCCACAAAGACACTGAAGGCCTTGTGGACACATCTGCGGTAACAAAAAAAGCAATTAATTATGGCCAAGACAACGTAAAAAGACAAATGTAAAATTTGGAATAGATAAAAGCCATTTTACAATGAAAATTCATAACTCTTGGTGTGTGTGATGAAGACAATGATGTGTGCGTGTGTCTTGGAAAACTGAGTAATACTTGAATGAAAGATAATCCAGTTGGTTGATTATAGTAAATAGATGTTATACTGGTAACAATGTTAATTCAAAATTATATTAAATTTTCCTCTTAAATCTTGGAATAATTTCATGTTTTTCAGTCTTGCCTTAAGCTGTTTAGGAACGTGTGCGTGTGTGTGTGTGTGTGCGTATGTTAGAGTGAAGGGTGGGGAGGAGGTGAGTGGCTGCATTCTTTCACAGAAGTCCAGGTGTGTGCAGAGAGAGAGGAAGCCCTGTCTTGGGACTCTGGGCCATTTCCCAGTCAGGGATGGGGTCAGGACCAAGACCAGGGCTATGTGTTTTCAGATCAATTTGTGAGCAGAAGCCTGTTTCTCAAGTTTCTCTCTTTTCTTCCAATGGGCAACCCAACTTGAATCCAACACACAAAAAGCCACTCTTTCAGGGCCTTTATTATTTTTTTTTTTTCCCCAAAGCCCCAGTAGATAGTTGTATGTCATAGTTGCACATCCTTCTAGTTTCTGTATGTGGGATGCGGCCTCAGCATGGCCGGAGAAGCGGTGCGTCGGTGCGAGCCCGGGATCCGAACCCAGGCCGCCAGCATCGGAGCGCACGCACTTAACCACTAAGCCACGGGGCCGGCCCCTCAGGGCCTTTAGAAAACCAATGTTAACATACCTTCTGGAGTCCAGGAATCCCATAGAGTAGAGAGAGATTTCTCCAATGAGGGCATAATCTGGCACCATCATGGCCACTGTCCGAAACAAGGCCTGGAAAAGAAACAGCCACTCAGAACCTAAACACATACCATGAACACTGGGGAAGGCACATCTACAGAGGCAAAGAGAAGTAGCATGATCATTCAGGCCACTCCAGTGACAATCAAGGAAAGGAGGGCTGGGAGACAAGTCAGTGCAGAGGGATCATCTTCACTGGACAGAGCCACTGCTCCACTCACCTCCCCACTGGTCCTGTCCAGGTACATGTTGTCATATTCGGGCCCTCCATGGTTGTGAGGAAGGCCTTAGGTGCTGGTGTCCTAACAACACTTCATTCTCCTATGCCAAATGGGCATCACTCAACTACTGGAGCTTTCCAGTGCTCAATATGGACAGCAGAAGTCATTTAGGAATGCAGGATTATTATGTGTCAGAAGCATTCCGAAGTCAGATCTTGATTTGAGTCCTTGTTCTGCTACCTACTAGCTGTGGCAAGTTATGTGACTCTCTAGACCTCAGGTCGTTCATCTCAAAATGGGCTAACAACTGTGCCCCCTTCATAGTTATCATGAGAACAAATGATCACATAAGTGAAGTGCTTAGGAAAGTATGTAGCACATAGTGAGTGCTCAATAAACATCAGCTGTTGTTATTACTGCCTTAGATCTTAAAGGAAAAGTGACTTGCCTAAGTCACTTTTTTTTTTTTTAAAACACTCCAATGCCAATTTATTTCTAAAAAGGGTTCTGTGTAATTCTATGGTTTGTTTGCCCTTTTTTGTATAACTGTACAACTTTTGAAAATTACGTAAGTTGTAATGCTCTAATACTATTAATAGTCATTCAGAAAAAACTTTCCCTCCCTCCCAACCACCATCCGGGGGAATTAAAAGTCCTGAAAAGTGGCCAATTCAACATGGCCTCTACCCTGATAGAAATAAAAAGCAAAAAGATGAGAAGAAAACAGAAATCGACTAAGAGGTGTGTGGCCAGTGTCTCTCAGGAGTGGTGCCCTGGCTGTTGCCTGGGGTCGTGAAAGGAAGAGCCTGCAGCATGCAGTATGGCAGCCAGGAGACCTCGCAGCCACATCTTCCTCACTCCGGCACATCCGTGTCCCAACCTACGTGTCATGGAAATCCTTCAGCAGGGTTCTCCTCCGCTGCTCTGCTATGTGCATCTGGTTCTCTAAATCCCCTCTGTCATAGCTGTCTGCACGCTCCACTTTCCATGACAGGTTTTCAATCTCAGCCTCCAGCTGAGCCTGCTGGTATTCAAACAGCTTCTTCCTGGGTCCAGATTCCATGTAGTATGCATACGGGTATGTGTATTGCAGGGTGTATCGACACTTGGCCAAGAGCTTGGCAGCATTCTGTAGGTACTGCCAGTCGATCCACGTCCCCAGATATTCATGACCCTCTCCTGAATCTTTTCATGAATCCGCTGGTATGTCTGTGCCTCCAGCTGTAAGCTCTTATTGTGGTTTTCCCACCTCTCAGTTAGTTAGAGACAGAGCCAGGAGTAGAACCCAGGCTTCCTGACACCAACCCCTGGTGCCTTCTAGTATACCACACTGTCTCATGAAAGTTGCTTGTGTAAATCTAACATGGAGAGCTAACATGCAGATCTCTCATTTACATTACCGTCTGATCCCTGCAGACACTCTTGTCCTAGTGTGCACTTTTCCTAATTGATTCTGGTTATTATGCATATAAGAACCATCCTCCAAGAGACCTTGTTGGGGAAGTGGTTGTGTCAGAACATAACCATGTACCATCTTACTACCACTGAGACCCCATTATTACTTCTCACAGCTGAAAAATGCCACCTGGTCCCATTATTGGGTTTCTCTGTGAGACCCTTGGGTATTTCCAGAGGTTTCTATACCATAAAGTACACACAGCATTTATACACACTGATCTTTACCTTGAGGTTATCTGGCAGCTCAGCCCTGCCAGCATACCCGGGGTTCATGGTGATGAAGACAGCGCAGGTTGGGTTCAGAGAAAGCTCTGTGCCTTCAAAGATGAACATCTTTAGCTTCCGGATAATGGCTTGTTGAATGCTGAGAATCTGCTGAGCTACCACAGACAACACTTCCACCTGGGGTGAGAATGGCTGGCTGATGTGGGCTCCTGCTCCTGACAGCCACTCACCCCACTCTGCCAGAGTCCCCTTCACTTAGCAAAAAAAGAACTTAATCATCTGAGAACCACATCTTCACATTCAAAATTAGGAGCATGATTTTGGGTTTTGGTAAAGAAAAAAAAAATTGGTGCATGTGTGTGTGGTGTGCGTGAGTGTGTGTGCATGTGAGTAGTTTCCACAGTAATTTATCTTTGTTCTAACACCTAGCATAATGCTTTACCCGTAGTAGGTATTCAAACAGTGTTTACTATTTACACGTTAAGTGCATGTTTACACTTCCTGACTTAAATTCCCCACCCAAATAGAATTACTTACCCCCTCTTTTGTGAAGCCTCTTTTGTACCAGTACTATAGACTTCTATAATATTCTATTTGTTTCATTTAATTTTTATTTCCCTTTTAGACTGTAACAGTCTAGAGGGCAAAACCATTGCTTACTCATCTTTGTATCATGAACATACGCAGAGTATCTGACATATAGTAGCTGCTCAATAAATTTTTGAATGAGCAAGTGAATGAATGAATATGATGAGGGTGCATATGTGTATAAAATATTCATTTTGTCTCCTTGGGGCTGTTTTTGTTAAGTTCATTGAGTACCTACTGTGTGCAAGAGGCCATGGAAGAGACATAAGGCCTTATCATTGAGGAGCTGAGAGCCCAGAAAAGGGTCCCTGCACGTCTAACCCTCTGTTCTGTAGCCTACTAGCAGGGTTACCTCAATCCTGTTGAACTCATCAAAGCAGGCCCATGCTCCAGCCTGGGCCAGCCCCTTGAAGAACTTTCCCATGGCTTTGTAATCCAGACCATCTGAGCAGTTGAAGACCACACACTAGAGAGAGGGAGGATGTGGGCTCCATTCAGGATGGGTTCCCTCATATCTGGATTACTCTGCACAGTGAAACAGGGGTGGGGCTCCTCACTTTCTGTTCACTGAAGGAGCTGGGGCCCCACTCTGCCTGTTACACTACACCATCTTGAACTTCATGCCAACTTCCCTGGACAGGGGTCGAGAGAGGGGTGGGAGGAGAGGAAAAGGATGGGTGGCCTTTCCCTACCTGCTTGGCCAAAGCTTTGGCCAGATCTTTGGTGGTTTCTGTCTTGCCTGTCCCAGCTGGACCCTCTGGAGCTCCCCCAAGGTTCAGCTTCAAAGCTCCCATCAGTGTCCTAAGGGGAAGAAAATAAGAACTCAGTGCCCGAGTCCTAAGACACAGGAAAGAAACTGACTTTTGGTTTATTTTATTTTGACTCACACAAATAGTTTAAAATTTTTCCCTGATTATATGACCAATATATTATCATTGTAAAAAATTCTGTTTTACTCAGCATTGTAAGCTCAGAGCCTGGCACAGTGCCTGGTGCATGGGTGGCACCCATAAGCATTTGTTTGAATGAAAGATTGAGTGAATAAATGAATACATATATATATAAATGAATCAAATGAAAGTAAAAAATCCTTATAAACTCCACATTCCAAAGATCACCAATGCTAATGGAATGATGAAAATAAAACCTTCCACTAGATTAAGAACTCTTGAGTTCAGCACCCGTATTTGATTCAGTTCCATATTCCCAGAAAACTAATATAGTGCCTGGCACATGGTAGGGGCAAGATAAATGTTGGAAATAAATTATGTGTTAACTGTGTTTCCACAGGTCCTTGTATGAGCCTCTATAATTTCAGTTAACACACTATCTTGTAATCATTTGAGTATGTCTACCTCCCCAACCCCATTAGATTGAGGGTTCCTGGAGGTCATGCATGGTGCACAGTAAAGTTCAAGAAATGGTTGTTGAATAATGAGTGGAATAAATGAATAAGTGAACAGCAATCACAGAACATAGAAAACAAGCGATCGAGGTCCTTGGAAGGAGAAAATACTCAAGTATTATCTTTTTTTTTTTTTATAATTTTATTTATTTATTTATTTATTTTCCCCCAAAGCCCCAGTACATAGTTGTATGTCATAGCTGCACATCCTTCTAGTTGCTGTATGTGGCACGCGGCCTCAGCATGGCCGGAGAAGTGGTGTGTCGGTGCACGCCCGGGATCTGAACCTGGGCTGCCAGCAGCGGAGCGCGCGCACTTAACCGCTAAGCCATGGGGCCAGCCCTCAAGTATTATCTTTACAATTGAAAAAACATTCCACTGTAAAGACTATACAAAAATCAAAGAAAATCTAAACATCACAAAATTGACAAATTCACAATGTTCAGATTTTTAATGTTATGAATTCCAAGGAAAGTGGCAGAGCACTTTGATGAGCACAGAATGACCGTATCTCTCCATCAGACAGAGCTTCCAGAGCTGGCAGAGCTTCCAGACTCCCTGCCTGGGTCTGTCACCTGGCCCCTTTTCTATCTCTTGGCCTGGGATCTCCAGGCACCATCTTGATTCCTGCTGTTGGAGAGCTGGCTAAGTACCGTGCCATTTTCGAGGACAGGCACCAATGTTGTGCTTATTGGTCTGACTACGTTAATTTGCATTAGGACTTCTACTGGGTTCTCTTTTCTGGCCTAAGGCCTAGTTTCCATGCCCACCGATGGGGCCATGGTGACCAAAGGCAAAATCCTAAAATCTGAGGACCTGAAATGAAGAGGGTAAAGGTAACCAATTCAAGATGCACCTACCTTCTCCCCCAGAAGGTTTTCCTTCTGGAGTTCTCTATTCACCCCTCAGGTCTGGGGGAGCCCTGGAGTTTACCTGTAGCAGCGGTCGGTGAGGGGCGTAATCACCAGCCGGGGCGAGTTTCCCAGGTACTCATAGCCATACAGGGCTTCTGTAGTGATCATCTGCACCTGCACATCCTTTGCCACCCAGTAGTAGCGCAGCTGGGAGATCCACTGGAAATCATTCAGATCACAGATGCTGTCCTCAGATAACCTGGCCACCACATCACGAGCTGTTAGGACACAGACACAGAAAAACACCCATGCAGAGCCATCAGCATCCTCCCATCTCCACAGACTCCACAGAAGAGGTCTGAGAGCATCATCAAGGCCACTCCTCACTCTCTGAACGATTTTAGGCTCAACTACCCTCCTCAACCACCCCCAACTTGCAGGCAACAATATCTTTCAGCAGCTGGTCTTTGCTTCTCCCAGTGAGCCAGGCAGAGAATCTGCTGCACTGTCTGCTCTCAGGCAGTATAGCAGAGGCATTAAAAGTACATACTCTGAAACTGAACTGCCTGGGTCTAAATTCTGGTTCTGCCATTAACTAGCTATGTGACTTGGGGCAAGTTACTCAATCTTTCTGTCCTTCAGTTGCATAATCTATAAAATGAGGGTAACACAGTACCCACCTTATAGGGTTATTATGAGGATTAGATGAATATATATATATATACACACAAATATATATACACACATCTACATATACACACATCTACATATACACATAGATAAGTATCTATATATATACACATATACACAGATAGATAGATAGATAGACAGACAGATAGATAGAACTGTGCCTGGTATATAAAAACATTATATAAGTACTAGCTACCATTATTATTCCTAAATTCTTGGGGGATTGACTCAGAGGGCTTTGCAATATGTAGTTACCCCAAATGCTGTCATATCCCCAATATGATCCTTTTGGCCCTGTTCCAGGCCTCTACGATATCCTAGGAGAATACAATCAGCTTTGCCTAATGGAGTTGGCAACGGAAGGGGTCCCACGAATCCATGGTTAGATGTATTCTTTCTATCTGGGGGCCTGAAAAACCAGCTGAGAGATACATTTCTAGGTTTCCTTCCTTTTCTCACAGAATTATGAGCCTAATTTAATTTTCTCACAGTGATGGGAGCCCCAAAGTCAAAGAGTGGACATATGTTTATAAGAATTATTATTATTATTATATTATTATTATTATTATTTTGTGTGTGTGTATGTGTGTGAGGAAGTTCAGCCCTGAGCTAACATTTGATGCCAATCTTCCTCTTTTTTTGCTGAGGAAGACTGGCTCCGAGCTAACATCCGTGCCCATCTTCCTCCACTTTATATGGGACGCTGCCACAGCATGGCTTGACAAGAGGTGCGTCGGTGCACGCCTGGGATCCGAACCTGTGAACCCCGGGCCGCCGAAGCAGAACGTGCGCACCCAACCACGTGCAACACCGGGCCAGCCCCAAGAATTATTATTTTTTAGGTAACTCTTAGGGCAAGAGCTATTAAGATCTCAGAACTAGTACAGCAGCTTGAAATTAGGATCTCAGAAACATAACGTTGCCAAGGGACACTTCTGTAAGTCTACTGCCTCTCTGTGAGAGAAATCTTTATTACAGTAAAATCCAAAACTCTGCAGAGAAGAGTCCTTGAAGAAGATTACATCAATGGCTCTTCCATTCTTCCCAAGGAATTTAATTTCCCTCCAGGTTCTTGAGAGAATCCAGAGGTAGCAGGAGGGGGGCTCTGCATGAGACCCAAGAGGAAGGTGAATCTCAAGGGACTGAGTTGGGGATGCCTTCGCTATACAGTGTGCGTGTCCACATGTTCATGCAAGAGTGTGTGTACATGTGTGTGTGTGTGTATGAACTCAACACTGTGGGGAACCCTGAGCAGTAACGCCTGCACTTATTATTACTCCTACCTGGAGTAGATACGCGGCCAGATGAAGATCGCATTCTCCCTTCTCTCTCCCTGATTTTATGCTAGTCTATCCAAAAGAAATCAGACTGAAATGAGCATCCACCTTAAGGAGAATAAGATGCCATGAAATGCCAGTAGGATGTTGGGTGTGTGAGCAAGAGAGACACTGTTCCCAGGCAACCAGCCTGGTCCAGCCCTAGTTTCCTTGGTGATGATGGAGTGAGGGTGTGGGGGTGGTTTGTTTTATATAAAGACTCCAGTTCTTCCTCTTCCTCATCTTCTTCTTTTTTTTTTAAGGAAGAGCTGGAAGGCATCATCTCTCACCCACTCCCTCCCTGAGTCACTGCCCATTTTCAGTCTCTTAGGTTTGGAATCAGACAGACCTAGGTTCAAATTACAAAGGAGCCTCTGCTACTTACTGGCTGTGTACCTCTCAGCAAGTTATAGACATCTCTAAGCCTCAGGTTCTTAATCTGTGAAATGTGTGTAACAAGGAGATAATGTATGTCAAGCACTCAGCACAAAGTTTGGCACCTGGTGAGTATTCAAAAATATTAGCTATGGTCAGTGCAAAAACATCATTCCAACTTGGTGAATCTCATAAATGGTCTTGGCCATCACTGTCTCAGTAAGAGCACTGCTTGGAGGGTTCCTGGAAATAAGTTGGGGATCGGAGGGGAAAACATAAGATAGAGATACTCAGAAGCATTGGCTTCTCTCCTTACCCCACAACCTTACTCTCAGTTGGAGGAGTCTCTCCCTAACGGGAAGAGAGACCTTGAATCACTCCATCTGGAAGAAGGGAGACAGGCAAGCCTGGTTGCTATTCCTGGACAGTCAGTATTGCCAGGGGAGTCTCCTTGCTTACCATGGACATCAATGACCGTGAGGGCCCCGAGGGTGAGTCGAGCCCCGCTGCTGAGCTTCCCTCGTACCAGCTGGACAATCTCTGCAATCTGATCATTGCTCTTTTTCAGAAAATCCTGGCAGGGGCATAGGAGGGGACAACTGGTTAACGTGGATTCTCCTCTAGTAACCCGTTCTTGGGTAATGGCACCATCCACCATCCCATGGCCCAAGCCAGACACCTGGATGTCATCCCTCAAGCTCCCTTTCCCTCACCCCTAGTCATCAACCTCTAGATGAATTTCAAATGTATTATGCTAACTGAAAGAGCCAAATTCGAAAGGCTAGATACTGTATGATTTGATTTTTATGATATTGTGGAAAAGACAAAACTACAGGGGTAAGAAACAGATTGGTAGCTGTCAGAGGATTGGAGTAGGGGAAGGGGTTGACTACAAAGGGCAGGAGGGAATTTTGGGGGGTGTGTGGAACTGTTCTATATCCTGATTTTTGTGATGGTGGTTACATAAATGTATGTGTTCATCTAAACTCAGAACTGTACACTAAAAAGGGTGAATTTTACTGTAAATAAATTATACAGTAAGTCAGAATCAACAAAAAAGAATCTGAAATTTTTTCAGATTAAAGGAGACACAGAAGATGTGAAAACTAAATGCATATAAACAAGTAATCCTGGATTGGATCCTGGACCAGACAAAAAGACATTATTGGGGCAATTGGCTACATTTATATGAGCCAATTTAAAAGGTCTATAGATTAGCTATTAACATTGTACCTTGCATCAATGTTAGTTTTCTGATTTGGATAACTGTGCTGTGGTTATATAAGATGTTAATATTGGGGAATCTGAATGAAAGGTGTATGGGAAGTCTCTGTATTATTTTCACAACGTTACTTGTAAGTCTGACATTATTTCAACATAAAGAGTGAAAAAATAAAAATGATTTTAAAAAAGGAAAAAAAAGTGAGACCACCCTAGGTTCAAATCTCATCTTCCCCACTTTCTAGTTATGTGGCTCTGGGCAACGATTTTAACCCTCTGAGTCTCAGTCTCCTGTTCTATCAAATCTAGATAATTACAGCTACCTCTTAAGCTGTTTGGAGAATTAAATGAGATAGTGTATGTGAAACACTTGGCACAATGTGAAGAAAGCATCCAGTAAATAGTGGTGGTTGTGTTCATTATTAACAATAAAGTCCCTGACACATAGCAGGAAAAAAAGAAGGCTTTTGAATGCCTCCCTATTGCCCCTGGCGTGTCTGTAATGCCCTTGGTGCTGGAGCTGCTCCCCACATCTCTCTTTTTTTTTTTGTGAGGAAGATCAGCCCTGAGCTAACATCCATGCCAATCCTCCTCTTTTTTGGCTGAGGAAGACTGGCCCTGGGCTAACATCCGTGCCCATCTTCCTGCACTTTACATGGGAGGCCGCCACAGCATGGCCTGACAAGCACTGCATCGGTGCATGCCCGGGATCCGAACCAAGGCCGCCAGCAGCAGAGCGCACGCACTTAACTGCTACGCCACAGGGCCGGCCCCATCACCACATCTCTCTTAACCACACTCATTCCACAGCTCTTCTGAACCAAAGTGCCTTCAGTTGCTAGAATGCACCAAGCTTTTCATCTTCAGACTTGTGTACATTCTGGTCTCTCTCTCTGGAATACCCTTCCTCCTGTTTTTTGCTTGGCTAATCCCTATTCATATTTTATGTCTCCTCTTAGACAACACTTTTCTGGGAAATCTTTCCCAATCCTAACCCCTCTCTTACTTCTCTCCTTCCTCCCTATGCTTCCTGGATCCCTGTACTTTCCTTATTACAGTTTTATAAAAGAGATTTTTTGTGTGTGTGTGAGGAAGACTGGCCTTGAGCTAACATCTGCCCATCTTCCTCTTTTTGCTGAGGAAGACTGGCCGTGGGCTAACATCCATGCCCATCTTCCTCCACTTTATATGGGACGCTGCCACAGCATGGCTTGACAAGCGGTGCAGCGGTGCGCGCCCGGGATCCGAACTAGCGAACCCCAGGCCGCCGCAGTGCAGCACGCGCACTTAACCACTTGCGCCGCCAGGCTGGCCCCTAAAAGAGATTTTTTATCTCCCCCCCCCACTAGACTGTAGATCCATAAGGACAGGGACCATGTCTCTCTCATTCACTTCTAATCCCCTTCTAATCTAATCCTAGCACAGAGCAGATGCCAAACAAACATTTGTTAAATGGACAATGGATGGACTACTGGATGTGGCAATCCTGTACCAACACCTGCTTCCATCAGGATGCCAAGGCACATCATTCAGCATGCATATACTCCAGGGCTTAGGTGTGCGAGGTGAAGCATTCTGTCCTTTTATGGGTAGGAAATCTGGGCACAGAGATGCAGTCACAGAAGTCAGAATTTTTTAGTGTTTCCAAAGTTTGAAATGATATACATGAAAGCAGTTTGCAAGTGTAAATTGCAAAACATTTTTAGGAATTATCAACATGAAATCTGTATAAATTTGAAAAGTGGTCAAATACTAATGTTCTAATTTTAATATGTAAAGCAAAATATAGTAAATTAAAATATATTCTGGTCCACAGCCAATCATCTATAGGGGGAATAACAGAAGGTCTGATAAGATAATCACGGGAAATTATACCACGGTAAAAAGGTTGGGAACAGAGTTACCCTTCATTGGTTCAATTAATATTTATTGAGCACCTACTATATGCTCGGCACTGCAATCACCCCTGGAGATACAACAGTGAGCAACACAGACATGGCCTCTGCCCTGTGGGGCTTATAGCTTAGGATCTCAGTACTGAATAATTTACCAGCATCTCACTTAACCCTCCCACAGTACTATTTTGTGGTGCTATAATTCCTTGCATTTTATAAACAAGGAGACTGAGACTCAGGTTAGGTAACTTGCCCGTGGTCACAGGGCCAACAAATGAAGGTATCAGGATTTGAACCCAAGACCATCCAGGTCTTGAACTCTCAGGCACTGGCGTCAACGGCAGGGGTTAACTGGAAGAACGTGTGTCTAGATCTGAGGACAAGCAGGACTTGAGCACTCTTGGTCTCAAGATAAAGCTGAAGGAAGAGCTGGAGGTGGGTTTGTGTTGGACTGGAAGTGGTGAGAAGGGGGTAATGGTGGAGCAGGAGAGGAAAACAGAACCAGGTGGTCTCTTGGCACAGGAAGAAGACATGGGGTCTCTGGTGGTGGAAATTCTGCCAGGTTGACCCCTGGAAGCAAAGGCTGATAAAACTTAGAATCCTGCCTGGGAAGGACTGTGAGAGAACTTATACTATAGAACTCCAGGACAGGCCCAATTCCAAATTGTCCTTCCCACTGTCCCCATGAAAACCCTGGCTTCTGCAATGACATGGGTTGGATGCCACGACTCTTTTTTTTTGTTTAGAAAATATGGCTACTCTAATTACATGTGATTCAAATCCTACTCCAGTTTGAATCTCCTCTACAAGCTTCATAACAGGCTCGCTTACCGGTAAGGTCCTTTCAACCAGGGCTTGGGACACCTCCTGGGTCCAAAAGATGGAGGAGACACAGATAACCACCTGGCCAGGCCACTGCAAGACCCAGTGATTACGAGGGACCTGAGAAAGTGCAGTGGGGCATGGTGTAGGGTCAGTTCCTGTTGTGTGATTTAAATTGACTTCTTAAAAACATCCTCCACCCTCTCACCCCCTCAACAAAAACAAAACCCTTCCCCACCCTCAGAAGCTACTAGACTTGACATCTCTGGGATTACTGATTTATGTCTTCCTCCCTGAGTTTTATGAAAAAGAAAAAATCATTACCAACAATCTCATCAACTCTTTACTCCCAATCCAGGGATTTTACATAGTTCTAATCAAGATCGTGTTCAGAGAGTATTCATAATTACTCTTTTTGATGGCTACACAATATTGCAGTGCTGGGCCACAATTTCCTTAGCCACATTCTGCCCCCAACTTTTTTTTTAAACTATAGATCTGGCAAATTATGGCCCAAGGGTCAAATCTGGCCATGCCTGTTTTTGTAAATAAAGTTGCATTGCAACACAGCCACACCCAATGTTTACATATCATCTATGGCTGCCTTTGCATAGCAAAGGCAAAAATAAATAATTGTGACAGGTGTGCAGGGCCTGCAGAGCTGAAAACATTTACTATCTGGCCCTTTACAGAAAAAGTTTGCTGACTCTTGCTATAGATGCAATTGCATGAAATAATTTCATCCAGGTACCCATTTTTCTTTAACTTTTTTTTTTTTTTTTTTAGGAATTCAGCATATCTTTTTTTTTCTTTAATTTAATTTTTGATTTAAAATATATAATAGGACTAAAGATTGGCCTTTCATTTACAATGCAAATACTACTGAGAGGGAGGGCAGGGTCAGGTAACTGTAGCTGTTGACTTTGGGTGCCTGTGAGTTAGCTGGCGTCTGGTTTGGTGACGTGACTCCCTCCCAGGTGTTGCAACTTATATGTGTGGGTGGCAAAAAAGGTCAACAAAGGAGGCCAAGAGTGCTTGTCTATTTCCACTCGATGATGCTGTCACGTTCCACAGGAGTAGAAATAATTTATATTTTACTCATAATAGAAGGACACATGTTTGAAAATCTGAGTTAAATGGCATTGATTCCATGATGTTTTATTGACCTGGTACTTTAGTGGAAGGTGTTAATTGAATGTTCTTTTGTTTGATGGAAGGGGTCCTGGGAATGGGGATGGGGCCTGAAAGGGAGAAGAAAAGGCACATAAAGTAGAGGAGACTAAAGATCTAGTCTGCCAACATTAACCTTGCTGGAAGCTGGCTAAAGAGTGATTTTGACAGGTTCTCTTCCCTTAGGCCTTCTGTCACACCTGTCCCCCCAACACCCAAAGCTTTGACAGCTTAATGCGTTGTGCCATTCAGGGCATGTATAATGTAAATGAAAAATCCAGGAGGGGAATGCTTAATTGGAAGGGGCTCTAAATAGACCTCCTGCCATCAATTCATCTTACAGGAAGGGCTGGCCCCTAGCAACCAGAGGGTTCTGGCTAACTAGCTATGCCTCTGTCATCTGCTTCTAACTGCAAACATTTCATATTCAGAAACATGTACATGCCCCAGGATTTACAAGGAAAGGAGAGAAAGGCACACAGGGATCAGGTGTTACCCACCCAGGAGAGGGGTGGGTTTTGGTAGAAGACAGAGGGGCAGTTAGAACTGATCCATTTAACCTTCTCCCCAAAGTTCTTATTGCTGTACCAATACCCTGGCATGTGGTCCCTGATTCTTGTTTACCTGGACATATGCTTCAATCCCAAGTCTAATAACTTCCTGCATACTGGCAAGCATCATCTGCTCCACCTGCTGGAGCCACTTTTCCACCATGCCCTGTGGGGTGAGACAGAGAGGCAGCAATAGTTAGCCAAGCCCAGAGGGATGGACCATGGGCAGAGCCCACCTTTCTCTCAGGACAAGGCTGGAGGAAGGCCAAAGGTTGGATATCCCTTCAAGCCGATATTCTTTAACTATTTGCTTTACATTTAATTACTGTATTCTAGGAAGTGTATGTCTTGTCAAAGGGGCAGTGGGGGGATTTTTAACATGCATTCCTTTCTTGTCATTTTCTGAAACAGACTTCCCAGGAAGCAAATGACACATTTATGTTTCAGTTCATAAAATAAATTACTCATTCAGTTCTAAATCATGCATTATTCCAGGGGTTCCCAAATTTTGCTGTGCATTAGAATCATCTGGAGATCTTTAAAAAAATACAGATGCCTGACTCCCACTCCCAGACATTTTGATTTAATTGGTATGGGATGCAACCTGGGCATTTGGATTTTTTTTTTAAAGCTCTACAGGTAATTCGAATGTGCAGCAAATTATTCAGTTTTAAAATTTCAGGTAACTGTTGCTGTTGGCTTCAGGTGCCCATGAGCTCGCTAGTGTCTGGTTTGGTGATGTGATTCCTGGGTGCTGCAATTTACATGTACGGGTGGCAAAAATGGTCAACAAAGGAGGCCAAGGGTGCTTGTCTATTACCACTCAAGGGTGCTGTCATGTTCAGCAGGAGTGCAAGTAATTTACATTTTACTCATCACATAAGGAGACATGTATGAAAATCTGAGGTAAATGGCATCAATTCCATGATGTTTTATTGACCTTTAAAACCGCCTGCCCCAGTAAGCTGTCCATCTGACCGGATCACTTTTAACGGGCTCTGCTCATGGAGATCTGAGCAGCATCAGCTGTTTGGATCTGATTCCTGCTACTGCCTTCACATCAAGTTTGGTGGAAATCCTTCCACAAATTTAGTGTGTCACATGGATTTCAGTATACTCCCCATCTTAGAGATGGGCAAACTGAGACTCAGAAAGACCAACTAACTTCCCAAAGTCACCCAGTCATTAAGTTGTGGAACATAGGTGTTGCACACCCAAGCAGTCTGGAACTAGAGCCCAAATGCTTAACCAATATGCTCTGTTTGCTCTCCCTCTGTTTGGCTCTGTTATGGAGAAAAGAACCAAAAATGGGTTAGAGGAGTTACTTTGGCTTGAGCTGGAGAGATTTTCTGTTTGAATGGAACAGTTTCTTTTTCTGAGCTGATCATGCCCACAATCTCCAGACTGTCTGTAAACTCCAGCTTGGCAATTCCTTCAAAGCACTTCTTCAAGTGGGGCTGCACTCTGAGGGGGTCCTTTGTCTCTGACAAGATCTCCAGCAGCTCATCATTTGACAGGAAGAAGAACCTATTTCAAAGCAAAGGAAGATGGCAACTGGAATCTCTTCTGAGAACTTCTTTTTCCAATAAGGTGATACTCCCAACAGGTAGATGACCCCTCAGGGAATACCAGCTATGTTCTAGACTCCTCTTCACCATTTTTCATCTGGGGCATAGAGGTTGGAGATGGTTTTGTCTCAGAGGAAGAGAAAGAATGAAAGCTGGTATATGTGAGTTTAATATGGTTGACGGGAGTGGTGGTGGGGTGCTACCTTCTGACAGAAACCCGAATAGAGCCGTGGTTCTCAACCTTGGCCACACTTTAGAATCACCAGTGGAGCTTTTAAAAAAAATTCCGATGCCAAAATTCCACTGCCCAGATTCTAATATAATTGATCTGGGGTTGGGTCTGGGGATTGGTACATTTAAATTTTTTGTACTTTTAAATTGATTTGCAGTCAGGGTTGAAAACCACTGGGCAGAAGAAAGAGAGGAGACTTCCTTGTCTTTCCTTATCTCCAGGTATGACAGAAAATGTCATACGTATGAAATAAGAAGTGCATGTTAATAATAAACCTAGTTACATGCAGAAGCCTTTACTGTTTTAAATCAGAGATAGTAAGATAACTTCATTCTCTTGCTCAGGCCCTCAAAGAAGTAACAACAAACCTTCAGAAAATGTTCAAGGGACAAACTTCTACTGTGACCACTAGGCTGAAAGTTCCATAACAGAGGGATGGTCTGATTATGATCTTCATACTACATGGTGGATTACAAAAATGGCCACAATATTTGCAGCTCTTCCCCTCAAGAGGTGAAGTCTATGCTCACATGTCCTGAACCTGGCCTGGACTGTGGCTGGCTCTGTGTCCTGCTTTGGCCAACAGACTGTGGCAAACATGAGTCTGCGCAAGTTCCAAGCCTAGACATCAAGAGGCCTTGAAGCTTCCACTCTCACTGCTCTGAGGAACCCTGCGACCACCACCATGTGAATAATCCCAGGCTAGCCTTCTGGAGGATGAAAGACATGTGGCCCAACTATCCAGGCTGCCCTGGCAAACAAGAAGCCAACTACCAGACAAGTGACTGAGGTAATCGACTCCCAGCTGACAGCAGTCACATGAATGAGCCCTAATGAGACCAGAAGAACCAGCCAGCTGAGCTCAGCCCCATTTGCCAACCCACAGAATTGTGAGCTAAATAAACAGTTGCTGTTTTTAGCTTCTATGTTTTGGGGTGGTTTGTTATGCAGCAAAGCAAACTAATACATTGTAGCTGTCGTGTTGAGCAGGTAGGAAGAGCTCAGTAACTATTTGTTGGCCCACTGACTGACCAATATCTAATGAGGAGGTCAATTTCTCCCACTCCCAAGTGAATTTCAAACAGGTGATCTCTATGGATTTACATTGCCTCTATCTCCACCACGTGTGATAGTGAATAAGGCTCAAGGGCTGAAGAGTAATAATCAATATATTTGTATAATTTAACATTAAAATCATGACTAAGTACTTTGTATTTTTTAAAAAATTAATTTAAAATATGTAACTATTGGGGCTGGCATGGTGTTGTAGTGGTTAAGTTTGCATACTCTGGTTCGGCAGCCCAGGGTTCACAGGTTTGGATCCTGGGCGTGGACTTACACCACTCGTCAAGTCATGCTACTCATGGTGGCGACCCACATACAAAATGGAGGAAGACTGGCACAGATGTTAGCTCAGGGCCAATCTTCCTCAGCAAAAAAAAAAAAAAAAGTGACTGTCAATAACATTTTCAAAGTGTTTGCTGAGAGTTCTTAATTTTATTCTATAAAAATGCATAAAGAAATACTGAGATAGTCGTGTGTGTGTGTGTGTGTGTGTGTATGTGTGTGTGTGTGTGTTTAACTTCGGGAGAAAATGAAGCTCAGGAAGGTTAAATAACTAAGTATCTTATCCAGACTGCCTGGATTTGAATTCTAGCTTTTCCATTTACCACTCCTGTGTTTTTTGGCAAGTTACTGTTTCCTCTTTTGTAAAATAGGGTTAATAACGCTTCTAACCTCATAGGATTATTGTGTGGGTTAAAAAAGTTAAAACCTGTAAAGCACTTAGACCAGTGTTCTGGCATATGGTAATACTGTTTAGTGTTGGCTATTATTATTAATTGGCAACTCCAAACAAAAGGACAATACTCAATACCTGGGAAAAAAAAGTCTCTTCTTCTCCAAGTAATCATTCAGCCCCCTCTGGATATCCTCCAACAGAAGGTTAGCTTCTTGAAGCTTCTCAAGCATCCGTGGCTGGTCTGCTGCCATCAGAACTCTGGTATCTTTCACCTAGGTTCCATCAAAAAAGGAGTGAATAATCATGAAGTTCCCAGATTCTGAGACTGGTCATTGTAATGAGTGTATGACCAGCCCATTAACTAATGAACCCCCTTGCCCAGCTAACTGCCTCCTCATTCCACAAGGGTGAATGCCCGTATAACTTGACCCTGTTCCTCTGGCCATGGTTGACTGGTCCTGGGTTAGGCACCTGAAACCAAGTGAGCCAATTATATTTTAAATCCTTAGATTTGGGAATTCCAGTCATGACTTTCTATACTAGTCTGGGCTAGCCCCCTGAATGAGGGGGCTTTGCTGCTGTGTGAGGATTGTCTTCCATTATGTGACCGAGTGGTACAGTAAGCCAGTCTGCAGAGAGAGAGAAGCAGGCATAGAAAGAGCACTCTGTTCCTGAGAGATTTCTGGGTTCTAGCTCCATCCTTTGCGAGGCCTGGCTGTACTTTCTGCCCTTGGATTCCATGAGACACCCATGTGGTCTTTTTGTTTGAGCTACTTTCGAGTGGGTTTCTGTTACTTGCAACCAAAGAATCTTAACTAATAAGAAGTCTGAGGAAGCAGGATATCATGAAAACTGGTTCCACTGGCTGGGCAAAATAAATTCCCACTTATCTCATTCCTGCAAACAACCAGGGCAGATAAATACCCTTGAGACAAATTCTTTGTAAGTGCACCCCAATTTGAGCACATTAGACTTCAAAAAGGAAAAAGATATCACCTCTTAAGAGATGCCCCTGGTTGCCATGTCCATCCAGCAAACTCACTCTTCGAGGCTTGTTTCCAATGTCACCCCCTTTGGAGGCCTTCCTTGACACTCCCAGGCAACTAAGTCACTCTTCTGCATTCTAGAAACTGTTTGCATATACTTCTATTAAGCTTATATTTATCTAAGCCTGTCTCCTCATAAGACAGTGAATTCTGTGAAGGTAGAAATCATATTCTAGACATCTTCCAGTATTTTCTGACTCCTAACACAACGTCTGGGTCATCGTAGGTATTGAATAAACATTTGTTAAGTAACTGAGTAATTGAATATGGATAATTATTGGAATTCTAAAAGGATTCTCAATCTACAAATGTTTTATTGCATCATCCTGTAACGTATAGAAAAGTCTTCTACTTCATTAGGAATGACAGCTAAATTCTACAAACTGCTAATAGCTATCTCTAAGGAGGTGGGATTTCAACAGGCCTCCACTTTCTATATTACGTTTCTGTGTTTGGATTTTTAATAACAATAACTTTTAAAATTAGAAAAAATATATTAAAATATGAAATTTGCAAAAATCTAGTTTACTTACAAGTTTCAAGGGACATGGCTATGCTGCACAACGAGGAACATCTGTATGGCATCCTACGTTCCTGATGGCTAGATGTGCTAAGGAGTAAAACCTTACCGCTTGGGACATGAGTGATTTCCAGTAACTATCAACGATGGCAAATTTCTTGCCCTCTTCTGGCATCTGGGCTATGATGTCCTCTGAACTGAAGATTGGTTCCAGGTACAGCCAGGTGGCTTGGCATTTCAACCAGGCATCCAAAATTTCCTGCACACGAACTAGCTTTTCTTCCCACTTCTGCAAATTTAGCATTTCATATTTGAATCATTAATCTGCCACTCTGCATCACAGGCCCACTGATGGATTCATTCATTTATTCGCTCATTCACTTGTTCAACAAATACTTATTGAGTGCTCCCTGTGTTCTAGTCACTGATCTAGGCAATGTGGATATAGTAATGAAAGAAAAAAACAAGAGTCCTTGCCCTCATGGAGCTTACATTCTAGGGGAATAATAATAATAATAATAATAATAAATAGTTATAAAGCTTACTCTGTGACAAGGGATGATCTGAGTGCTGGTATGTATGTGAAACCAATTTAATACAACAGACTTACAAGGGAGATATTATTACAAAACTCAATACATGCAGAAATTGAGACACAACAGTTTAAGTAACTTGTCCAACATTAACTAATAAGGGGCAGAACCAAAATTTGAACCCAGGCAGTCTGGCTGCAGAGTTTGTGCCCTTAGTCTATGCCGCTTCTACAAACAATGAGGAAAGGAGGCCAAATCCCTACTCCGTATAGTTTACATTCTAGATTACTATAGCCCATGAGATACTTTCCAAATGTATTTTTATTTGGTGCATTCAAATCATCTCCTCTTCTGGAAGACTGCTGCAAAGGCTCAGCATGCCATACGCTTACTTGGATGGTTATTGCTTTCAGTCTTGTGTTGCTTTTTTTTCCAATCAGGAGAAAGCGAGTTTCTTCATTAAACGAACTTAAAAATCTTCTCCCTCCTCCAAGAAACCCAGAGCTAATAGGACATCACAAAACACCCAATCTCACTTCCTCTTACCCGGCATTCCGCCTCTATTGGTTTGATGAATGGGGAGCCACACATGGTCTGGGTCTTTATCACGTGATCATCCAGTAGCAGTTGAATGTCATCAACTGCACACAGGATGCTTGTATCCTGCAAATAAAGATGCCCCACACTGTCAAAATCACGAGACACCCGCTTTTCATGCTGATCCCCAAAGGCCTCACAGCTCAGATCTCTACCCCAGTGAGACAAGAATCCAAGTCTTGCAAAAGATGGAATTTCTATTTTCATCCTTGAAAGTGTTCTTAAAGACATGTATTTTCCACTTCCTTTGCAGAAATCGAATATAGTGCAAGCCCAGACCTGCAACTAGTGTCTGTTGGGGGAGGAAGAGTTCTCCCCTTTCCCTATGTTCCTACTTCCCTGTCCACTTGCTTTCCTTGCTCTCCCTCACGTAGAATCAGCTACTAATCTGACTGGTTAGGCCCAGACCCATGATTCTGAAACTGTGTGCTGAGGTGACCCAGAGCACTGCAGCAAACTCATAGCAAATAATTGTGGTTATTTAAAAATGAGATACACATGTTTTTTCTTTCAATTTACATGTATTTTTTTTAAACAGTTGTTTAGTTGACAGAGACATAAATATTTATTAAGTTGTTGGAACCTCATCACTTCATAAACAAAGCTATGAGATATTTCTTTTGGTCTAGGGAAGGGAACCAGGAAAAAAGTACTTAGACACAGATGATGTCATGAACCAAGCAAGTTTGGGACCCTCTGCCTATACATTTACTGGGCCAGATTTTACTAGTAGTTAAGGTTCCTGTGCCTTAAAGGTCAGCCTCTGTGGATGGCACTTTTCCTCTCCGGTCACTGTGGCAAGCAAGCTGATAAGGGTCTGCCCCCTGCAGCAAGTCTGGTCTTTCTCACTGTGTTTTCAATTCCTTCAAGCCTACATCTGGGTGGTTAGACTGGGGTTAGGATATATTCTCTCTTCTACCTTTCACCACTAGCTGTGCACTGGGAGGTGTGTCCAGCTCTTAATCAAGTGGGACCTTGATTCCCATTTTGCTGTTGATCCCTGTCTATAGCTACTTCAGTCAAAAACTCTGAAGATTGGCCACGTGTAATTGAGCTGCTCCCAGGTCCCCTGGCTTCACTCCTCATCACAGCTCAACAGCCTCTAGCAGGATCTAATCCAATCAGCTGGTGTAACACCAAGCTGCTGGGCACTGCAGTGGCCTGGTCTTCCTGGGAAAGGCTCCAGCTCTGTTCCCTCCCATTGGCTCATCAATAGCTCTTATCCAGTGAAATCAAGGCTTCATGACCATTGAAACTGAAAGGAGAGAGAAGCTCATGCAGCCTGGAGGAGGGTGAAGTATGGGATCCTTTAGGGTTTTAGTTCTCAATTTGCACCACACATTAGCAAAATCAGGGATGCCTTAAAAATACAGATGCCCAGGCATTCTGCAGGTGGAGGAGTCAGGAGGAATCAATTGGGATTTTTTTTTGAGAAGTGCTAAACATTATCTACCCCTGATATGCTTCTGAGGGACCTGGGGAGGCCTCCGTGGGAAATGCCAATTCAGGAGGCTTGCTCAGCTCCTTTACACTGAGAAAGCTTGTTGCTCTGAATCAAAAGGCGTTTCTCATTTGACAGTGTATCGCTCCAGTGGTGCCTGGGAGGAAGGGTGACTAGCATGGGAAGGCAGACACTAATGCAGAGCATAGTGATTACAGACAACAATACTGTATTAAAAACTTCAAAGCTGCTGAGAGGCTAGATCTTAATTGTGCCCATCACAAAAAAGAAATGATAATTATGTGATAGAGGTGTTAGCTAACACTATGGTGGTAATCATATTGCAACATATAAATGTATCAAATCAAGACGCTATACACCTTAAACTTACGCAGTGTTATACGTCAATTATATCTCAATAAAAATAAATTAAAAAAAAAGATGTTAAGGATCCTTCCTCTGTGAGTTCTGTTGCAATCCTGAATGAATCTCTTCTGTAACCCACTACATGATAAGCTGCTGCTCTCAGGGGTCTGAAAGATTGGACTGAGACTCACAGTGTCCCTGTACTTCACGAAGCCGAACGTTGTGTTAACCCAGTCTAACTTCATTTTCTCCAAGTTTTTCTCCAGAGAATATTCCTTACTGGCGGTTGCACCAATGGGCTCCAGTCTAAAGAGAGAACACAGCAACAGCAACTCAATAGGAGGAGGCAGTGAAAACATGTCAAAGCAAGAATTTCAGCTTAGCCTTAAGAGAAATGCAAAAAGTCCTTAATTTTACTAACATGTTTACAGAGTGAAGACCATGTGGAGACACAGGGAGAAGTCTACTGTCTGCAAGCCAAGGAGAGAGGCCTCAGAAGAAACCAACCCTACCAACACCTTGATCTTAGACTTCAAGCCTCCAGAATTGTGAGACAATAAATACCACCTAGTCTGGGGTATTTGTTATAGCAGCCCTAGCAAAGTAATACAGGGTGGATAATTCTTTGTTGTGGAGGGCTGTCCTGTGCATTGTAGGAGGTGTAGCAGCATCCCTGGTCTCTACTCACTAGATGCCAGTAGCAGACTCCCCCCACCCTCACCCCTTGCCAGTTGCGGCAACCAAAAATGTCTCCAGATGTTGCCAAATGTCCCCTGAGGTGGAAAATCATCCCCAGTTGATAACCACTGTTTTAAGGTCATTAAAACAAGACCTCATCTTTCCATTTTCTTTAACTCTTTATTTACTCCAGAACTATTATTCTGATTTCTTATTCAGATCTTAGAACTTCTGTTAATTTATGTGATGGCTTTTGCTCCACTTCCTGTCCCTACTCTTTTTTTAAAAAAAAAACACCTGCTATTTTCCTGATACACTGGTCCACCCATTGACAGCCTCTCTGTTCCATAGAAAGCAGGAGGGAGGGAGAGAAGGGGAAGATAAATTCCTTTCTTCTTGTTTCCACATGGAGATCTGGGTCCTAAACCCAGGTGTGGGCAAAGAATTGGGAAGCAGAGTTCATGGAAGGAGAAGGAGGGGTTATTCTCTCTGCCTCAGCAGAGAGGCAGGAACAGGATATCAGGATATCCTGATATCCTGAGATATCAGGAACATAACACTGTACCAATAGGTAGTGGCTGAAAACTTAGACATCTTTCCCTGCCTCCTCGACTAGCGAAGAGACCATCTGGTCTTTACTTGTTAGTCAGGAAACTGAAGCCCAGAGGAAGCAATGACGTGTCCAAAGCCACACACACAGCTGGGGGTGCCGGAACCAGGTCTAGACACCAGTTCCTCTGACTCCTAATCTGGTTTCTTCCTCCTCCACTACGTGCCTTCTCCTCTCTCTTTGTCAGAAGGAGCAGTAGAATTGTTCACATGTGGTCAGCCAAATAGGGCCAATTAAACAGAGCTGAAAACCGTCATTTAGCCTCATGCAGGGAGGCAGGCGAGGTACAGATAATGCCAAAGAATGACTGATCAAGACATCAGCAGCATGGTCACCATCCTAAATGTGGCCTTCTTGGGAGACAACCAAAATGAGTGTGCATATAGGGAATAATTAATAAGGGCAGGTGCCAACCCAGGTGAGTATAAGACAAGGAGGCTGGCTGTGTGGCCGAGTTAAGTCACTTGACAGGCCTTAGGTCCCCATCTGCCCCTATCAGAGGTTGTTGGTATAATTAAACAAGATAAAATGCTTGCAACGTGCCTTATGACTTATAATTATACAAATAATTGCACAGGGGATGGATTAATCAGCTTGGGAGTCTGTGAAGTATATCAAGAGTTGACCTTACCCAAATGTGCTAGAGGAGCTCATTAACTGTGGGCTGTGATAAAGCTGCCATCACTGCGGGCTGATATCAGGAACAGGATATCAGGATATCCTGATATCCTGAGATATCAGGAACATAACACTGTACCAATAGGTAGTGGCTGAAAACTTAGATGTCAAATCAGTCCAGGTTATGTGTCTCATCTCATAATCCTCACAATAACTCTATTCACCTAGCCACTCCTATTCTTCTCATTTTACAGATACAGAGACTGAGGCACACAGAGGTAAACAACTTGGCCAAGGCCACTTCTGGACTTGTGATAGTTGAGCACGTTGGCATGGAGAGTGGCAGAGTCACTGTGTGTCTCCTCGGTCTCTGTCTCCTTAGATGGGTTTATTTTTTAGGTGGTAAAGGGTAATGATGGTTAAGGTTCTGAAGTCAGTCAGCCTGGGCTCAGGTCTTAGTTCTTTCAGTTACTAGCTGTGACCTCTGGCTAGTTACTTAATCTCTCTAATCAATTTATTTCCTCATCTGTAAAATGCAAATAATAACACTAGCTAGAACATCAGGTTGTTGTGATGGATGAGTTGGTTAATGTATATAAAATGCTTGGTGCAGCATAAGTGTTCAACAGTTGGTGTTTCCTGGAAACATTTTACTGGGGGAAAATGAGGCCCTTTAATAAAATAACCTAGACCCCGTAAAAATGCATGCGTCTCTAGGCCTGTTCCTTAAAGAGGGACAAGAATGGCAGTCTTGGGGGGCATCAGAGCATTCAGGTGGCAGAGAGATTTGGGGGCCTGGAAGCACCTTACATTAGAACTGTTCTGCCACAGTATGGAGAAGGGGTTCTCACACTTCAGCACGCATCAGAGTTGCCCGGAGCACCACTGTCCATTCAAAATATATCATGAGCCACATATGTCATTTTAAAGTTTCTAGTAGTCTTATTTTTAAAAAGTAAAAAGAAATGGATGACATTAATTTTAATAATTTTATTTAATGCAATATATCCAAAATATCATTTCAACATATAACCAAGGTTAAAATTTGTTAGATATTTTGCTTTTTTTTTCTTAATAAGCCTTTGAAATCCAGCCTATATTTTACACTTCCAGCACATCTAACTCAGAATCGCTACATTTCAAGGGCTCAATACCACACATGGCTAGTGGCTCCTGCAGTGGACAGCAATGACCTGGAGGATTTGTTAAAATACAGACTGCAGGGTCCACTCCCAGAATTTAAAGTCAGCAGATTGGGGTGGGGCCTGAGAATGTGTATTTCTAACAAGATCCCAGGTGATGCTGATACAGCTGTCTCCACCACACTCTGAGAACACACAGGTCAAGTTAGACCCTAACCCAGGTGCCTAACAGGGTCTCCTGTCCTGGCAACACAACATCTCTCCATCCCTCATCCTGAAGGAAGTGTGAGAAAACAAACAGGGTCCCGAGAATCTCTGGTCCTAAAAATAGAAATTCAAATAATACAAATTCTCATGCACACACTCCAGGGGCATTTGAAAATGGAGAGAGAACAAGCGAAGATAACTCTCATTTGACCACACTGCATGGACTTTTAGACCTCAGAGAGCCACTCCTGCTTGTTGCTGATTTGTTTGTTTAAAGAAGAGGAAACTGAGGCCCAGAAAGGTTAAATGGTTTTGCCCAAAGTCACTGAGACCTGGGCTTGAACCTCAGGTGCCAAGAATTTTTTTTTTTTTGTAATTTCCCTTTGAAATAAAGTCTGTGATTCAATTTTCGAGTCATAATTCATCATCAGCTCTGCAGCTGGAAATGAAAGCTTCACCAGTAGCTAGTCACCCGAAGTGGAGGTTCCTAAAAACTCAAGTTATCCTGAACCAGGAGACACAGCCTGATATGAAGACAGTCATATCCTTGTGGGAACTTACAGACACTCTGACCACAAAACTTACTGAAGGAAGGGAGGAGCCTTACTTGTCAATGAATTTGCCGAATCCAAATTCCAGCATATTTGAGAGGCAAGTCGTTTCGGTGGGCTTTATTTCACAGCCAACAATCTCACTGATCTGCAAAGAAAAGAGGAAAACAAGTATGTATCGTCCAAGGTAGCACTAGCCAGGAGACTTTCCGTGATGATGGAAACATTCTATTCTGCGCCATCCCGTACAGTAGCCACTAGTCACACGCAACTGTTGAGCCCTGGAAATGTGGCTACTGAGACTGAGGAATTTAATTTTTATTTAATTTTACTTAATTTACATTTATATAGCTGTGTACAGCTAGTGGCTATTGAATTGGACAGTGCAGGTCTAAGGAACTGGGGAGGCAGCCTGGGGCTCACACTCCATTACATCTGGTTTACTGGGGCTCTGTCTACCACCAGCACTTGGTATAGTGCAAACCTGTGAGCACCTTGGGGGCTGGGATTGGATCTGGTTTGTTTTTGTGCTCCCAGGGCCTAGTGCAAAGCCTGGTCCATGACAGAAGCTGCCGTAAGTGTTTGCTGAGTAAAAGGAGAAAGTCATGAGTATACGTGCCAGACAGACCCCCAAATTCTGTGATCTGAGGATGCTGGGAAGCAGGAAGGGCTCCCGTCCAAACATCTTCCTTTCCATCCCAGTGTGCTCACTTGTTGGAAATGTTAGCATCTGTTGTGCCCATTCCTGTGGTGTAAAAACTATCCCAACCTTATCTTTTAAGTGAAAATATCCCTAAGAAAGGTCTTAAAGTCTCTGACGGCTTTTGAACACTTTTCTCAGCGACTGAGAGATCTGGGCAGTATGAGGGTTACACGTACTCAAGACGAGAATGAGGACTGAAGGGGAACGAGACTGTGAAAAACCTCACCTACTGCCCAATTTTGTCTCTGTCCAGCCCCAGGAGGATAAAGAATGTCAGAGCAGGAAGGGACATGAGAGTCACATCATGTTCTGTCTTATTCAGCCCTGTGTCCCCAGGGCCTGGCATTTAGTAGGCATCCACAAGTATTTATGGAGTGAAAGCATGAGTGAACCAGCTAATTCAAATGGCTTCCAATCTGGGTTCTGAGGACACATGGATGACCACTAAGGTAATGGAAATAACAAAAGTAATTAACATTTATTGAGGGCTTACTATGTAGTAGGCACTGTTTTAAGAGCTTTATGTACTTATTTCATTCTCCCAACATGATGAGGAACATACTAATGTATTATTATTCCCATTTTACATTTAAGGAAACTGAGACAAAGAAATTAACTACCTCGTCCAAGACCACCCAGCTAATAAATGGCAGAATTGGCACTTAGATCCAATTCTGACTGCAAAGCTCTTATCCACCACACTCTAGTGTCTCTCACAGGTCTTCATGTACAGATGTGCAGGTTACACACTGCATAACTCTAGAAAGTACAATTCACACTATAGTGCACAAAAATAGCATTCCCTAGAGTTGTGCAGTGCCCAATCTGCACAACTGTTCCTGGTGGTCCTGGCCTCTCATTTATTCTCTAATACCTAAAAGAATGGCTTAGAACAACACACTGACTGTCTCTGGGGTTAAATGACATAACTGTGTAAAGCACTTGGCATAGTACTTGGCCCATAAGAAAGACTCAGAGATTGGTAGTTTATTTTTTGAATTGCTTTTGTTAATTTTAGAGATTAACAAAGCACCTGGTTTTCTAATTCTAAGAGCCTAGAGCTATGCTGTCCAGTATGGAGCTAGCCCCTTGCGGCTATCGAAAACTTGAAATGCTACTAGTTCAAACTGAGATGTGCTGTTAAGTATAAAAGCACACCATATTTCAAAGACTTAGTATGAAAAATGTAATGTGAGAGATCACATTAACATTTTTATATTGACTATCTATTGAAATGATAATATTCTGAATATGTTTGGTTAAATAAAACATATTCATAAAATTTATTTCACCTGTTTGTACTTTTTTAAATGTGGCTACTAGAAACTTTAAAATTACACATAAGGCTCGTATTATATTTCTATTGGGCAGTGCTGTCCTGGGGGCCAGCTTTGGTACACATCAGTGCAGTCTCTTCCTAAGGTCCACGCTATCTTGTTTCATCTTGTTTTAAACCACAGTAGCAACCCCTTTGCTGATATCAGTCAAGTCTGTGCCGCAAACATAAGGACTAGTCTTTCCCGCTTAAGTTCTGGGAAATGGTCAGAAACGGCAGCACAGCCACCCTATGACCCCAGAAGATCCATCTTGTAGCCTTGAGAGCTACAGGCGGTTTAGCCTTCAGAACCCCCAGCCAGAGCCAGAATCCACGCAAATGGATCTCCTGAGTCAGGCATTAGGACAGAGAATGGCTTTCTGAGGCTTGGAGCTGTCACTGGGGTGGCTTGTGGTGTCTGACCTGCAATGCAGGCAGGAATGGGCTCTGAGTGGGGGCAGCCCTGAGTGCATCTGTGGCCTTTGTCCTTTCCGAGCTCACCTTTGACTGTTCAGGATATTGGGCTTCCACTTTAGGGGCTCAGTACTCAGGAGCTACCCTCCTGGGGCTGCAATCCACTCTCACTTATCGTTTACTGCCCCCTACTGTCCACTCCCTTCTTCTGACCTGATATTTCTTGCCCCCTTTCCACCCATCTAGGCTGAGTCAAACAGACCTAGATTCCAACTCCCTCCCCAACCACTTACTAGCCACATGACAATTTACTTCATCTCACTAAACCTCACTTTTCTTATCTGTGAAATGGAGATAATAATAGTTCCTACTTCAAAGGGTTGTTAGAAGGATGAAATGAGAGAATCCACATAAATTACACAACACAGTACCCAGTACACAGTTAGTAGTCAATATGTTTTAGCTATTATTGGTGTTATTTTAATTCCAAGGAACATTTTTTTCCCAATCTGTCCATCTAAGTGGTCTATAAATGAGAATTACAAAGGTCTTGGATGGTTGAGATTTTTCAAGTGCCCACGTGGGAGAATAGCGTCATCATAGGAGAAGCTCCAGACAGGGGATGGCTTTCCGAGCCCCCCTGGAGTGTGGTTTAAACGCCATTGATGAGGGCACTTTCTATAGTGCCATCTCATGGAGACACCTAGCACTACTAGAGGCCACCTGTCTACCCAACCTCCCTAACCCTACAAATGGGTCACAGTTCTAGTCAGGCTCAGTCCATAGGGAGAGGCACCCTATGATCACCAAGTGAGGGCAGCCATCCCTGTGCAGATTCCTCTGCTAGGTCAGCTCAAGACCAGAAGTCTACCCAGATGACCTCTCCTCTGCCCTTCTTTACACCCTTTGCTTAGGTCTTGAGTTTCAAGGCTTTGTGGGAAATCAAAAGCAGTTCCACTCTACAGAAAATCCTTGAATCTCTCATCTATCAAGATCTTTGTCTTCCTGGGGAGATCAAAATGCTTGTAGCCAATGGGCTTGGGCTCCATTCTCTGGAAGGTAATGGGTGTGCTCTCAGATTGGGTCTTTCCAGAGACAATGTTCTCAATCTTGTACATGGTTCCAAGAGAGGGAATTCTAGGCCAAGTCAGAGAGGAATCTGCCTCTGGAGAGCCAGTCTCATCTCCACCTCCACACAGAGCAACTCCCTGGTAGAGGATGTTTCAAGGGTGCTGCTAGCCCTTGAATGTGATGATTATTTTAGAAACACAGTAAGGTTGCTTGTAAAAATCCCAATGATTTTTAGGGAGAATATTTATTATTCTCATTTATAGACTCTAAGGGCTGAAAGAAGTGTGCAAAATTATTTCTAAACAAGCCTGTTGAAGGATGAGACTCCAGACCACAGTCAGCCCAAGCAAGAATCATCTGGCATTGCCAGTAGCCCCCAGGGGAAGATGTGACTTTTGCTTTTGTGTGTTGTAGGTCAAGGAACAAATCAAGGCCCCTCCCACCGTAATTCAGCACCCTTATCCCCCCGTAGGACCCTGAGCAGCCATTCGCTTAGGGAAGCAGACTGGGAGAGTCTTTGTGGCCACTGGCTGGAACAATACTCAACTACCAGCAATGGGGTCCCCAAAGAAAAGGGTCAACCTTTATCCCACCTGTTCCCTTCCTTCAAAAGGCTATCCCTCCCATTACTACCCCCTTGGCCTCAAGTAGATTCTCCTTTCAGAAAGGAGAAGCTTGACCCAGTAATGTTTCCTGCCTTCCCAAGGGCTGCCAGGGACGGGATCAGCTGGCAAGGGGTGGGCAGTGACAGGGACCTGCTGCCAGTGCCGGTCTTTCATTCCTGGGTTGCAGGAAACGTTGAGGATAGGGATGTGCTGCTTGAACTTATCAATCTTGATTTTCACATTCTCTGCTAAGCGCCGGGGTGCAGGCACGTCAGCTAAGGTCTTGGTCAATTTATATATTGTCCTCCACATATTCCCTATTTCCTCCGCGATTTCCTCAGCATTCAGTAAAAAGAGGGGTCCTGAAATAGAAAACATGGGGTGAGGGAGGGGTCAGGCCACCAAGTAGATGTCAGCTACACGTACCTGTTAATTCTCTGAACATAGAACTGTGCCTATGGTGTGGATATTGGAACAAGCACAGGCTTTGAAGTTGGATCTGCTCTGAAAGCTCTACTTAGCCTGAAACCTTGGGCATGTTTACAGAACTTTTTTAAGCCTCATAGTATCACTTGCGATGCATGGGTAACAATGGAGACCTTGGAGAGTGACTGTGAACACTAAGTGAGATAAGTAAAGTGCCTCACATAATGCCTGGCATATAACGCAAGTGCAGTTAGGGAATCAATTGTTAGTACTGGTTGTAGATGCTACTCTAGAAGCATTAAAAGGTGCTCCACAAATGCTGTGAAATATTAATCATTGGGGAATGTGGGTGAATGGGGATATAGGAGTTCTCTATACAGTTCTGGCAACTTGTATGTAAGTTTGAAATTATTTAAAAATAGATTACTTTAAAAACAAAGAATGACACCTAATTTTTTTAAAAAATTGCTCCAAAACATGAATTTCCTTCGCCGCCTTTTCTTTTACAGGGATCCTTTAGCATTTGGGTTTCACATTCAGTCAAAATCTTTCCACGCTGCTGCTTCCTTCCCCTGTGATATTTCAAATTTGTATGAACTCTTGTACCATGATGTTGCTAATTTACTCAAAAATACTTCTTTCAGGGCTGCTGAGACTAAATGTAGCTTCATTAATATAGCTTTCTTAATTAATAACATGCTTCATCAACCCAACATTTTCATTCAGTAATCAAAAATGAAAATTTTTAAAAAAGAACAAGAGAAGTGGGGCTGACCCTGTGGCCTGGTGGTTAAGTTTGGTGTGCTCCACATTGGCGGCCTGGGTTCGGTTCCCGGGTGCAGACCTACACCACTAGTAAGCAGCCGTGTTGTAAAAAATAGAGGAAGCTTGGCACACATGTTAGCTCAGGGAAAATCTTCCTCAAGAAAAAGAGGAAGATTGGTGACAAATGTTAGCTCAGGGCGAATCTTCTTCAGCAAAAAAAAAAAAAAAAAGAAGAAGAAGAAAAAGAAAAGAAATGTGTATCACTTCCATGCAATATATAAAAAGAATAATACACCCATGTCCAAGTGGAGGTTTATCATGGGAATGCAAAGCTGCTTTAAAATTTGAAAATCAAACAATATAATATACCATATTAACAGTCTAAAGAAGAAAAATGACATGATAACATCAATTGATGCAGAAAAAGCATTTGAAAAAATTCACTATCCATTCATGATAAAAACCTCTAAACAAACTAGGGAATAGAAGGAAGCTTCCTCAGTCTGATAAAGTGCACCTATGAAAAACCTACATTAACATTATACTTTTGTATACATTAAATATGTACAGCTTTTTACATGTCAATCATACTACAATAAATTGGTTTTAAAAAACAAAACAAAATAAAACAAAAAACAAATAATTACACTTAATGGTAAAAAATGGAATACTTTTTCTCTAAGATCAGGAACAAGGCAAGAATTTTCACTCTTACAGCTCAATAACAACAAGATAGCTGGAAAAATCCCCAAATATTTGGAAATTAAACAACATACTTCTAAATAACACATAGGTCAAAGAAGAAATCTCAAGAGAATAAAAAATATTTTGAGTTACATGAAAATGAAAGTATAACTTATCAAATGTTGTAGTATGTAGTAAAAGAAGTGTTTAGAGGAAAATTTATAGCATTGAATATATATATTAGAAAAGAATGAAGAACTAAAATCAATAATCTATGCTTCCATGTTAGGCAACTAGTAAAAGAAGAGGAAATTACCTCCAAAGTGAGCAGAAGAAAAGAAATAATAAAACCAAAAGCTGCTTCTTTGAAAAGATCAGTAAAATGGATAAACCTTTAGCCAGGCTAACCAAGAAAAGAGAAAAGACACAAATTACTGATACCAGAAATGAAAGAAGGGACATTACTGCACATCTCATGAATATTAAAAGGACACTAAAGGAATACTATGAAAAACTCTGTGACCACAAATTTGATAACCTAGATGAAATGGACCAATTCCTTGAAAGATACAATTTGTCAAAAGTCACACCAGAAGAAATAGACAATGTGAACAGGCCTGTATCTATTTAAGAAATTGAATCAATAATTAATAACTTTTTAAAACAGAAAGCACAAAGGCCCAGATGTATTCACTGGTGAATTCTACCAAACATTTAAGGAAGCATGATACCAATTCTCTACAATCTCTTCCTGAAGATAGAAGCAGAGAGAATACTTCCTAACGTCTTCTATGAGGCCAGAACTACCCTATACGAAAACCAGACAAAGACATTACTAGAAAAAGAAATTAAAGACCAATATCTCTCGTGAACATAAATGCAAAACTACTCAACAAAATATTAGCAAATTGAATCCAATAATATATAAAAAGGACTTATACACCACAATCAGTTGGGATTTATTCCAGGTATGTGAAGCTGTTTCAACATTTGAAAATCAATTAATGTAATCCATCACTTCGATAGGCTAAGAAAGAAAAATCACATGATCATATCAATAGATTCAGAAAAAGCATCTGACAAAATTCAACATCAATTAATGATAAAAACTCTCAGTAGGGGCCAGCCCGGTGTCACAGTGGTTAAGTTCATGTGCCCTGCTTCGGCGGCCCGGGGTTCGCAGGTTCAGATCCTGGGTGTGGACTGAGGCATTGCTTGTCAAGCCATGCTGTGGCAGTGTCCCATATAAAGTAGAGGAAGAGGGGCACGGATGTTAGCCCAGGGCCAATCTTCCTCAGCAAAAAGAGGAGGATTGGCATTGGATGTTAGCTCAGGGCTAATCTCCCTCACACACACACACACACACACACACAAACACACACACACAAACTCTCAGCAAACAAGGAATAGAGGAGAACTTCCTCAACTTGATAAAGAACATCTACGAAAACATATAGTTAACATCATATTTAATGATAAGAAACTAGAATCTTTTCTGCTAAGATCAGAAACAAAGCAAGAATGTCCCCTCTCACCACTCCTTTTCAACATCATTCTGTGGAAGTCCTAGGTAATGCAACGACAAGAATAGGAAATAAAACATATACACAGATTGAGAAAGAAGACACAAAACTTTCTTTGCAGATGACATGATCATCTATGTAGAAAATCTGAAAGAATCAACAAAAAGTTCCTGGAACTAATTCACAATTATAGCAAGGTTGCAGGATACAAGGTTAATATACAAGTGTCAATTGCTTTCCTATATACCACTAATGAACAAGTAGAATTTGAAATTGAAAACACATATTCATTTACATTAGCATCCCCAAAATTGAAATACTTAGGTATAAATCTAACACAATATGTACAACATCTATATAAGAAAAACTGTTACAAAACTCTGATCAGAAGAACAAAATAAACAGAGAGATAGTCCATGTTCCTGGATAGGAAGACTCAATATCGTCAAGATGTGAGTTCTTCCCAGCTTGATCTATAGATACTGTGCACTCCCAATCAAAATCCCAGCAAGTTATTATTTTTTTTTTGATACAGACAATTGATTCTAAAGTTTTATGGAAACATAAAAGATCCAGAATAGCCAAAATAATATTGAAGGAGAAGAATAAAGTTGTGAGACTGACATTATGCAACTTCAAGACTTATTGTAAAGCTACAATAATCAAGGGTGCTATTGGTGAAAGAATAGACAAATAGGTCAATGGAACACAACAGAAAGCCCAGAAATAGTCCACATACAATCAACCAATCTTTCACAAAGGCGTAAAGGCAATACAATGGAGAATTATAATTTTTCAACAAATGCTTTTAGAACAACTGGATATCCACATGCAAAAAATGAAATCTAGATGTAGACCTTACAGCCTTCAAGAAAATTAACTCAAAATGGATCATGGACTTAAATGTAAAATGCAAAACTATAAAATTCCTAGGAGACAACATAGGAGAAAAATCTAGATGACCTTGGGTTTGATGATAACATTTTAGATACAACACTAAAGGCATGATCTATGAAAGAAATGACAAGCTAGACTTCATTAAAATTAAAAACATCTGGGGGCCGGCCCGGTGGCGCAAGCGGTTAAGTGTGCGCACTCAGCTGCGGTGGCCCAGGGTTCGCCGGTTCAGATCCTGGGCGCGCACCGCTTGGCAAGCCATGCTGTGGCGGCGTCCCATGTGAAGTGGAGGAAGATGGGCTTGGATGTTAGCCCAGGGCCAGTATTCCTGAGCTAAAAAAAACAGGAGGATTGGTAGGTGTTAGCACAGGGCTGATCTTCCTCACACACACAAAAATATTAAAAACTTCTGTTCTGTGAAAGACACTGTCAAAACAATGAGAAGATAAGCCAAAGACTAGGAGAAAAAATTGCAAAAGACATATCTGACAAAGCACTGTTGTCCAAAATATACAAAGAACTCTTAAAACCCAATAATAAGAACACAAACAACCCGGGCAAAAGGCTTGAACAGAAACCTTATCGAAGAACATATACAGATGGCAAATAAGCACATGAAAAGATGTTCAACATCATTATGTCATTAGGGAACTGCAAATTAAAACCACAATGAGATACCACTACACAACTATTAAAATGGCCAAAATCCAAAACAGTGACAACACCAAATGCTGGTGAGGATGTGGAGCAAAGGGAATTCTCATTCATTGCTGGTGAGAATGCAAAGCTGTATAGCCACTTTGGAAGACAGCTGGGCAATTTCTTACAAAACTAAACATACTCTTACCACATAATCCAGCAGCCATTCTCCTTGGTATTTACCCAAGTGAACTGAAAACCATGTCTACACAAAACCAGCACACAATGTTCATAGCAGCTTTACTCATAATTGCCAAAAACTGCAAGCAACGAAGATGTCCTTTAGTAGGTGAATGAATAAATACACTGTGGTACATTCAGATAATGGAATATCATTTAGCACTAAAAAGAAATAAGCTATCAGGCCATGAAAATAAATGCAGGAATCTTAAATTTATATTACTAAGTAAAAGAAGCCAGTCTGAAAAGGCTATATACTGTATGATTCCAACTATACGATATTCTAGAAAAGGCAAAATTATGGAGACAGTAAAAAGATCAGTGGTTGTCAGGGGTTAAAGGGGAAGGGATGAACAGGCAGAATTTTAAGGGCAGTGAAATTATTCTGTGTGATACTATAATGATGGATACATGTCATTATACATTTGTCAAAACTCAGCATGTATAACATCAATAGTGAACACTAATGTAAACTGTGGATTTTGGGTGATAATGATGTGTCAGTGTAGGTTCATCAATTGTAATAAATGTACCACTTCATGCTGAATATCGATAGTAGAGGAGGCTGGGGTGGGGGGCAGGGGATATATGAGAACCCTCCGAACTTTCTGCTCAGTTTTGCTGTAAACCTAAAACTGCTCTAAAAAAAAGTCTACTGAAAAAAAAAGGAAAAGAAGAAAGCTCTCATCAGGGTAGACTGGTTCCTGAAAAAGGAGGAATGGGACAACACCTTCCCCCTCCTTCCCACTGCTCCAAATACAGAAAAGTAATAAACAAAATGTATAAAGAAGATATTTAAAAGGTGGGCTCTAAAGTAAGATAATGATCTTCTTGGATCCAATTGATTCCAGCTCTTGGGGATTTATGGGAACTAGAGGCATTCCACACACGTGGTGGGTGCCCTGAGCCAGGCTCACTGCTGGAAATCAGAGCTGGACCAGTGTCCCCCACGCACTCCACCCATGAGAGGAGAACTGCTAAGGCTGCTGCCTGAGATTAAGTCTCATGTGAAGCTGCAAACCTAGGGAGACAGGAGGAAACCCTCTCAGTCCTGAGATCAAGCTGATCTGAGCAAGGTCCTGAGCAAGGCTGCCCATGAATGCAGAGACTGGACCAAAACCAAAAAAGACGAAAAAACCCACAACAATTATTTTTCTATAAACTAGCAATGACCAATTAAAAACTGAAATTTAAAAACATATCATAGCTCTAAAAAGGAAATACTCAACAAAACACATACAGGATCTGTATGCTGAAACCTAGAAAACACTGATAAAAAGAAATCAAAGAAGATCTAAATAATTGGAGAGACTTACAGTGTCCATGGAATGGAGGACTCAGTATAGTAAAGATATCAATTCTTTCCAAATTGATCCATAGATTTAACATATTTCCAATTAAAATTCCAGCAGGTTTCCTATATATATTGATAAGCTGATTCTCAAATTTTTTATAAAAGATGTAAAGCAAAGGTCAAAATAAAATTTGAAAAAGAAGATTGAAATTGGAGTACTCACACTATCTGATCTTAAGTCTTCCTATAAAGCTACAGTTTTCAAGACAGTGTGGTATTGGTGAAGGACTATATACATAAATCAATGGAACATTTTAATAAAGAGTCAAGAATTCAATCCACACAAATATGGCCAATTGATTTTTGACAAAGGTACAAAGGCAAGTCAATGGAGAAAAAAAAGAGTCCTTTCAACAACTGTTCCAATTGCTGGAACAAGTGGATATCCACATGCAAAAGAATGAACTTCAACTCAAGCCTCATATCTTATGTAAAAATTAATTCAAAATGGACTATATGTCTAAATGCAAAACATAAGACTGTAAAACTTCTAGAAGAAAATATAGAATATCTTCATGACCAGGGTTAGGCTAAAGATTCTTAGACATGACACTAAAAGCACAATCCAGAAAAGAAAAATTGATAAATTGGACTTCATCAAAATTAAAAGCTTTTTCTCTATGAAAGACATGATTAAGAGAATAAAAAGATAAGCTATAGACTGGGAGAAAATATTTGCAAACCACATATCTGACAAAGGTCTTGCAACCAAAATACATAAAGACCTCTCAAAACTCAACAGTAAGAACACCAGCAACCCAATTAAACACATGGGTAAAAGTGTTGAACCGACACTTCACCCAAGAGGATATACGAATGGTAAATAAGCACATAAAAAAATGTTCAACATCCTTAGGCATTAGGGAAATGCAAATTAAAATCATGAGGAAACACCACAATCACCTATGAGGACGGCTAAAATAAAAAAAATACTGACAATACCAAGTGCTGGTGAGGATGTGGAACAACTAGAACTATCATACATTGCTGGTGGATGCAAAATGGTTCAGTCACTGTGGAAAACACGAGTTGGGCATTTCTTATAAAGTTAGACATATACTTTAAATATGGCCCAGCAATCTGTTCCTGGGCATTTACCCTACAGGAACGAAAACTTATGCTCACTCCAAAACTTGTACCTGAATGTTTATAGCAGCTCTATTCATAATAGCCTGAAATTGGAAACAGCCCAAATATTCAAAAATGGATGAACGATTAAACAAACTGGTATATCCATACAATGGAATACTACTCTGCAATAAACGGAAAGGACCTATGGACACATCCAATAACTTGGATGACTCTCAAAGGTAATAGGCTGAGTGAAAGAAGTAGTCTCAAAACGTTACACACTGTATCATTCCACATATCTGACAGTCTCCAAAAGATAAAACCATAGTAACAATGAAGAGATCAACAGTTGCCTGGTCTCATGGCTGGGGGGAGAGTGTGACTTCAAAGGGGTGTTACAAGGATGTTTATTGAGGTGATGAAACTCTTCTGTTTTTTGATCGTGGTGAATCTACATACATGTTAGAATTCATAGAACTGTATGCCAAAAATGTCAATATTACTGTATACGAATTTAAAAAATAAAATGTAAAAAAATTTAAAATACAATATCTCTTTCTAATAAAAGGGTTTAGTAAATTATAAATACTTCCTTTACACCAGAAAAATGTTGTATCTCACACCAACAAAAAGCATCATGTTTAAAGATGACACTGGAAGAATTCTCATTAAAATCAGGAAGGAGACAAAAATGCCCGTTCTTACCACTGTTTATTTTGGAAGTGCTAGTCAACACAGAAAAATGAACAAAAAAGGGGCATGAAATGATAAACAAATAACGTAAAATATTCTAATTGTACAGACATGATTGACTACCTGGAAAAATTGAAAGCATCAATGAAAATATTACTCAAAACTGAAAATTATTTAAATAAGGGAGTTTAGTAGCACTCCAATAGAAAAGAAATGAGAGAGCACAAGAATAGGCTTTTATAAAACAAGGACTGCAACTATCCAATAAACATTCAACTTTAAGTAAAGGAAATAATACTTTTTTTTTTTTTTTTTTTTTGTGAGGACGATCAGCCCTGAGCTAACATCCATGGCAATCCTCCTCTTTTTGCTGAGGAAGACAGGCCCTGAGCTAATATCTATTGCCAATCCTCCTCTTTTTTTTTCCCCTTTTTCTCCCCAAAACCCCAGTAGATAGTTGTATGTCATAGTTGCACATCCTTCTAGTTGTTGTATGTGGGACGCCGCCTCAGCACAGTTGGACAAGCGGTGCGTCAGTGCGCGCCTGGGATCTGAACCTGGGCCACCAGTAGCGGAGCACATGCGCTTAACCGCTAAGCCACGGGGCCGGCCCCAGGAAAGAATACTTTTTAAAAATGAAAAAGAAAATACCATTTTAAACATCAAATCAGCAAAAAAGTTTTCAAAGCTATTATTTCCTGGGTTTGTGGAGGGTATGGGGAATGGGCACTATACTACACTACACATACTGCTAGAAGAATAATGAATTAAAACATACAACTTTTCTGGAGGACAATAAAAATAACAAAGCAGTTTTTAAAATCCTAATAATTTTCATTACATACTTTTTGATCTAGCCATTTCACTTTTAGGAACTTATCCTAAGAAAGTGATCATGATTGTATCCAGAAAATTGGCAACAAAGATGTTTATAACCATTGTGTTTATAATCCTGAAGCACTGGAAATAAGCTAAAGGCTCAACCCTACGGGTCTCTGACTTTGTCCTCTGCTCTTATACACTCTCCTCAGGTAATATCATTCATGGCTTTTAATTGCAATCTATACATCAATTATTCCCCAATATAAATCCTATCCCTCAACCCTATCACTTAGTTCCAGACTGATATATTCAACTACTAATTAACATTACCATTTGGATGTTTGCAGACACCTCAGACTCAGTGCGTTCAAGTCAATGGGTTTTCTCCCAACACATGTCACTTCTCATCCTCAGTGATGGCAATATCCACCAAATTGCCTGAGCCAACAATCTGGAAGTCACCCTAGGTTCCTGCCTCTTCCTCCCTGCTCTTGCCCCTTATCAGATCAATCATTAAGGCCTGTTGACTCTACCTCCTCAGCATCTCTCTAGCCTCCAGTATCTAGAGGAAAAGGAGTAGTCTACAGGTATCTATGGCACCCTGGACTTTCTTGAAGCAGCACAATAGTGGAACTGCCTTTGTATTCTCCCACTGTCTGCCTCTCTAAGTCACTACCCAACCCATGGCTCTGGGTGGCTGCCATTTCTATTTTACGTGGGCAATAGGTCTGGCTCTGTGATCCCCACTTTCCATCATTATCACATCAGAAAAATTTGATTGTGGTTGCCTTAATCCAGTATCAGAATCTGATGAAAAGGCCAGTCTGAATCTAAAGACCAAACCCCATCCCCCTCCTGCCCCAGCCGAGTGAGACCGCGGCATACCGTTCATCCACTCCTCCGACTTGATGCTGAACTCATAGGTCGTCACCCACAGCTGCTCATAAGGCACTTTGTTGGTCATCAGGGTTTGCAGAAGAGGGAAGGTGCTCTTCTCCTTCTCCAACAGATCCTCCTCCTTATTGATCAACTGCAGGGCAAAAGAGGATGCTGTTTATTGGATGGGTGGCTCTCCTGAACCTAAGAAGTCACCAAGGCAAATTCCTCAGTGCTTTGAAAACCAAGTTAAGGAAGATGCTCCTTCATCTGGAGAGCAAGAGAGGCAAACAAGGCACGGACTCAAGCAAGAAGGTCCCTCTGCTACCTTCAAGGGCCATGGCAGCTAAGATCTAGCCGGATGAAATCCTAGGATGATTTGCTACTTGCTCCATCATCTTTGCTCCCACTGTACCATATCCATATCCCCATTTTCACAACTTTCGTATGTACTTTAGCTGTTTACATGATGTTGCCTTCTTGTGCTGACTTGCCTTAAAGGTAAAAACTTTAATGGTTAAAGAACTTACCAGTTGACCTTCAGGGCAAGTTACTTAACTTCTCCAAGCCTTAGTTCTCTTATTTTAAATAGGGATAAATGGAGATAATAACAGTACCGACCCCAAAGGTTTGTTACGGGCATTAAGTGATATATCGCATATGAACCCTTTGCACATTGTTGAGCACATAATAAATGTTCAATATATGTGAGCAATTCTTATTATAATTTCTTCTTTGTGCACTCAATGACTAAGAGAAAAGCTGATATAATGCAGGGGCATGGAAAAAGGTAGTTGAAAGTACCAGTGAAAGAACTGGTCAACCAATCAATTAGTCAATATTATCCACCTGACAGGGGATGTTAGGAAAATACAAAACCAAGGACCAGAACCAACGGAGAATTAGAGTCATCAGTCCCCATCCCGAGACCCCAGACCCCAAACCTCAAATTCCACCAGTGCTTGATCTAGGTTCTTGGAAAGCTCATTAAGCTTTTCAACATTGTTCTTCGTTTCTTCTGGAGTCATCACTTCACGTTTCCTAAAACCTTCTAGTTCCTTGTTGTAGCCCTCGAGTTTCGACTCAAATTCTGAGCACCTGAAAGTAAAGACAGCCCAGTCACATTTGGACTTTCCATTTTGTGATTTTCAAAGTATCAGCATTGCTCACCCATATTTAGGCCTGGGAAGAATTTTATCCTCTGATACAAAATATATCTATATCTACATATAGATATACAGAGATACAGATATTACTTATAATACCACCTCCCAGAGATGGCCTCTATGAACCTATTGGTGGTTAAACATCCAGATGTTTTCCTGTACAGCCAAATATATATGTGTGTATATAAAAAAGTATATGTAATATATATTATACATACATATATATAAAATGTATGTATGTTTATACATAAATGAATTTATCCATTCGTCCACTCATCCATGATTCATTCATCATATTTATTTATTATTGAGCGCCAAATACATTCCAAGAACTGTTCTAGGCATCAGGAATATATTCGTGAAGTACACTATTAAGCTCCCTACCCTCATGGAGCCTGTATTTTAGTTTGGAGGAGACCTACGCCGTAAACATACACGGATGAATGGATGGATAAATAAATTCACACATAGATAAAGATGAAATGAGCTATTTCTGACAGTGAAAAATGCTCTGAAGAAAATAAAACAGGGCAGAGTGCCTAGAGGATGGAAGTGGAGGACTACTTGAGCTAGAGTGATCAGAGAAGACCTTTCCAGAGAGTTATCTACTTCATCCATACTATCAACAAAGCAGGTCTCAAATATACTTCTCCCTTTTCCTAATGAGGTAGACTAATATAGTGTTAAGTGGACAGGTTCTAGAGCTGGGCAGGCTAGGTTCAAATCCCTACTTTGCCACTTAGTAGCTACGTGACCTTGGTCAAGTCACTTAACCTCTGTATGCCTCAGATACATAAAATGGAGATGGAAAAAAGTACCTACTTTAATATTTAATAAGCTAACATATACTACAAAATGCTCAGAATTGAGCCTGGTACATAATAATCACTCTTATAACTATATGCTCTCATTCACTAGAATGTAAACTCTAACCACGCAGTTTTTCTCTCTCTTAATTCCTTTTTGTATCTCTAGCACTTAGAAGAGTGTCTGTCATATAACAAACGATCAATATTCATTGAATGTATAAGGGGATTTGCCATTGAGAACAGCTATAGTGACATGCTATAATTTGGCTATTATCTTAAGATTACCTAATTCTGTTATGGCAGTTTTAATGTTTTTTCTTACAAGTAACTTAAGAGAGTTACTTTTCAATGCTTTGAATTCGGTTTTATTTCTAATTGCACTGTGTGGTAAGCAGCCTTTCATAAAATCCCCAAAGATCCCCACCTCCTGGTATTTATATCCTTGTGTAATTGTCTCCTCTTGAGTTTGGACTAGACCTAGTAACACACTTCTAACAAATATAGCAAAAGTGATGGGATGTTACTTCCAGGATTAGGTTACAAAAAGACTTTCTCTCTCTCTCTCTCTCTCTCTCTCTCAAGGAAGCCAGCTGCCATGTTGTGAGCTACCCTACAGAGAGGTCTATATAGCAAGGAACAGAGAGCAGTTTCTGACCAATAGCCTGTGAGGAGCTGAATCCTCAATCATGTGAGCAAGCCTGGAAGTGGATCCTCACTCAGGCAAGCTCTCAGATGAGACTGCAGCCTGGGCTGACATTCTGACTGCAACTTCATGAGAGACCTTGAGCCAGAAATACACTGCTAAGCTGCACCTAGATTTCTGACCCACAGAAACTGCGAGATAATAAATGATTGTTGTTTTAAGTTGCTATGTTTTGGGATGATCTGTCATGCAGCAATAGACAACTAATACACACTATTATAATAGCATGTGGCCAATATAGTTTCTGCTTCTTCAAACTGGTTTTTTTTTTTTGAGTCCTAAAATACAGGCAATGTTTGGAAATGTTCCACGGACATTTAAGAAGAATAGTGTTTTCCATTGTTCAGTAGAAGGTTTGATATATATCTAATAAATTAAGGTTATTAATTATTTACTTCTATTATCTCCTTATTCAAGTTTCACATTATTTATCTGTTATTTGATATACAAGGGTTAATGACTGCTTTAACTTTATTTCATTCACCTAAGTAACCATCTTTGAACCACTAATGTTTTTGTCTTGGCTTTGACTATATCTGATGTTAATATGGCTGACTCTGCTTTCTTTTTCTTTGTATTTGCATGCTATACTCTTGCCCATAGACAAACTTACAAACCTGTACAGCCAAATATATATGTGTGTATATATATAAAAGCGTATGTAATACATATTATATATACATATATATACATAAATATAAAATGTATGTATGTATACACATGAATGAATTTATCCATTTGTCCACTCATCCATGAGCATAGGAGATCAGGAACAAAGATTAGATCAGCAGTAAGATTAAATCAGTTATTGAAAATTTATAGGAAATATAGAGAATAGAGGAACACGTTAAATGACACAACAGATGTGCAATCAGAAATGTCTAGATTTGGGGACAAATGACTCAGTTTCTTTAATAAATAAATTTCAAGGGAAAAAACAAAGGAGATAGAGGACCTACAGATGAAAAGAAATTTAAGAGACATGTCAACCAATTGCAGTGTTGTAGACATTATTTGGATTCTGATTCAAGTAGGCAAACCATAGAAGGAAAAATATTAATCAGATCATTTTTGTCTCCAGATTAAAAGCTTTCAATGACTGCCTATTGTACTTAAAAAGGAATCAAAACTCATTACTGTGACCTCAAGGATCTGCTCCTCTAACTCTCCAACCTCATTTTATAGCCACTCTCTTCCTTAGCTCAAGGTCTTCCCACCTTGGAGCCACTGCCCATGCTGTTCTCTATGCCTGGACCAGGCTCCCTGCTACTCTCTCCTCTGATATCTTCACTTGACGGGCTCCTTCTCATCCTTCGTGTCTCATCTTACATGAGTCCTTCCCTGACTCACCCACTGAATGCAATCACTGTGCTCTGTTTCCCCACTCACTTCTTTCACAGAGCGTCTGTGTTGATCTACTTTATCTTCCATCTCCCATGTCCCTTTTGTTCTCTGTATCCTCAGAGAAGAGGAAGAGAGACAGGAGCAAGAGACAGAAGAAGAGAAGGTGGCCACTGCCACCCTCTCCCTCCCCTAATTGTTTTTTACTAATGTCTTAAGGATTCAGAGATAGAGCACATTAAGTGCTATGATAGACAGCTTCCCTCTTCTCAGATTTTTGTTTGTTTCATTTTGTAATAAGCTGTGACTTCAGACTCTGGTAGGTATTAATTTTAGAGACTATCCTTACTGTGAAAAAGTTTCATTCATTCATTCATCAAAACAGGAAGCACCTACTACACGCAAGGCTCTGTGCTCTACCTGAATCCTAGAACACAATCTGGGTACTCTCCCTGAGACATCTGCCTTTCTTCCCCCAAGATGTCAAAGGGTTTTCTATTGCACTCTCACGCCAAAGAGCAGCTCACATTCCTCAGCTGCCCATCTGTATCCTCGGAGGGACCATGTCCAGGACCATGTCCAGGACCATGGAACCTACCATTGAGTGGGACAACACGGGGGAAAAGCTGATTCTCCTGTTGTCCACACAATTAGGTGCTGCTGGGTGCCTTCACATCATTAAAATTCTTTTTGAGGCTCCAGATACAGTACCCACATAAAAAGATAAATCTCTAATAAAAGCAGTTTTGAATTCTTCCCAGAGGACAATGGTATATAAACTCAGTGATTACCTTAAAATATTACTATTATTGTTGTTTTTAACTTCTTATAATTGCTTAGCACATTATAGTTTCCAATGTACTTTCATGTCCATAATATATATACACACATACTTATGCAATCATTAGTAAATAGTAGGAACTCAAGAAATTAAGTTGAGTAAATGAGTTGTATTTGTGGAAACACCTGGAGTCAAAGCGAGGATAATGTAGGCATTTAAAGATGGTAGGTTGGTCAGAATTCTGGCAAGAAACAGAATTCACTCTGATGTTCAAAGAAACAGGCTTTAATGAAGGGACTACCTACAGAGGTGAGATTTGGGTAGGGTTAAAGGCACAGATAGGGGATAGGGAGGCACTCAGAGGGAAGCCACTATGCCCCCTAGGGCTGAGGGGACAATGACAACTGGAACTATGGAGGAGCAAGAATTGTTGTCCTAGAGGAATTCAGCTACAGGCCAGAGCCCTAGGGCCAAGCAGGGAGGGAGAGGAGAAAATGCCCTCCAATCACTCTCCAACCTCCTGAGGGCTTTCCACTGGCAGGGCCCTGCCTGGATCCAACAGCAAGAGAGCCAGAAGCTACAGACTGCAGGCGTCAGCCAACGAGCCAGCGGGCAGAGGAGGGTGGAGAAGGAATTAGGGGGTGGGGTGGGGCAGCAAATGGAGAATAGTTAGCACGGAAGCCAAAAGGTAATGTGAGCTGGGAAAATAAGGGCAGGTTTCTTGGAGAGAGGATGGGATTGTTTTCACAGAAGATGAATGAATAAATGAATATACTCAGCCCTCCTCACAGGATCTTCTCTAGATTAATGCAAAAATGATGGACAGGAAGTTTAAGGTTCACCAAACAGAAGGCTGAGCCCAGGGCTGTGGGTTTCTCCTAGAGCCACTCCTCTGCTGAACTCTGCTGTTGAGAGCCTGGGAACCAGTTGATGGGATCGAGGTGAGAATCGCCCTCCAAAAGGAGAAACCCAGCACTCTTCTCTCATCACTAATGACAATTGTTCCCTTTTCTCCCAGATCCACCCCTCACTCCTCTTAACTTCAACAGCATTTACTGTCTCTAAATAGTCTCACAGTAATGTTCTAAAAATTGCTTGCAAGGCAGTGGTTTGGAAATTAAGAAGCATTTTTCTCCCCAAAGAAGTCATTGTTCAAAGCGCAAAGGAAGCTGACAGTTTTCGAATGCCTACCATGTGCTGGATACCACCTAGGGACAATCTCAGACCACCCCACTTCATCCTTCAACACAATGATACCTCTCACGAAATGAGATGATCTGAAGATTGGCTCTATTATCCCATTTTCCAGATGAGGACTCTGAGGCTCAAAAAGATGAAGCAACATGCTCCTGTTCATCTAACTTAGATATACGGTCCTGCTTCCTGGTTAGGCATCAAAAATCCATTCCATGGGGGGAGGCCGCATGTAAGGGGAGAGCAGATAAACGGGAACTCCATACTTTCTCTTCAATTTTGTTGTGAACCTAAAACTGTTCTAAAAAATAAAGTCTACTAATTAAAAAAAAATCACCACCCATCGGGCTAAGTTCTGGGTTCCGGGGACAGTAACCACTTAGGTAGAGGGAGGAGAAGGCTGTAGGAAGGAAAAAAAACACACAAGTGGGCACGCACACACACACACACAAACACACATATCTTTTGTTTTCGTTGTTTTACTTGACAACAGACCTAGGTCATATGTTGAAGGTAGCAACTAAGTGGGTTTATCCTTCAGCCCAAACCCCCATTCTGTGTAGAAATCTGTTTTTATCCACCCTTTTCCTTTCTCATGAGTATTTGCAGGGATTATGGGACCTAAAGTTGGGCAGTGGGAGTTTCACACGTGATGGGGATGGTAATTGGTATGAATCTGCATTTCATAAACAAAGTGTTACAAGCTGGGATGGGGGTGTGTGTGTGCGCGTCTTTACCATGTACGCGGTACTTGGCCCACTTCACTTGACATTGTCTGATTTTTCAGTACATCTATATTTTCTCTGTCACTGGATTAAAATCTTTATTTAGCAGCCAAACCCCCTTACATGTCTAGAATAGAGCAGAGCACATAGTAAAAATCTATAGTAAATACTAAATGAATAAATGTTTACAGCCACATCAGCACTGAACAAGACCAGCTGTAAAAGAGGCAGTTTCTTACCTCCTACCATGCCTTTGTTATCCCTGCCTTGATATCTCACAGATCTGTGGTCTCCAATGTAAGGCTGACAATTTTGCTATTATTATTGCGAGGCTGTTATTACATGCCACTATTTTTGTCTTTTTTTCTCTGTACCACCAAATTCCAATTGTTGAAGGCAGGGAGGGAAGGGAGTGGCAGGGGTTACTACAGTGAAGCAGGCTGAAAGAGAACATCTCTCGGTGGGAAACAAAAGGAAATTCTTTCTCCACTAATTGTCTTCAGCCTTCACCCACGCATTGCTGTGGGGGCTCTAGACAGAACCAGAAACCTGCAGCATGTTAGGAAGCTGGGTGTCATTTCTAAAACAACCTCAGACTCTCCCTGTACCTTTTAATGAGGTCCATCTCGGCCTGATCCCTCTTGCTAAGGAGCAGGTTTCGGCTGTTTTCGAAGATATCTTCAATCTGGTCTGGCCAGAGGAACAGACTGCTGTTCAGTTTGATATCCTCCACTGCAAAACACATACAGTCTGCTCCAGGACACTGCTCAGCATAGGTCAGCAAGTCGGGAATTAATTCAGCAGAACAAGAGGGCAACAGAAGTAGGTGTGGGGATGGCAATGAACGGATGGGAAACAAAGTTAAGCTGAATGGTCAAGGTTACACCGCTAGACAGCAGTAGAGCAGATTTCAAACCCAGGTCTAACTAACTCCAAAGCCTAGGTTCTAACCACTAGGATTTACTGCCTTCCCAGGCTACGTCTGAGTAGAGTTGAAAGCTGGTTTGAAGTTGCAGTTCTACTCTTTAAACTATTTCACCTCATCTGAGTCTCAGTCTCCCTTTTGGTTAAATGTCAGTAAAAATACCAATGCCAGATGTCCTACCTGGCTTACAGCTCTGGTCAGTTAAAATGCCCTGGGTTCCCTCTGTATCCTTGGGAATTTAGGAGGCAGAGACCACAATGAGCGAGTCCAGCATGTATTCACATGGTCGAGGGCACAGCTCATAAATGTGGAGGTGGACGGTTACTTTTCACTCCCAGTCCCTATCTCTCCCTCCCATCACCATTCTCCCCCAAACACTGTGAACGTCAGGTAATTCACAGGTATTTCCAGATGGAAGAAGGCTCTGAAACTTGGCTTGTGGAGAGCACACCAGCTTTTCCTTCAGAACCTGGTCATTACAAAACTCTAACTTGGCCCAATAAGCCCTGGCTATTTCTTTCAAGATAAATTCTTGGAAGGAAAGTGCCCTGGTCTCCTCAAAGGCGGGACTATATTACGATTATAGAGCACCAAAATCTATCCATTTATAAAAGAACTCTGCATTTGAAAGTGACTTTTCCAAAAACACCAGGCAAAAGATGCCAAGACAGGCAGCTAAGAACTAGTCAAGTCCCCAGATATTTCTTCTTTTTGTCTAACAATGAGATTCCCCTTGTTTGATTCAAATTCTTGTGGCTGAGAGAGTGGAATCAGTGCCTCTAACATATGGGGACACTTGAAAAGCAGCTCTCCCGATACTGATGTTTAGTGGTAGGACTGCTAACTCTCCTTCCCCTGACTCCTTAGCCCTGAAAACATAAATAGACATATACATTTGCATGTACACACACGGCAGTGGCCTTACGGGGCAAGTCTGCATAGTCCATCAGGAACTCCAGCCGTTCAGCTGCATCTCTAAGTTGCCTCCTGAGTTTGAACACGGTGACATCACTGGATTTCTTTAAGAATTCAATGAGGAATACCAGCTCCTCAGTGTTGGCAGGAATCTCACTGACTTTGTCTGCGATGGTGCTGTACTGATTACAAATGCTACAGGGAAAGAAACAGCCATCATTATCATCATCATCATCTAAAATAACTTTCTTATAAGACCCATTATGTTAAACAGACATGATTCCTATGCAGAGACTAGAAATAATGGTTTTCAACTTTTCTCTACCTGCAAATCCTTGATGGATAATATTCACAGGCACACCACACTTCAGGAATAGTCACAGTAGTAACAGTAATAATATTTGACATGTATTAAGCCCTTTACTATGTGCCATGCCCCATTTCTAGTCACAGAACATATATTATAGCTCATTTAATCTTTACAACAATTCTAAGAGATAGGGACTATTATTTTCGACATTTTATAATGGAAGAAAGTGAGGCTGAGTAATTTTATCCAAAGCATCATGGTGTGTAGGTATCAGAGCCAGGATTTGAACTTGGTTTAATTGATTCCAAAACTTGTACTCTTACCACAAATACCATGGGTAGATTCCAGATTTAGACCAAAACAACAAGACAACCACCACCACCACCAACAGCAACTCCTAATATTTTATGTTGAAGTAGAGCATTAAATTAATTTGTAGTCCCTGCTCTTCACATACACCAGCAAGCTTATCCTCATATGCTGCAGGTAATTCCTGGCGGCAGAAAGCAATTTATGTTCAACTACTGGGACCACTAGATCTAACTGCCCACTTCTCCTCAAACACAAGACGTGAAAAAGGATGTTATAGGGATAATCTGAAAATGCTCTAATTTATCCAAAAGCTAATGACTGACTGTCTTCAGCATTTTAACTATAATTAGGAACAAATTATCTGCAATACATCCATGCCGAGCACAGAGTGGGCCTTAAGAAATGTTAGCAATAGTATCTGTCATAGTTTTTGTTATTATTAATTGATCTTTACATTTTGATGGTCATATATTATAGATAAAAGCCACTCCTCTCAGTATTTTCAGTCCTCAATATTCCTTCATAATGTATGGAGACGCCTCCATAAGGAAGCTAATTATACCAAACTGAAGAGAAAATGATTAAAACATCTTTGCAGATGATGCTGAGATTTGAGAAATGAATTTTTATAATTTTATAAACTTTCTGTAGAGAAAAATTATCTATGGCACTACATGGGTTCAGAGTATTCTCCACTTCTTGGACTCAGAGCTATGTTAACTGAAATGAGCAGCTTTACAAGGCAAAGATAAGTTTCAAAGAAAAGAGAAGCTTTATTAAAAGGTTTGCAAACTGGGGAAGTGCACCTCAACCCACAAGTTGATGGGTGAGCCTCCCCTCGGTCTTGGGGTGGCTGGTTTTTAAAGGCAAAAAAGTGCAGAGTGATGCAAAGTTAAGGCTGAGTCCAGTTCTGATTGGTCGCCCTTTCCAGCTACAGTGTATCTTGTGCCCAGGGCTTTCTAAATGTCCTAACTGCAGGGAAAGACCACTGCATTGTTCTCTGGCCATCTGGTGACTGTCAAGGTTAAAATGTAATTTTTTATTTCTGCCCATACTTCAGCCTTGAGGTGGTCATAGCAACCTTCACATCAACTCTGGCCTCATTCTTATTTCTTTCTTTTATCAGCTAGATTATATTTCCTAGCCTCTTTTGTTTTTTTAGTTAGGTATTTGACTAGTCAGCTTGGGCTATCAAAACAAACTATCACAGACTGGGTGGCTTAAACAACAGAAATTTATTTCCTCACAGTTCTGGAGGCTGAGAAGTCCAAGGTCAAGGTGCCAACTGCTGTGGTTCCTAGTGACGGCTCTCTTCACGGCTTGCAGATAGCTGCCTTCTCATTGTGTCTTCACGTTGTGGACCGGAAGAGAGCTCTAGTGTCTTTTCCTCTTCTTACACAGGCAGGAGCCCTATCAGATTAGGGCTCCATCCTTATGACCTCATTTAACCTTATCACCTCCTTATAGGCCCTGTCTCCAAGTACAGTCACACTAGGGGTTAGCACTTTGTTACAGACGGAATATCTGTGTACCCCCAAAATTCATATGTGGAAACCTAATCCCTAATGAGATGGTATTTGGAGATGGTGCCTTTGGGAGGTAATTAGGTCACAAGGGCAGAGCCCTCATGAATAGGATTAGTGCCCTTATAAAAAAAGACCCATTCTTCCATATGAGGATACAGAGAGAAGATGGCCATCTATGAACCAGGAAGCAGACTTTCAACAGACACTAAATCTGCTGGAGCCTTGATCTTGGACTTCACAGCCTCCAGAACTGTGATAAATAAATTTCTGTTGTTTATAAGCCACTCAGCCTACGGTATTGTTATAGTGGCTTGAACAGACTAAGACAGGCTTCAACGTATGAACTTGGGGGAGATACAATTCAGTCCACAGTAGGTGTGGTCATGTGACTGAGTTCCAGTCAGTGGGAAGCAGGAAGCAGTGATGAGTATCACTTCCAGGTGCAGCCCATAAAACTGTCCTTGCATATTCCTCCATGCTCTTTCCTCCTCCCAGCTGTCGAGGATGTCAATACTTAGACTGACCTTGAAAGCTATAGGTTGAAGATGTAAAGTCATCATCTGCTTGAGTTTCTGAATGCATATAGTAGGTCTCCCCCACCAATCTGGACCTCCCCTGAGCAAGAAAAACACTTTTATGTTCTTCTATGTTCAACCATGATATCTTGGGTCTATTTGTTATAGCATCTTGCCTAGCCTAATTAATACAGGTAGATCCCATTGGTCTGATAGACTCCTATCTGATGAGAATCCAACCTTATTCCCTTTGTATGAGAATGCAGAGAGTAAATTTCACAGGGTTACTGGCTATCAGCCTCTCAGGGGGCCCAGAAGGGTGGTGGCAGACCCACTGACTACTAGACCCTCTACAAGATCCTGAACATGGGTTGACAATATCAGGAATCTGACCAACCTAACACCTGAGCAATGCCAGGGATAAGCCGAGGACAGGAAACACTGCCTTCTACACGGACTGATAATATCATGGAAAATCTAAAAGGTCAGGGGTCCCATAAGCAGAAGGCTAGTCTCTGTCTGGTATAGGGGATGGCAGAAGGAAGACCAACAAAGCTTGCATCAATCTGTGGCCTCTACCTCACTGTCATTGTTTGGACAAGACTTCTCACCCCGAAGGAAACAACCAACCAGACCAAAGAGATAATTTCTTATATCTCTACTCAGGGCCTTGCGTTTCTGGTCAACACTTCAGGTCATTGTTCTAGCAACTTCAGACCAATGTACCTGTAGTGGATATGAACGTCATGCCCACTTTCCTACCAATGCACTCCAAGGTGTCCCCCTGCCTTTATGTCCAGAGCACCCCACTCTAGGGTCCACCTAATCACTGGAAACAGGGAGGCACCCCACTCAGCAATGACAGAACAACGAAGTGGCAAGGATGGGGTCTGAGATCAGAAGACTCAAATTCAAACTCAACTCCTTGGGCAAGTTAGTTTCTCTTTCTGAGTCTCATTTTCTCCTCCCTTCAGTAAGGGGTCTTATATCTGCCTTCCCTGTCTTATGGGGTTGTTGAGAAGGTCAAATGAGTCAGAGTCACTATTTTTAAGGCAGAAAGAAACTTCAGAACTCAGCCACCAACCTGGGGTTTCTGCATCTTTAGAAATCCATGGGTTTACAAGGGGACCCTTATTTGCACTTATATTAAAAAGGCCTAAGGAATTTATACATTCATTTTGATGAGGACGGATGCACTGACTAACCAAGGCACCATGTTGCTTTGACTTGACAGGAATAAATGGACTATTGCTTACAAAAAAAAAATTTCATGTTCAAACTTTCCCAGGGAAATGCCTTAGCAGCGTGAAGGCTGTAAACCTTTTACTGTCCTAGTCCCAAATCTTTATTCTATAGGTAAAGAAACTAAAGAACCAAGAGGTGAAGCCAGGGGACACACAGCTAGTAAATGGAAGATCTTGCATTCAACACCAAGTCTTCTGGCTTCAAAACCAGAAATTCCAGCATTCAGCACTCAGAGAAAGCTGAGTGTGGTGGTAGAGAACATGGACTATGGGGTCAAAATAAACTAGGTTAAGCCCTGGTGTGCCATTTGCTAACCTCTCAGAGTCTCAGTTTCTTCACCGACATAATGGAGAGAATAATGAACAACCTCTTAGGGTTGTTGCAAAGACTTGATTGGCTCCATAAAGTTCAGAATGTTTACCCAGTGCCTGGACTATAATGTGTGCTGGAAAAACAGTAGCTATTATTATCATTAATTTGCTGATGAGTTTCTAATATGTATTTTGTAAATCTTAAAGTGCTATAAAATTCTAAAATTATATATATTTATATATATGAATAATGCAATATATAACATCATATTAATAGTAGTCATTATTACTAATCATCTTAGTCTATAGTTTAAAGCACTCTGAGGAAGAAAGCTAGAATAACATGGATCAATCATTTTGTAATGTTCAAATGGAGACATAGCAGCAAACAGCTGCGGTCCCAGCCTCTTAGAATCATTCCCTCTTCTGGTAACCACACCCTAAGTCTTCTTGGGGAATCCCCTCTCCCTTTGTCAGTTCATGTGATTTAGGCAGGGCTTGGCATCCACCCCAGAGATGGGAATACAGCCCAGATCTAGGTCATCCTCTTGACCATGGTGTTTGGTTCAGTGTTGCACCAGCAAAGGCTGAAGGATCAGAGATGGACTGCCTCAGGACGCTTTCTACCTTCCTACTCCAAGCCCTATGTAGTTTTTCCCTTACTGTTCACCTTCTAGCCTGAACCTGAATTCCCTGCCACCCTCACTTTGGGGCAGAAACAACTTGAACTAGAAGTTCAGTCTAGTCATTGCTGGAAGGTGCAAGTTCTGGCCATTTTTCCATCTCCTGTTCATGCCAAATATTGTTGCTACTTCTCTGCACACGATAACAATACCTGGTGTTGGTGTCCCGGTTTACATCCACTTGGAATTGAATCAGACGGTCTTTAAGATTTTGGGCTCGCTCACAGAGATCATAATTTAGGGTCATGGCATCAAGGCAGAACATGGCCAAAGGCACGGTAATGTGCATGGATGCGATTTCATTTCTCCGCTTTTTTATGCTATTGATCCTCTGTAGAAAGGAGCACATTCAGTAGCTTAATTTGCCTTTAGCCTCTAGGCATTTGACCCCAGCCTCACCCCCAGCCAACCTAGTCCAAGGCTGAGCACAGTATATACACCAGCGAAACACACTGACTACTCATTGGATTGTCTGCAGCACATATTATCAAGATATGAAATGTCACGTGGCATCTCCTACCGTCACAAAATCCTCAATTTCATGATTTTCTTTTAGGAATGCAGTGATCCCTTGCTCTGCCATGTTATCCAATAAGTCATCATACTTTTTGTATACATTTAGGTATCTTCCATATTGAAGAGCATAAAATCAAACATACAAATCCAGGTCACCAATTAGATTAATCATATGGCAAATGAAGAGATAATATCACAAACATTAGCCCAAACCAAGAAACAGAAATATAATATGGCAAAACATACACTGAACTTGAAATTCAGAACTTTGGTTTCAAATTCCAATTTTGCCACTTCCTAGCTGCATGAACTCAGACGAGATATTTCTCTTTTTCAAAGATCGGTGTCTTTAATTTTAAGTGGAAATGATAAAACCTCATAGGATGGTTGTAAAGCTTAACTGTAATAATGTATATATTGAGCAATTAATACTATGCCTGACATACAGTGAATGTGCAATAAATACGACTTCTAATCCCTCCTTCCAGCTCTAATAGTCTATGTCTAAATTTTAAGATGAAAAATTTGGAACCAATAAACCTAAAATCTATCGAATAAAATTAAGTTTCCCTCTGTCTATTATTGGATCATGCAAAAATAGCTGGACAGATTCCCCTGAATAGGAGGATGTATTTGGGATGCTCTGACTTAAAATAAGTTTGAATTAAAATAAAGATGATATGGAATAAGCAGAATTAACTTTGTGGGGCCCAGGAGCACACTTCCAAGACTTGGTCAACACTTCAGAGACTCTGAATCTGAGACACAAGGAGAAGCCCATGGAACTGTCAGTCCAGAAACACAACTTTATGTATAAGACTCCATGAACAGGGAAAACAGAGGTTTCAAATAGATGCCCCCAAATCAAATTCACGAGAGCAGAGCTTCCAAATCTGAGGCCACGATTTTCAGACCAAATTAGCAGTTCTCAACTGGGGGTGATTTTTGGTTGTCACAACTCGGGGAGGGTTCTACTGGCATCTAATAGGTACGGGCCAGGGATGCTGCTAAACATCCTACCACGCACAGGACAGCCTCCCACAATACAGAATTTTCTGGTCTAAAATGTCAACAGACCCACAGTCAAGAGACCCCAGGTTAGGGTGACCATATGTCCTGGTTTGCCTGGGACAGTCTAGGTCTACACCTGTTGTCCCACGGCAATTGCTAGTAACACCCCCTTCACGCTCAAGTACTTGTCTCAGTTTGGAAGCTGCATTATATGATCACACTAAACTAGGGACTGCTCACGTGAGCATCTGCGAGATATTCTAGAGTGGGATGATTAAAGAGCATTCAGATGACTTGTCCTCAATCCCTCCTCTTTAATTCCGAAGTCCAAAAAGCTCTGAAAACAGAAAGTTGCTCCAAAATTCATTTGATAGCAAAAGCTGGCCTAAACTGATGTGAGGCTATTTGTGTGAATATTCATAGTTGTCACTGCAGAAATATCAATGCATTTAATTAAGGGGTGCTGCCCCAGATCTTGCTGAAGCTGCATCATAATATATGACATATGCATTATGTTATAACTTTCCTAAAATCCAGAAACTTCTAAATGCACCATGGCTTTTAGATAATGGAGGTGGACCTATAATTGCATTTGAATTCTGACTCTCCTATTTATTTGCTACGTAAATTGGGAAACTTACAGTTTTCTCACTTGTAAAATGGGGATAAATAGTAAATACCTATGTATGTAAGCACTGCCTAGTCTTATGTATTGTTTCAGGTGTGTGGAAACAGGGATTATTTCTTTGGAGATAGTTAAGAATTCTAAATCAATGCGAAAAAGGCTAAGTCACAACTAAACCAACTTACTTGCGGGGGCCAACTTGGTTTTTCTGAAATACCTCGAAAGTTTGATCTAGAAAATCAGAAACCAGTTTTTCTTCAGCGTTAACGGTTCCAAGAATCAGGTTATATCCTTTCAACTCCGGGAACAGGATAGATTCCACCTAAAGATAGAAACCATTTTTGGATGTCGCAAGACATCCACAAGACACAAGAAGGGAGACAGCACCAAAATGCACAATCTCCTGCAAAGACTCATTTCCAGGGACACCAGCTGCATTTTTACTCTATTTCCTCTTGGACAGTGCTGGAATCACCCTGCTGTTCCCTTTGCCTCTATTTTCTCTCCTCTCCCTCCTGTTAGATTACTCATCTTTCAAATCCCTGCTCCTTTCCATCTCATGTCCTTAGAGAGTCCCCCTGATTGCCCAGTGGATATTAGTTTCCCTGCTTAAAGCTCACATTCTGAGCTTCTTCTACTTGGCGCTCTTCACAACTATAATTAAATGAATGTCTAACGAGCTGTTCTGCGTCTGTCATGGGATATAAATACCATGAGGGCCTAGATCGTATCTGACTTCTTCACCATTGTAAAAGACCCAACAAGAGCTTGGCACACAGTAAGTGCTCAACAAATATTGTGTGAGTGAATGAATGTTATAGTGGTACTTCCGTTCCCCTCTTCCCCACCACCCACTTTTTCTGTCTATTGAAAAGCTACTAGAGACACGGGTTCTAATTCTGACTCTACCACTAACTGACTATGTGACCTTAGGTAAGCTACTTCTCTGTCTTCTGTCTTTTCATCTGAAAAAAGGAGAGAGATACTAGATTCTCCTCTCAGCTCAGGAAAAAAAAAAAGCTGTGGCTTTATGATTATGAGACACTAACAGTATCTTTCTGAGAATTCAAACTCTCCAACTTCTTAATGGCACATAAGTGTCTGAGAATGTTCTCATTTGCATGTTCTCATGCAGCCTGCAAGGTCCTTGCTGGGGACCCACTGCTTTCCACAGCTCTCTGTGCTAAGAAAGTTTTTAGTGATTGGTCTCAGAAAAGATCTTCAGAGTGCTTTACTGAGTTATATGAGTTACATGCTGTTGACGAGAATGCATCAATTTAGAAAGGGGAAAAAGCAAGTGCAAACGATCGGTGTCCTCCCTCTTCGGACAATCCAAAGGTTTTTAAGCTGGTGGAGGTGCAACTTCTTCGCTGTGGCCATGCTGCAGACAATGGCCATCTGGCATTTGTCAATTGTGTGGATGAAATGGGTTAGGGCAGCACAACTGGTGCATCTAGGCCATGCAACAGGTCACATGTGGGCAGGATAATGGATTGTCTCTTGAGAAAAGTCTTCAATCAAAAGAGGAAGCAACATCTCTTGATGCCCTTTAAATGTGGCTGGTTCTTCCATGCCCTGCAGAGCAGTCTGTAAAACTGAGCTGAGAACAACAGAGCCCTTTCCAGGTAATTACTGTTACTCTCTGCTTATCTCCCTGTATCTCTGATCCTGCACTCCTCAGTTCTGTCAACATCTTCAGTGCTTACATCTGCACACTTCTCTGACTTGGACATTTCCCAGGCACTTTGAGAGAATTCTGCCCTCAGGAGAAAGACGGGCCCGAACAGCCTCTTGCCAAAGTAATATATATTTTTTCTGATTATGAAAGTAATGCATCGACATGCATGCTAATGCTGATTTAAATTCTGCTTATTGCATTTTTAGTGTTACAAAACCCTTCTCTTATCTCATCCAGCTTCATCTTATCTATGCCTCTCATTCACCTTTTCATTTCAATCAGTATTAAAGCATCCATGATTTTCTTAGTTTTTTGCTAAGACAAATATTTTCTAATATTTACTTTGGTTTCCTTTAGTAATTTTCTCATAAATATGCTTTGCTTCTGCACCTTGAGTGCTATTTTCAAACATCTCACGTTGACGTTTTTTCCAACTTTTAAAATTCATGTTTAACCATCTATAAGGCAAGACTAGTAGGGGGTGGGGCTACTATCCACCTGTTGCTGTTCTTAAATATTCAATCTGAGGGACTATTCTTTTAAAATTTCACTACCCAGTTCAGAGATAAAACAGTCTGAGGGGTTCAGGGTGGGAGCCAGTGCTGCAGGAATCTCTAGATGGAGAACTCTGGACCTCGCCTGCTTTTTCTCATAGTCTGATAAAGTCATTGGCATTCACTTAGCTTAGCTTTCGAACCTGGTACCAACTGTAACCTGTGACTTTGTCTTCTCGGCATTACAATCCACTAAATCTACTACCAGCCCCTGCCGGGCTGTTTGCAGTAGCAGCCACATGAGCCCTGGGTTCTCCCAGCCCAGCTGCTTGCAAACATTGTTGATCAACAGCAGTGAAGGAGAACTCAAATGGTGTGCACTTAATCTGTCCCTAAGCCCCATACTTATCCTTCCAAATTACAGGGACTTCTGTTTCATTTTCTTCCTAAGGAAATTAATTGTAGGAGAGCTGCCCACTGTTTCTTCCCCATCCATACATCCAGTTTTCTTGTTAACCAGGCTTGGTTAGGTTTAAAACCCCAAATTTAGAGTTCCCTAGTGAAATCATATGGCTTCACATACTTCTCTACAAATCCCAACTCGAATATCTAGAACTCTCTAAGTACAGGATTGCAAAGAGAAGAGTTCTTAAGAGCATCCAAGCATCATACATAATGCCTGGAGAGAGAGAAAGAGAGAGAGAAATACTGCACAGGTCCCTTCCCTACGTGGGGCTGGCCACTGACCCTCCTTCCACACCAACCACCCAGAGAAAAATAGAATAAGATGGAGCACAGAAGACTCACACTCATGTGGGTTATCCTGCCCAGTACTAAAGGTCTGCTAATAAATGTCTAGAATCTGATTAGCAATGCCACCCTGGAAAGGAAACTGGAAATGGCTTGGGCCTGGAAGGGAAGCTTCAACCTCTCCCCCGGACACCTACAGTGGTTAAACAAACAGACACAGGGGAATTCAAGAACTAAATTAGATACAGTTTTATTAAGATTCTTGGCGAGTTCACGGCAATTGATCCATCAAGAATTATTAACCCGGGGGCCGGCCCAGTGGCGCAAGCGGTTAAGTGCGTGCGCTCCGCTGCGGCGGCCCAGGGTTCGCCAGTTCGGATCCCGGGCGTACACCAACACACGGCTTGGCAAGCCATGCTGTGGTGGTGTCCCACATAAAGTGGAGGAAGATGGGCACGGATGTTAGCCCAGGGCCAGTATTCCTCAGCAAAAAAATGGAGGATTGGCAGATGTTAGCATAGGGCTGATCTTCCTCACAAAAAAAAAAAAATTATTAACCCAAGTGGGATATGGCTTGGGACACATCTGCCCCTTTGAGGTTGGCATCATGGGGGGAACTCCACTCTCTCACAAGGTAACTCTTAGCGCCCTTGTTAAAAGCACAGTTCTGGGATGTATGGCCATTTTTTATGGTCCAAATCCTCTTTCTGGGGTCAAGGGGGTGTCCTCAGGATGTATCTCCCAAAGTGAAATTCCTCTAACTGAATATCTCACCAACTGGGCCTTGTACAGCAGCCATTTTAAATATATTTTATTCAGTAAGTGAATAAAAGTACAAACAAATGACTAAGTGAATACTATACCTTGGGGATCCCTTCAGAGCTTTTAATAATTTCCAAGAAAGAGTTGTGTATTAATTCCCAGCAGTCATCAAAAGATGGATTAAAGACAATAATGGGTTCATTGACTTCAAGTTTGATCATGATAAGCTGAGGTATAAAGAACTCCATCTCTTGGTAGGGCTCCTTGAAATCATTCCCATCCTTCAGGAGATATAAGACATGGTAATTGTCACAAAACGGGGCCTTCCAGAATCAAGAGAGTGAATTTTACCCATTCATAGGACTACATGAGCACCAGAAAAGGAAATGAAAGGTACCCATGCACTGTTCATGTTTAAAATAAGGGCTGGGTATGGCTGAGCCCACCCTGAGCTCATCCTCTCCCCATTCCTCAAAGCTTTTATTCACTTTGTTTACTTTGCTTGGAACTTCCTGCATCCTAATTTCTAAGTCCTTCGATCCTTCAAAATTCAGCTCAAAATCTCCTTCTCTGGGAATCCTATTCCCCAGCAAGATATAATCTCTTCCACTTTGGAACTCCCATATTTTCACTTCTCAAGGCATTTTATTTTATCTTTCTTTCTTGTTGAGATTTATACACACATCTTCTCTTCTCTACTCGACTCTAAACTTGAGGGCATGATCTGTGTCTGAACTATGTACCTCCTCCAAAATACCCAAGACAGAATTTAGCACATAGTAGGTGCTCAATAAAAATTCATTGACTGAATCCAAAAGTATAAACAGTTATCTGTACATCTTAAATCGAGTTGCTAATGAGTATACAGTCCATTTTAGATGCTTGAAATGTCAAACTTCCTACAACAAGAAATATTGACATGAAGATATTTCTAATTCCCTACGAAAGCTAGTAATGCAAGATACCTTTCATAAACTACAGTGCCTAATGAAATTGACATAGGGCAGCTGTAAAGTACTTGTCCACTGATTCTAGAGATTTCTGCATCTGTTTGAGGATCATTGATAAAAATTTGTTGAACTCTATGAATCAAATATCCATAAATTTCCCCTTCTTTCAAACATATGAAGATTTTACTTTTCCCTTTGTGTGGAGTTTTAGAGTGACACTTGCTCCCACATCTGAGTTTCTCCTGCTTAGCAAAGTAGATGATGACAACGACATCTATAGACTGGTCCTTGTTAGAGGGCAAACACTGCAGTCTAAATTCAGCAGCATTGCTTTCTATATTTTTTGAGCAAAAGGTCAATTGTTCATCTTTACTTCATTTGGAAAAATGGCTAAAATTTAACGTTTTGTACCAGGCAAATTTTAATTCTTATTACTCTTTTTAAGGTAAAATGTGCACATGGTATAACATCTAAAGAATCTTCTTTAATCCCTAGGCTAAATTTATGGGAGGTTATGATGCTTTGGAAACCAGGATTTAGTGTTTTTACTTTTTATTTTGACTTCACTGAAGTAGTTTCATGAAGGAAGTTATTAACTACATCAAAAAAAGCCTTTTGTTTTTAGGGGTGCCCCTTTCAAAGACCAAAGAATAAAAGTCTATATCTGCAATGAATATATACAACACTCCCTAAATATCAAGCCAAAGATAGATAACAAAGCTTTTTCAACCCCTTCTTGTAATAGAGCAGATAAAAAGTGACCACTCCCACTACTGTAAGAGATATGTATTCCATTTTATTCCATCTTTCTTTAAACTTTCTTAACAACTTCACCACTTCTGTAGATTTTTACCAATTTAGTAGTATGTAATTATCTCAGGAAATCTTGCTGTGTATTTAAAGAAATCATTTTTATAAACTAATAATCACCTGAAGTGTGTGCGAACCAAGAATTTTACTTTTTGGCCTGGCTTACAGCTGAAGACCTACGTGATGGAATCCTGATTTTATCTCAGCTGTTTCCTATTAAAAGGGTCCCCTACATACCTTGTGTATCATGAAGAGGGAAACGAGGTCCTCGAGAGACTTAATGACCAACTCCCTGAGCTGGAGTGACATGAAGGATGCAACAGAAGCAAAATATTCCTCAATGTTCCGAGAGGAGTCATAGCTGCTCTTGGGAGCAAAATGGACCCACTGCTCCTTCCGTGAGACAAAAAGCTGGGCACAGGCGGGGATCCACCTGTAAAAACAGGAGGGCATTCAAGTAAGAAGATCTTCCAAGCTCCGAGAAGTCCTCTCAGCCATTTCACACTCTCTGCAACAGGTCAGATGGCTCATTTCCCACTAAGCAGCTTTGCAAATTGGTACTTTCATATGCCTGGCCATCTCACCTGCCAACACCCCTTTCCTGGGAAGAAAGGAATAAGATTTGAATTGGGAGACTATTCTTCCATTAGCAATACACAAACGGACAGGGGGTATTAGTGGCATGTCCTGCTGAAAGAGTCTATAGTTTCTTCATTATAATCAGAGATTGAGGTGAACGGCATAAGGAACTGGAATGTTCTGTCCAACTTCTCTCCCTGGTAGATGCCTGGCCTCTGATTCAGACTTTATACGGGGAAAGAGAGAAAGAGGAGAAAAGCAAGAATACTTAAAAGGAGAAACTCCAGTGTGGCAGTGGCAGCTCAGAAGTTGAGAGTAGAAATTGGAAAACCAAAAGAAGAAATGGATGCCTCATTGTTCCTTTCTCCCTACTTCCCCCAATTTCTAATTCCTAGTGAGAACGGTTAGCCTTTTCATCCTATGATGCCTCTTTCTGATTGCTAGAAAACTACTACTCTAGCAATCAGAGAAGTACTAGTAATAGTCATAGTTTAGAGGTAATAATTACGATATTTATTGAGCAGCTACTATGTGCCAGCTATTGCATATACATTTTCTCTGATAATAAAAACCCAATGGTATGTATTATCACCATCATTTTTTTTTGTGAGGAAGATCAGCCCTGAGCTAACATCCATGCCAATCCTCCTCTTTTTGCTGAGAAAGACCAGCTCTGAGCTAACATCTATTGCCAATCCTCCTCCTTTTTTTCAGGAAGATTGGTCCTGGACTAATATCTGTTCCACATCCTTCTAGTTGCTTATGTGGGACGCCGCCTCAGCATGGCCAGACAAGCGGTGCGTTGGTGCGCACCCGGGGATCCGAACCCGGGCCTCCAGTAGCGGAGCACGCGCACTTAACCGCTAAGCCACGGGGCCGGCCCCATCATCATCATTTGACATAAGAGAATTTCTCTGGCTTTGGACATAGTCCTGCTCACCTTTGCAAAGGAAAAACGAATTGTCTAAGCAACTGAAAACCCCCTAACCTTGGAACATTGCAACTGTTTATCTGAGCCAACTGAACACAGGTCAAATGCACTGTCCAATAACCCAGGGCCTAGAGGATTTCAGAGGGAAGGAAAGCAAGTGGCACCCTCACAATGAATGGTAATGAGAGAGTTTCACAGAGAGGAGACTAGGAGTGAAGGCTGAAGAGCAGTGGACGTGAGGACACACAAAGGCTGTCGAGGGACGGGAATACGGAAGGAAGAGGACAGAGAAAGATGTCAGTGGGAACTCAGCAAACTCTGTGCAACCCCCAGACTGGAAACCAGTTTTCACTTCAGAGAATTTTCAGTCTTTATGATCCTGTGACGTAGCCCCATTCTGAGGCCAGATACTGACTTGTCGAGAAGTACTTGGCGCGCTTCCATGCAGTGTTTCCGGATCACATCCTGATACTCGTGAGGCTGCAGAGGCAATTTTCCCGCCAGTAATTCTGCTCTTCGGACAAACCTGAGGTCTCTAAATCTGCCAAAAGAGAGGAAGAAATGTCCTAAGCTGAAAAGACACTTAGTAACAAAGTCTGTAGGGCAGGTTCAAAGGGCACATGTTCTCATTCTTCACTGAGAGATTTAAGAAGATTAAAACTAATTATATCTGAAAAATCTGGGAGTATGAAGAGGGAGTAGAGAGTCCACAAGAACTCTTGCAAAAAGTAGATAAATGAGCCAACTCAACAGGTGTTCACTGAGCCTTCCTATGCATAACCCATTTGGGGAGTGGAGTTGTGGCACCAACCTGGTATTTGGCTGGCTGGGAACTGGGATATAAAATGGACAAATCAAAGGTCTTTACAACAGGGAAGACACAGAGGACAGGGCAAGCAAAACACCACCTTCATGATCAAGTGGGTTCCACCCACTCCTCAATGTGACCTCTGGGTGTGCTACTGATGACAACTTGGAGGACTGCTTTGGTCTGAACCACAAAAACCCCTAGAGAGCTACCCCCGACAGCTGGCAGGCTCACCAAAACACACAGCATCCCTTGGCACAGTGCCTTACACAATGCAGGTCCTGAATACATACTGTTGAATGAACGTGTGCATCTCCTCCTGCCCTCTCCTACGAGGCTCTTAGCGTCTCCTCTTTCTCTCAGATCGATGGATGTGTTGCCCTTTACCACACTCCCCAAGGCCGTTTTCAGTTCACAGGGCCACCACTTCTCTTCCTGAAATCTATTCCATTCATTTATAAATCACTCTTTTCAACCATCACTGCCTATCGCTTCCCCAACTAGATCTTTGCTCACTGTCTCAGCTTGTCTCAGTTCTTGCTTCTCATTTTCATCATCCACTGTAATGACCTATTAGGCACTTTTCTTCATCCTCCTAAAATCCCAGAGCCTCCATTTCCATTCCTTTGTGGTGAAACTTAGTCTTCATCTTATCTGGCAAGTCACAAAGCACTGTCAGCGAAGGATAGAACTCCGAGGACCTCACTCACCACACACATTTGATACCCAATTCTAGTATGGCCCTCGTCACCGTGACCTGGTAATTACGTTACTCATCTTTAATTGAATCCTAACAAACTTCTCACATTGGCCAGAAAATCTACTTTCTTCAGACCACAGCTCTCATTCTGGCCCCCAAACCCCTTACCCTGCACTGATCACTAAGTGACCTCTTAGATTTTTTAAAGTTAAATAAGGCAGATCACATAAGAAAACTGCTCTGTAGCATTTCCTTAAATCTTTCTCATTGCTGATTGTTTGGTTTAGCTGACAAAAACCTTCTAAATGATTCTGGTTCACTTTTGTGCCTTTGTTGCCTACATAATCTTCTTCAGGAAACCATGAAAAGCAAGTGGTAAGAATCCTTTCTTCTCAGTAGAAACTATAGGTTCAATATTTTGCCATCTTCACTACATGATCAAATTAAACTCGCGTGCACATCCTGTTGGCACTGAGCTTCTGGCAATTTTACCAACCCCAAGATGGACTTCCTCCTTAATTTCTAGATTAATTTATTTTTTGAGGCCATAAACATGCTTGTAGTTAAAGCAGTACCTTCATTTATTGAACAACAACTGTATGCCAAGCACTTTCTAAGCATTTCACCCAACAACCCCATGAGGTAAGTAATGTTATTATTCCCATTTTGCATATAAAGAAATAGGGACCTAGAGAGATTAACTTCCCCCAAGTCACACAAGTCATTAGTGACAGAGCAAGAACCAGAACCCAGGCAGTTTAGCTTCGGAGCCCATTCTATAAATTACTACTATACACTTCCGCCTCATTAGAAAATTACTCTCTTTTTCAGTGTCCTGACTGGCACCCACCTCCAATGCCATAGAAAACTGAATTCAGTTCAAAGAAGGGAAGGCGCTTATCTCTTATCATTGGTGGGATCCATCCCAGGTTGACTCCCCCCCAATTCCTATTTAAAATATATGGAAAACTGGGAATGTGGAAAACAAGTAAGCTCGACAAGTAACAAGACTTCCTTGTTAAGACTAAACATATTCAAAGCTAGAGATCCTTCCCAAACAAAATATTTGAGCTACTGATAAGTTCAGCCAATCAAATTAAATAAACATATTTGCCTCTCATGTTTCTAATTAAAAACCCAGATGGCGCCAGCTCATTGTTTCATTGGCCTGAACTTTCAGTGAACTCTGGTGGCCTCATTCTCCCACCAGAATTTGTGTCCCCTCTTGAGGGACCCATAAAAAAAGGCAGTCTTTCTCCCCAGGGCAACTGATGAATGGATAAACAAAATGCAGTATGGCCATACAATGGAATACTGTTCAGTCATAAAAAGGAATGAAGTACTGATACATGTTTCAATGTGGATGAACCCTGAAAACATTATGCTAAGTGAGAGCAGCCAGACACAAAAGGCCACATATTGTATAATTTCATTTACATGAAATGTCCAGAACAGGCAAATCCACAGAAACAGAAAGCAGATTAGTGGTTGCCAGGGGCTGAGTGGAAGGGAGAAGGCGGAGTAACTGCTAACAGGCACAGGGTTTCCTTTGGGGGTAATGAAAATATTCTTGAATTAGATAGTGGTGAGGGTTGCACAAATTTGTGAGTATATTAAAAACGACTGTATTGTATACTTTAAAAGGGTGAATTTTATGATATGTGAATTATACCTCAATTTAGAAAAATGAAAGAGAAAAAAAAGTGATTCCTGCCTCTGTGACTGTGGCCAATTCAGTCATTGATGAACAGAACTGAGACCACTGCTTGCCACCCCGTGCTGGCACTGAGTTCCATAAAGGAATATGACCCAAGCAGCCATATATCTCACAGGCTAGAGAGAGACAAACGAGGAAACATACAATTACAATTCAGTGTGATACATGTCATAATGGAGGTAACGGTTAATTAACACTTACTGGGTACTTACATTTTATCAGGCAGTATGCTAAGTACTTTGCATGTATTAAGTTATTTATTCCTCCTACCAACCCTGTGAAGTAGGAACTCCTATTATCCCAGATTGAGAAATGAGGAAACAAGGCATAGAGAGGCGGTATAACACACCCATATGACCTATGAAGCAACAGGGTTACGATATGGACCTGAGCAGGCCGGCTCCACGTCTGTGCTCCTAACCAGGATGCTCCAGTGCTTAGATACAGCTGCCTGGTCCCATGGGAGCACAAAGGAGGGCCACTTAACCCCGCATGGAGAGTTGTCACTTATTGTTCATATGCACTTTTGGTGTAGGACTTTTGTCATTTCACTTCAAGGGCAGGGCTACTCCCACAGTGCCTAGCATAAGATGTTCTCCTACGTGTGGAAGCAATTAAGAAAGAGAAAGAAAAGGGAGGGGAGGCACTTCTTACTCTGAAAACCACAGTTCTTTCAGGCTGAGCATCATGGGGTTCACCATGTGCAGATGCTCCTCATTCCACTTCTTGGCATTCTTGTAGACACTGTGCCAGGGCACAGGGGCCCGGATCACTCTTTGAGGAAACACGTGGGGGATGCTCTTGATGAAGAGCCTTTTTCTCTCCATTGGGTCCATGAGGATGTAATCAACTATAACCAACAGGGCAAACATTTTCTTATTAAACAGGGACCTTGAACACTCTATGCAATTAGCTTTAACACTTAGAAGGTAAGTGAACCTCTGTTCATTTACACTTGGAAATGCTCCCTCATATTCAAGGTCATTGGTAATCCACTGGGTATAACTAAATTGAGGAAGCTCCACTCCTGTTTGTGTGTGTTTTCTTTCTGAAAATACTTTAGGGGAAGGAGGGATGCAACTTCACAGTGTGGAGAACTTAGTACCTGGGGTTGAGTTCTGTTAGGATATCTAGGATCATGCATGACAATGATCTAGTATTTGCTGATAGCTCATTAATCATTAATTGTTTTCTCACATCAAAATAGTTACAAAAAAAAAATCAACACAATGGATGACACCAGACACTTATGAATGGAAATTCAGAGATCGAATATTTCACATGCTAAGGAAAGAAAGATTAGTAAAAGCTTCACAGAAGAAATAACATTTGAGCTGGGTCATAAAGAATGAGGTGGAGTTTGTTAGACAGGATAAGAAGTGCCATTCCATGACTTTTGTATAATATGCTCAATGAGCTGTGAGTTATTCTGTGGCAGAAATATCAGGTACAAGTGGTAGAGTTCAAGGTGATAAGACTGGAGAAGTAGGTTGAGGCTGGAATTTGAAGGTCTTTACATGTTTATCCTTATGAGCTTGGCTCTATCCTATAGTAGACAAAGAGCCATTACCCTGATAACATTAAAAAGTTAATTAGAAATTAAAAATAACTAGACAACTTGGTAAAGACAGCTGTTGTCCAGATAAAATAGGAAAGTGGGGAACTAATATGATCGCCCCTTCCCTTTGATGTGTTTCTCACATTACTCACCATCATCAAGTGTTTCCCAATGACCTACTGTGTGCACAAGACATGAAGCTAAGAATGAAAGGGAGCGAGAGTCAATAATACCTCCATCACCTTTAAAGGGCTAATAGTCTAATAAGGGAGTCGAGACTCATGAGAAATGAAAGGACAATGCTGGGGTTAAATAGCATAGCAGTAGAGAAATAATGGCACAGGAGAAGTTCCAAAGCAGGATGAGTTGAGAGTAGAGACAAGAAGTGCAATGAACGCAGACAATGGAGTGACCACTGAGGGTTGAAGAGGGATACAAATACTTCAGAGGCAGGTCTTGAGCTAGATTTTAAATTGTGAGTAGGCCCTTGCTACTCACAGTGTTGCCCTGGGGTGAGGAGCATCGGCCTCACCTGGGAGCTTGGTGGAAATGAAGACTCTGGGGACCCTCCCCAGATCTACTGAATCAGAATCTGCATTTTAACAAGATCCCCAGGCTAAGTGGACACACATTGAAGTGTGGGAAGTGCTGGCGTAGACATGAGTGATGGGCGGGAGCATTTGAATTAAAAGTTACATGAAGCTTTTTGTGTTTCAGAGGAACCAGAGTGGAGGACTGAAAATAAGAGAAAAGAAGGTGCCCTCCACATAGGAACCCTCTACCCCATTTATGCCCAGCCTACCAATGCTTTTCATGAGGCTACTGTAATAGTCATTGTCCTTCTCTTCCACAAGGCTGATCATCAAGGGTTCCAGGAAGGGACTTGTCAGCAGAGTATTAGAAATCAGCTTTGAAATCCGGACCATCACTTTGTCTTCCTCGGGGGCAATCATGTCTTTTCGGATTCCATTGGTCAAATAGTAATAGTATCTCTTCCATAAACAAACCACAAGCAAGAAAATGATCACAATTAAATGGCTAACCATGCCCACCCACCTGCCCACAACTGTCAGCCACCAAGGGGCCTGTTCACACAGCACCCATCCTCACCCTTCACTCACTACAACCATGCTTTCCAGGCCTGTCACTTCACATGCACTGCAATGAGACGGCCAGCAAGTTTTCTCCATGACACCAAGATTCAACCAAAGCCAGAGAGATGTCAGTGGGGTATGAGGAAGGACTTGTCAAATGCCTTGCGGATAGGAACAGTGAATGAGTACTGAGGATGGAGGCAGCATATCTGGTGAACTTTAAGAACAGGAATGACAAGGTCCTCAAATGTTCTCAAACAATTCACCCTCCTCAACAACAATGATCCTCCACAAAGCACTTTGATCCTGTGGCTTGTAGCTGACAGTGGGGAAAAAATCCCCCAAGTCCGAGTGAGACCTATGATAGTTCTAACCAACCAGGGGCTCTGGAGTTTCAAAAAGCAACACAAACACACTAACCGAACAAAAATGGCCACGGTGACCTGGTGACTTCAGGAAGTTTTGTTTGTTTAGGGCTTGCCTCTAAGCTGCTGGATGGCTGAGTGGCTCTAGATGTGAGTAATTTCAGATAGATGAGAAGCACAAAGTGTAGGAAAAGGGTTTGAAATCAGCTTTGAGCTTCAGTGCCAATTGTCTGTGGTCAGAGGAGGCTGAGCTCATCTTTCTCCAACCTTAATGAAAGCTGCTTATGCAGGACAAAATTCCAAACTTCCCTATTATAGGAACTGCCTGGGGTGGGGAGAGAGGCTCTCGTTAAAATGCAGATTCACAGGTCCCTCCTCAGGCAGTTTGGGATTTTTTTTCAGCAAGCACCCTAGGTGATTCTTATCTTCAGGCAAGTTCGAGAAATGCTGCGTTAAGTCTTAAGAGCACAGAGACTTTAGTATCAGCCTGATCTGGTCTAAGTCCTAGTTTTGTCCCTTACTGAATGTGTAATCTTGAGCAACTTGTTTAAACAGTCTACACCTCAATTTCCACACCTGGATGATAGGAATAATTATAATACCCAGGTCTTGAATGGGGTCAAGCATCTAGAGGGTTTAGCATGGAAATTTGCTAAGAGCACAGACTCAGTCACTATGAGTTTTTATTACTAATCATTTTACTATACACCATAAACTCACAAGCTATTTGCTCTAAAGTTTTGTTGTTGTTCTTTTAAGGTAGGGGTTGGAAACTCAAACCCTACTTGGAGCCAAGCAGGTAATGTTAATAAGTGAAAGTAGTTTAGAGATATGAAAGTAATAAGGAAAGGTGGAGACTGTGACAATCTGGAGAACATATTGCTCTTCTAAAGGAGGTAGTTACTGTTCAGCTTCAAATATTTTAATTTTTTCAAGAGAGGTTAAAAATCTAGCCTATGCGAGATTTTCTTCATTTTCAAAACATCTATAGGCCAAATTCAGCCTATGGTAGGGTTGCCAGATAAAATATAAGATGTGTTGGATATACTTACATTAAAAAATTATTCATTGTTTATTTGAAATTCATATTTAATTGGGTGCCCTGTTTTTTGTTTTGTCTTTTTTTTTTTTAAATCTAGCAACCCTTGCCTACGGGCTGCCATTTTGCAATCTATGTTCTAAGAGGACCCAAAAGCACCAATTTCTAAGACTTCCTAGAGCAGAGAATTCACACACTCACACACCCTCACATTCAGTAGTCTGTCATGGGGTCTGGACTTTGCTATTTTTAAAACACTTCCCTAGTGATTCTGCTGTTCTCCCCCAGTTTAGAATCACTGAGATGCCAAGAATAATACTTGGCAAATTGAGAGAAAGGACGCAACAAGAACATACCTCCAAGTCTGATTCAGATGGTTTGGTTTCTTTATTTTTTATTTCCCTCTCCTGCTGTAACATCACATCAATCTGTTCTTCTGGACTCATTGGTCTGCTTCCTGGGAGGGTCAAAGATGTTACCATCTCCTTCTTCCTGGGCAAGGAGGCTGAGGAGCTGCAGGCTGACATGCTCCTGAAAAGCAGACGAAACTCAGCCCCTGGGTCTATGCAGAGGTGCTGTGTCAGGCCTACTTTATCCAACCTGATGAGAGTCACTCTGCAATAGAAGCCCCTCTCCTCTGTAACACTGAATGGCACAGGTGTGTACTTCAATGATGACATCTAACCATGAAACCCCTCATAGGTACGCTAGTATTGGTTTTGCTCAGTTGGTTAATTATTTAGAGCCTTAAAAAAATGGATTAAGGGGATGGTGGAAGAAAATATGAATTACTGGCTGTTCAGGAACGCTTTGAAGCCAAGAAGCAGGTATTGCTTTAATGAGACCACAGCCTTCTTCAGTTCAGCCTGGTGTTCTGCAATCCCCTGCACCCACGGTGACACCTTACCTAGTGGGATCCTCTTTGTCTCGGGGGGAAAACTTCCTTTTCTTCTTCTTGGGCTCTGATGAGCTTTCAGTTGCTGGAACAGTGGAGAAGAAAGACCTTAGTGCTGGAGAGTGGCCTTGGGCCATCCTCTGTCCACAGATACATGACTCTCAGGACAGTCCAGGAGCACACTAAGGAGAGTGGACTCGGTGGGGTGGGATGAGGCAGGAGATGTGGGTTCCGGTCCCACCTACACCACTAATTACCTGTGTGACCCTGAATAAGTAACTTCATCACTCCAGGCCTCAGCTTCCCCAACTGTGAAATGGAGGTGAGCACACCTTCCATTCATCCATACGTGTGACAAGTATTAAGAGCTGCCTACTCGATTCACTCTCCCGTCCTGCATGCTCTATCTTCTAAACATTGGAAATTACTGTCTAATATTTTTCTTTAAGTAGACTCAGACTTTTAAACTTATATTTATTTTAAAGGAAATATTATGTAATTATCACAAATAGAAAAACTGGTATCATTTGCAATAAATAGAAGGTAACAACAAATAAATTCAATAAATGATATAAAACTTATTATTAAACTTTAACTAGATATTATTACTTAAGTCTCTAGCCTAAGAAAATTAACAATAGAGAAGTGTTAAAGATATACTAATACTAAATTGACATTTTGAGAGAATCAAAGAGAATTGAAGACTCTCAGTCAAGATGTATTTTGAGTTCATACTTTGAGCGCCTCAATAGACTCCAAATATAACATTAATAGACAAAATATTCTTTAAAAATTAAAAATACACTGCAGTATTCAAGAAGATGATTTTCTATGTGGACCAGAAATAAACAGAGTGTGAAGTAAAAGTCATAAACTCGGCTTCTGGAAGCAGGCAGAAGTAAGTTAGGTGTTTGATACCTGGGGGAGTCACAGAATCCAAGAACACACCATGACTGGGGGAGACTGGAGCTGGGCTCACAGCATAAAGCCAGGGCTGAAGCAAGGCTGCCCTACTGATGAAGACAGGCTGCAAAGACAGCAGCTCTGCCATGCAGATAAAGCACAGGGATCCTCAATTCGTATGGTGGCCAGAGATAGCAGACAAAGGCTGATAATAACTAGGTCCAGCCTCACACAGCCTCAGGGACCAGATCCACGAGATCCCCAAATATCACCTTAGGATGGGAGTCCCAAGCCACCAATAAGAAGAGCTGGTACTAATTTGGGGTCCTAAGAGGTCAGATGAAGGCAAAAGAAAAAAAAAGCTAGATTAAGAAGGGTCAAAAGATTACAATCAATGTAAATATGATTACATTTATATCTGAGAACAAGCAAAACTACTGTGGTGACAGAAATCAGAGCGTGGTTACTCTGGGGTGGGATGGTGTTGGTAAGGGAGAGAATTGACTGGAAATGGGCAGAGGGCAGCTTTCTCTAGTGATGGAAATGCCCTGTATCTTGTTGGGGTGGTGGCTGTATAGCATAAACAACTGTCAAAATTCACTTAACTGAACACTTAAGACCTGTGCATTTTATTGTATGTGAATTATACCTCCAAAAAAAAAATGGGAGGATGCATGCAGCAAGAAGTGAAAAAACTCTCAACATAAGCCTGCAAACTAAAATCCCAGAATCCATGAGAAAAACCAACACTAAAGACAGCCAATGAACTCAACAATTGAGGGATAGATTTACAAAATGGAAATAATACAGCAATACTAATATTGTTCCAAAATAAACGTTTAAGATCCTCCAAGTCATATTGAAAGGGCTATGTACATAAGAATAGAATAAAAAACTGGCAGGAGTGGCACCCATAAGTAGAACCAATTACAAAATCTGGAAATGAAAAGATATTGTCATTAAAACAGAAAATATTCATTAGACATAATAAACTCAAGACTAAACAGTGTTGAAGAGCAAATTAGCGAATTGGAAGATATATTTGAGGAATGTACCCAGACACAGCACAGAGAAAGAAAAAAAAAAATACAAAAATGAGTTTGAGACAGAGGGCAGACTGAGAGGCTCCAACATACGTCTAACAAGAATTACGAAAGGATAACCTTAAGCAGGTTTGTGTGTACCCAGTGGGATTAAATAAACTAATACACATAAAGTGCTGGGGTAAGCAGCTTCCAAGATGGCCCTCAATGATCTCCACCTCCTGGTGTCATGCCCTTGCGCAATCCCCTTGAGTATGGGCTGGAGCTAGTGACTCACCTCTAACAAACAGAATATGGCCAAAGAGATAGGACGTCACTTCCAAAATTAAGTTCCAAAAAGACTGTGGTTTCTGTCTTGCTGGCTCTCTTCTCTCTCTTGCTCTCTCCCTCACTCCCTCCTTGGGAAGCCAGGAGTTAGGTTGTGAACTGCGCTATAGAGAGGCCCATGTGGCAGGAAACTGATGTCTGTGGCCAACAGGCAGCAAGGACCTGAGGATGTGAGTGAGCTTGGAAAAGGATCCTTCCCTAGTTGCCTTTAGATGACTGTAGCCTGGCTGACACCTTGACTGCACGCGTGTGAGAAACTCTGAGCCAGAACCACCCAGTTAAATCATGACCAGATTCCTGACCACAAAAATTGTGAGATAATAAATGATGGTTGTTTTAAATTACTAAATTTTGGGGTAATTTTTTATGTAGCAATCAATAACACAAGCACGTAGAGCAGTGCTTGGTATATGGTAAACGTAATGTTAGCCAATACAATCATTCCCATTTCATAGATGAGGAGACTGAGGCTCTGTGAGGTTATTCAAAGTTAGCTGCAGCAAGAGGTAGAGCCAGCACTAGAATCCAGGATTAGAAATCTCACTCCAAAGCCCCATTCTGAGCTGGTATAGCACACTGCCAGAAATACCTGATGGCAGCCCCTGAATGATCCTTTGCCTAGGGACATTGATGGTGACTGGTTGGTAGACCTTCACCAGGTCCTTCAGCTTCAGGTCCTGGGCCGTCAAGGAGTAGTTGTTGGCAATGGAGTCACTGGGTCCATGGTGGTGGTGCTGCTCTTTGAAGGGTGCAGCCAGGGTCCATGATGTGCGTTGCATCAAGGGGGGATAAAAGCTGTGCAACATGACAGTCTACAAGGCAAGAAATGCAGAGTGAGACACAATAAGGTCCATCTCTTGGGGAGCCTGGGCTCCGCAGGTCCAGAATCCACTCAAACTGAGACTCACGGAGTCCCACACGCCTTATGCTATGTTTCTACCTTCCACACTCAGTGTAAACACTTTCTGAATGGACACCAGTTGCACTTCTCTGACCACTGTGAGCATGATTTCTGATGTCAAGGATAATAACTAGCTTTCAATATACAATAAGTTTGGGAATCAGGTAATTTACAACTATGGTCTTTATTCCTTACGGACATGGCTATAAGGTAGAAAGTTATCCTCACTTTACAATTGAATATGCATAAGTTCAGAGAGTTTAAATAACACAGCAGGTTAAGTGAGAAGGCCAGATTCCAACTCACCTTTGAGCTACTGCATAGCTCTTTCTCCGATCCTGTCGATGGGAGAGTCACTAATCCCACTTCTCAAGTCTGACTGTTTGCCCCGTACTAGTACAAGCAGAAGAGCAGCCCCCATGTGAACATACCTGATAGAGTTCAGATGGCACCTCATTAGCAGAAGCAGGCAGAGGAGGCAGCTCTGGCTGCTTCTGGGAGTGGCTCATGTGATGTATGGAGTCACTTTTAGTGATCTGTGGGAAATGGGAACAAAGCCACTCTTCAGGAAGTAGGCAAGATTTCCAAGCCTCTAGGTTAGAGAGGAGTAAAGAGATCCCCAGGAAAAGTTTTAGGCACAGAGTTCTGCCCAAAAAACAACCTTCTCACCCCCATCCATTGTGTAGGTTTCATTTTTTAATTATCAGTCCGACTCTCCTCCAGCATCTCCTCCTTAGCTACCCTTCTATGAGCAAATCCAGATACTTTTTCCCCTGAAAAGAGCCCAAATTCTGAGGGCACCCCCAGGTACACCACCCTGGGTTGTGATTAAAGGAGTTGACTTAAAAAAATGGACTCTTGCATTTCACATATGCAAAATTCCAAATAGAAATTTGCTCATGCAGTGGCATTGTATTCTATGTGTTAAACACACACATAAGCAACTCTCTATGCTTCCTGTGAAAAGAAAAAATATTTAAACAGTGTGGGTGTTTGAGTCCACCATTCCATTCAGTGAGTGTGTACTTGGGAGTGAGCCTCAGGTAGGAGCAAACTTGTGGCTCCCCTGGCACTCTCAGTTCCCAAGTGCCCCTCTTGAGCAGAGCTGAAAATGACTGCAGTGTTGAACGATGCTGTGTGTGATTCGGTCCTACGACCCAGCCCCTGTATGCAAGACAACTACTTCATCCAGGGGTCTGATGGAGAAACTGCAATTTGTTCCAACACTGGAGGAAAAGTGCTAGGCTGGACTCATTGAGAGCTTTGCTATACAGCGCGTTAAAGATGGTTTAAGGGATTTTCAAGGGTAATTTTGACTCTCTGTGGTTTCTCACCTTAGCAATGACTTTGGACTTAACTCTTGCATAAGGTAAGACATATTGGATTGATCTGATTTATTTGGGTCAGCAAATTACGTTATGCAGGGCAGCTGGTGAGGGGTAGCAGGGTAGGGGGTATATGGATCAAATGTTAGCCCTCCCCATGCCCTCACCAATCCCTCAATGATGACTCAACATCCTAAAATAATAACAATAACAACAACAACGACAACAACATCTGCCACTAGTCCAAATTATTATGTGCCAGGCACTTATGAGATTTTTATTCCCATGTTCTAGCTGAAGAAACTAAAACTCAGAGAGGATAGGTCCCACATCCCAGTCACAGAGAAGTGCTTTTAAATACACATCACTCCACGTCTAAGATCAATTAGGAAGGTATTGATCTTAAAATTAAACAAAACCATGCAAATCCATAAACAAAGATGCATACCGAGCCTGGGATCTTTAAAAACATCAAATAGGTTCATTGATCTAATGGCCTACTTCAGTGGTTCTCAAAAATTGTGGTACATCAGACTCATCAACAGAATTTTATTAAAAATAGGATGCTTGGGCTCCACCTTCATTATGATGAGTTTGACACCCAGTGATCCTGTTGTTTTCAGCTTAGAGAACTTGCCTTGTTGATTTAATTCACTGTGTCTGTCTCTCTGCGCTTGACAGAGAAGATCCTCAATTTCAAGGATCTAAGAACTGACCAATCATCTCCAAGAGCCTCCTCTTTCACTACTGAAATTAATTTCAGATCTGTACTGATGAGGTGAACAAAATGAAAAACCTGAAAAGAACCTGGTCATTCAAAGCGTGTACTATACCATCCAAGGTGGATTTTGGCAGCAGTACTTTCAGGGATATGAAGTCATCCATGATTTCCTTCAGGATCCCAGATGTACAACATATACTGATTGATAAGATAGGGCTGTCTGTATTTCGTCTTTGCAAGCAAGAAGGTTTTGTGGTCAGTGGAAATCTTTCCCTTGGCCTAGCTTTTAAAGCTGTTTCAAATAAAAAGCTTCATTAAAAGAACAACAAGCAAACACCACAAATTTCAGACATCTTGAGTAAGTTACAAGAGTGGGGATGAGTAGTTAAATCAAAAAACCCTGACCTTCTGCCGTCGAGGAGGATGCTAACATTATTCAGGAGGTGTCTTGGCATTCATATTTCTGCTCATTGTGGGGTAAACCTGATTTCAGCCCTCACACCAATGGCGGTTACTCATCCTACCAAAACCGGTACAATGGAACCTTAGTGGAAACAACCGGCTCTTCTCCAATTTCAGTCCATGTTATACAGTGGGCTGATCCCAGCCCTGGCTCCAGGGCAGGGCATGTGACACAGGTCTCGCCAATCAGAATAGTCCATCCTCCTAGACACAGTGATTGGTTCAGGGGTAGGCATGTGACCTAAACTCGGCTGATCAGAGTCTTCCCTGACACTTTTGCTAGAGCTACTGAGGAAGAGGCTGCTCAAGAGCCATCTTTGCCTTATGTGGGAAAAAGTCTTCCTTAGAATAAAGTGACATGGAAGAAAGCAGAGCCACCAGAAGGAGAAAGACAGACTCCCAATGACATCAACTGGACCCCAGGATGCAACTTGGACTTCTCAGTTACTTGAGCTCATAGATTCTCTTTCGGGTTTGAGCTAGACTGAATTATATTTATGCTCCTCCATACTGAGACATGGTCATCCAAGGGACAGACACAGAGGCAGCCGAGTCTTCGTACAAAGAGATAAGCCATTCTTGGGATAATAAAGAAAGCAAAACAAGATTTTGCAAGAAAGCAAACCAACATTAAGCATTTTGAAGAACACAATGGAGAGAAACAGAACCTCTAGAACAAACTAAACTTCAAGCTAGTTTATAGACACAGACTAAGACATACACACAGAGCCATAAATACCCTGATGGGACAGGAGCACGTGGGACATACACAAGATCAGCAGATCTAGAAATCAATTCCAGAACAGAACAAAGAGAGTTTTCTTGACCATATCTGGCTAAGAATTCTCTGTGGTGCCTTCAAGGGGAAAGAGATGGGGAGTTTTGCAAGAACTACCTGGCTATGCAAAATAGTTTCTTAAAAACGTTAATGCTCAAGTGTTCTCTCTGGTGAATGGCAGAGAGTTTTCATTCCAGTTTTCATTCAGTCATTATCAACAAATCCACTTCAATTTCAAAAAGTTTTGATTTAAAATGCTCCTCTGGGCACTTCAACGTATCGCAACCTCGTGGATCTCAGCTTTTACACCAAGATTCTGGCACCCACATTGGGTAGAACTGTTACTTTCAGGTGGTTTACTTCTGACTACATGTGATGTTTGCACATCCTTCATGGAAGCAGTTCCCAAATGCTTGCCTGAGGACCTGCTACTGCAGGATCACTCGAGTCTTAGTTAAAAATATAGATTCCAGGGCCCCACTCCAAATCTTTTGGATTCGAATCTTTGGGAATGAGGCCAAGACTCTATGTTTTCAAGATGTTCTCTAGGATACTGTGATGTACATCTAGTGTTTGGAACTGTTGGATGGACTATATGGTCTAATGGCCTTAGAAGGGAAGGGAAAGTAACAACAGGTGTCTATTCCTGAAATTTTCACAGTGAAACGTGAAGATATTCGAAAGCCTAATTCAGCAAAAAGCCTATTTCAAAGGACATAAAATGTGATTAACACACTTGCTCAGTCAAGGGGATCTAACATGGCAATTGGTCTATGATTGAAACATCCCCTTCCCACCCACTTCCAAATTCCCTACATGTTGAAAATACAGGTAAGAAAAAAGAAATATACCTTAAAATTCACACCTACCTTCTGAGATGAGCAATACATGTCACTCACGTTGTCCATTCTAACTGGACCTATTAAAAAATGAATAAAGAGCTCTGAGTTTCTTCCTCTCCTACCAGTGGCTCTGAAATCCAAACTTCCTTACAGCATAATAGGGAGGATGCAAAAATGGAACTTTCCAGATATTCTGAAAGCCCTGTTCACAGGGCTGCCTCTCTGAGGTCATAGACTTCAGCCCCCTGAAGAGTTCCCTGGTAGAAGAGGACAGAAAGGGAAGCTAGAGAATGAGGAGGCAGCATTGGGGTTCTGCTAGGCTTTTTGGTGTGGTTCCTACTCCTCCTGCAATGGCCACTCTTCCCTTCCATTGAGCGACTCCTCTTTTGGAACTTTCCCAGGAACATAACGAGTTTGCTATGGAGGAAAAATTGAAGCAGAGTTACATATTAATACAAAGAAAAGGGAGGAAGCACCCCACCAAAAAATACCCCTGGCGGCCTGAACTCTTCTCTCTCCTCCTCTCAGGGCTGTTTTAACATTGGAGGTGCTTGTACCCAGGTCCTGGGGCCAGTCACCAAGCTTCAGCGTCTGTTGCTAAGGAAGGAGGGACCTCTGTTGTGCCCACACACAAGACTGGGCTTGACTTTGCTCTGTGTCCTGGTCTCTCTCTTTGTTGGAGGTCCAGCTGCACAGCAGGAAGTGTTGATGACAGAAGGGAAGATGGGAGGGTGTTTAACAGTGATCCAGGAATGCAGAGGTGAGTGGCAATAAGACACTGTGCCTTTGGAAAGGTCTAAATGCACACAACATGGTGGTGAAATTCTTGGACTCTAGAGCTAGAAGGCTCTGGGTTCAGATCCTGCCTTTCCCATTAATTAGCTATGTGGCTTGAGCAAGTTGCTTAATCTCTCCAAATGTCCTTTTTTTAACGTAAAATGGCAACAATGTGAGTACCTACCTCACAGGGAAGGTTTGACGGTTTAATGAGATAGCGCAATGAGATGATCACACATAGTAGAAGGATGACCAACTCGTCCCAGTTTCCTGGGACTTGCTGGGTTTTCACACTGTAGTCCTGCATCCTGGGAACTCCTTCAGTCCTGGGAAAAGTGGGACAGTTTGGTCACTCGACATAGTGGGCTCTCTATAAATGTGGCTAACATTATCCTTATTATAAACACAGAAACACATGCACACTTACTCACACACAAGTATACTCATACACACAAGTTGCAAGATTAGCTGCTGGCCTAACATTCAAAGCACATGTTACATGGTCGCCTTCAAAGTTCTCTCTTGATTTCTAAAATCAAGTTAGATATTTTGAGCTCTTTTTGGGAGCGATGCTTCTGTATCTGTTTTTTCATTCAACTTTCACCAGAACTCTATGATGTTCCCATTTAATGGGTGAGGAAACCAAAACTGAGAGAGATATATACATAACTTTCCTAAATTGACATGACTCATAAGTAGCGTGGATACAATGTGAACCCTGTCCTTATGACTGCAGAGTCCAGTGCTCTTCCCATAAAGCACACAAACATTTCCAAGATCCTACAATGAGCACTACAGAGCACCAAGTACTTCCATTTCTCCTTTTTCTTACTTCTTCCTAAAGTTGGGCTTTCCATACTTTCAAAATAACCTTGAGGTTCCTCATTCCTTACATTTATACTCTCTACCATAAGGTATATATACACTTTCAAATAGTGTGTGGAATAAATGAGCCAGTGGCAGGGTTTGAGACTTTGGTTTTAGTCATTACCAGGCCTCCTATAATAGAGTGGGAAACCCCACATCCCACAAAAAACCAGCAGCTGTAACCCAATGAAGTAAAGAACTAGAATGGGCCTGGTATGGTGCTCATGAACCCCATGACCCTGTGGGTGAGCAGGAGACATACCCTATCTGAAATTTAGTGTGCTTTAAGTCTACCCGTGTCAAAAACATCAACACAATAGCTTCCATTTATTGAGCTATACTAGCTGCTGGCACTGTGCTAAGCACTTAATGAGTATCATCTCTCCAAATCTTCTCAACAACTCAGAATATAAATACAAATATTATCCCAAGTTTTATGGCTGAGGAAACTGAGAAACAATGAGGTTAAGTAACCTGCCCATAGTCACTCAGCTAGGTCAGTGGCCAACTTGGGACTTGAACCTGATTATGGAATCTGCTCCGTGGCTGTAACCAAAAGCCTATGTGTAGCCTGAAGAAAGATGAAAAATAAATAAAATACCCCCAAGGCCGCCTCACCTGCACCGGAACTGTTTGTCTGACTTAACCTTCTGTTCAATAATTCCCAAGTCAGGAGGCAGGCCTAAAGTCCCTTAAGCCTCGCAACTTTAAGTACACAGATAAAACAAAGGATGCCCAATTAAATTCGAATTTCAGGTAAATAACAAAGAGTTTTGAGTATAAGTATGTCCCATTCAATATTTGGGACATAATTATACTAAAAAGTTATCTGTCACTCACTTGAAATTCAAACTGAACTGGGTATCTTGTATTTTTATTTGCTAAATCTGGAAATATGGGGAGAACAGGTCAGCTAGATTCTGAGTTGTCCCTGTCTTTGTGGTATTAGCAGCTTAGGGTCTCAATCCGTTGCTAGAAATTTTCACGTTTCTTATTCAGAGCCCAGTGCTCCTGGCAGATCTTTTCTGAGGCTTGAAATAGTTATCTAGCCAAAGTAAGTAACTGTGGAAAGGTCTAGAAGAGGCTGCACATGGATTTATTATATTGACCCATCAAATGGTCAACAAGAGCCAAGTCTTTATGCTATGGAGAGATGCTAAGATCCCCACCATCGAGGAATACATAATATGGTGGAGAGGCAGGCAAACCACAGGGAAAAGCAAAACCTGGCTGGCCCTACAAAGATGCCAGTGGTGGAAGGAATTAGAGGATTCACAGAGGCACCTCTAGATGGCACCCTTGAACAAAAATCCCAGTGAAGGCCCCAATTCAGCTTTCCAAAGCAAGACCCACCAGGCAAGGACGGTTGCAATGTTTTATTCAAAGGAAAAAAAACCACCTTTTCCTGGGTGGGGCACTCATCATAACTGCAACTGAACAACTGCATGAAATCAGACAGGATTGACTTAAACTGAAAAAATTAGGAACACTTTCCTGTCCATGTCCTCCTATCTCCAACATTAGCTCCCCCTTTCTTGTCTGCTGTGGAATTAGAGCAGGATCCCTTAGCTTACTATTGTTATTATCCCCAAGTTTATTTCTCTATCACCAGCCTGATTATTGCTAGAAATATTAGTTGGCAGAAGTAATAGATCATTGGGAGGTGGGGAAAATGAGTGAAGGAAGTCAAAAGGTACAAGCTTCCAGTTATAAAATAAGTTACGAGAATGTCATGTACAGCACGGCAACTATAGTTAATGATACTGTATTGCATATTTGAAAGTTGCTAAGAGAACAAATCTTAAAAGTTCTCATCTTAAGAAGAAAAATTCTGTAACGCTGTGTGGTGATGGATGTTAACTAGACTTATTGTGGGGATCATTTCGCAAGATACATAAACATCAAATCATTATGTTGTACACCTGAAACTAGTACAATGTTGTATGTCAATTATACCTCAATAAAAAATAAAACAAGAAAAATAAATAAACCAAGTAGCCTTGATAAGACACATACAATAAAAGAATACATCAACATTTTTGCACCCCTCCTATGTGCCAGATAGGTGCTAAGTTCTTTATAGCCATTATTGCACCAGTCCTCACTACAACCCTGTGACTGCTTTTCTCTTTCCTGGAGTGATTTTCCAGGTTGCTATGGACACAAGTCACAGAGGAGAGGTAGGTTGACACAGGTCACGGGATGGAAAGTACCTGAGAAGTGTGCAGCAGCGGGCCAATGCCCGGGTGTATCATTTTACAGATGAAGCCCAGGCTCAGAGAGGTAACTCATCCAAGGTCACACAGAAAGAGTCTGTTCTGGGACCAGAGCCCAAGACTGTTGGACCCCCAGCTCAGCAGTGGTTCTCAATCGGGGACAACAGTGCCCCCTGAGGGGGCATTTGGCAATGTTTGGAGATATTTTTGGTTGTCACAATTGGGGCAAAGGGGAGCACTACTGGCATCTAGTGGGTTGAGAGCAGGGATGCTGCTAAACATCCTGCAACGCACAGGCCAGCCCCACAACTCAAAATTTTCCCGCCCAAAATGTCAAGCGCTGCCCTTGAGAAACCCTGCACGACAGGCTGGATTTGGGGCAACAGGACGTGTATTCCAGCTCTGAATTAGAACTGAGGGACTTGGGTTTGGACTTTTTCATCTAGAAAATGGAGATACTAATCTAACTCAGCTTTAAGGAACTTGCTGCCTCCTGCATTTTTTCTTTTTTTTTTGTGAGGAAGATCAGTCCTAAGCTAACATCCATGCCAATCATCCTCTTTTTGCCAAGGAAGACAGGCCCTGAGCTAACATCTATTGCTAATGCTCCTCCTTT